TCAATCGCAGCAGTCATCAATAATTTGTAACAAATTTGTTTAAAAAGGAATTGTGAGCCCGTTACTCTCAGAAATCGAACATTTCCCAAAAAAGTGGACAGATTTGCATGTGAATACGAAGGGTATTCGGGTCTGCTTTCACTTAACTTTTTTTAAGAGCGACAGCACCACAAGCAGGTGAAAACCTTCTTTATTCTGGGTTCATTCATAAATAATCCTGTCATGGAGAGGAAAACCATGTCGTGATGGCAGTTGCATAATAATATCGCATCACATCACCATCCATCCATCCATCCATCCATCCATCCATCCATCCATCCACCACTTACGTACCACATACAAGATTGGGTACGAACTAGCACTTGAATTTTTTTTACGAAGAAACCTTATTCAATTTTGTGTGTCGCCGTGTGTCCTGTCTTGTCCTGTCTTATGCTAAAAATGAGTAAAGTGCAACAGCAAGCAGCTCACAAGCCACAACCAACCACAAAATTCCCTTCCGGTTCACTTTCACTGGAGGACATGGCTGGCTGAATTATTATTCAGCATGAATATAAATTGCGACTTTGACTTTTACCAAGGAATTTCAGGTCTTTCATTTCGTGCAAAAAATATTTACCCATGCATAGAGAAAAAATATGTAGAGGAAAAAAAACCGTTAATGTTGTTGACAAACATTTTATGGACGAAAAAACGGGTTGATATTAAATTTTAACCTGATTTCTCCCGAGATTTGGGACGAACAAGTGAGCGTGATAAACGCGTAATGGTCGTTACATGTTTGTCACCACCACTCTAATAATTATCCGGGCATTACCCGACTGGTGGGAGAAAGGTATCTCCTGAACCACCACCACCGTCGTCGTCTTATAGATGCTTCCATCTCAATCTTAATTGATATTTGAACACGGGGAGGGAAAAGAAAACAAGAAAATTGACTCAAGCCTCTCAAATTGCTCTCTCAATCTATTTATCGATCTCTCTTTTTCCCAGGAATAAATGGAATCAATCAATATCTATCCAATCTATAATTGATACTTGGATGGGATCCACCAACAAATGCATGAGAACTTTGGTTGATGAGGGTGGTTTGGTTTGGCAGTGTTGTGGCTGCTGCTGCTGGTGCGACATCCGCCCATCCATCCATCCACCTGCTCTTCTTCTTCTTCCATTTCGGCCAATTCAATTCGTCAGAAAGTAATTCAATAATGCGATGACATCCCCCATCCAACTCTGCTTTCTTATTCCATTTGAAGTGCGAATAAGTGAGGGTATCACTTCACAAAGAAATTTATAACGAATTAAATCAATATTTTGGAGGAATCGATTGAGTTCTTAATCTTGTTCGCATAACAGCAACAATTTATATATTATCGAATTTGAAGAAGTCGAGCTAATTTTCTGGTCCGTAGAATTATCAGTGTTCATTCCTTGAGCTGTTGCATTAAGGGAAAATTATATTATGAAATATGACGCACAATAATCCATATTCGAGAGTACACCACACTTTGCCACTATTTACCACCATACATAATTCCATCTTCTTGACTAATTTGATGCTGACTTGACGTATTTTTTGCTACGTGTCGTCCTCTCCCCTAATTTGTCACGTCAGTCAGTCAAACTAGCCACGAATCAATCAATCACTCTCCCTGACTGATCACTGTCGCGGTCCGTCGTACTTTTTTTTACGTCTCACTCATAAAAAACTTTGTTTCGTACAATTGGGGACGAATATAGATAGGTATCATTGCGTATAGTAAATGCATGTACCTCTGGCTGAGTGATTCTCTCCTGCTGCGAGTGGCTGAGTCACCACGAGAAAAAATTTGAAATCTATCCTAACAACCACATCCATCTATGAAGCATCACCCCTCAATTAAGTGACGAAGAAGTCAGTCATCATTGTAATAATTTGCACAAATTTTATTCTTCTTCTTCTCCTTTTTCTCCCTCGTCTCTCGTGAAATAAATTGTTATGAATTTTATACTTAACAAGATTCCGGAAATTGAAGGCAGCAAAATTGTGGATCATTAAATTATGGATCCAACCATGAAACCAAACCGCAAAACCGCTCGAGGCAGGGAGGAATATATATGTACAACGTTGGGTATGAACTGCCACAAATTCTCACCTGGTTTCTGGCCTCCAATCCTAATATTATTACTGACAGGGAGATGGGAGAGAGAGATACAAAAGTGTAGGATAACATTCACCACCAGCTTCTCATCCTTGTTACTTTTCGCTACTTTTTTGCGAAACTTGGCCTGCAATAGTTATTTCATCCCTGCTGCTTTATACTTTAAATTGACTCGTGGACAATTTAGCTCAATTTTCTCCCCCAAACTTTTCCTGGCAACCAATCTCTCACCTGCCAATTTAGGGAGAAAGTTAAACTTCAAATTAGACCGTGGCAGGTGGTGGTCGTGTATATCTATATATACACCTTTCTCTTTCAGTTAAGCCACCAAAATTGTGTCTCTTTCTACTTCTTGCTCGTTATTTTCTGGTTAAAAGACCAGATTAGTTGGTCTTATCTAGCTGCATACTTTAGGGAAAGGGCGAGGGCTGGTTTGTACACACGTATGTAACTCTATCTCCAATAAAAACGCATTGGACATTACTTTGAATTGAGGATGTACGTAATGTTTTGAAAATAAACGCGATTATGTGCTCCCCACCGAAAATAGAAATTTTGTCTCACACTGTTGTGCTTTATTTCAATTAAGCCTCACGGTCGACATTTAGACAGGTGAGTGAACGAGGTGGATGACTAAACCGAAAATTTCTCATAAATACTTAAACCATTCATCCACCTTATTCCTAATGCTCACTTTAGGAGGAATAATATTGATCACATTTCAGGTTAGTTCGATATCGTTCCCGTGTGTGGTTCGTTGTTCGTTCCGGTGTAAATTGATTCATTATTTCAGTCTGAATTATTAAGCAAAATATTTACCTTTCTGGGCCCATCTCAACTCAACTACGGGGAAGAAGTTACTCTTTTCGTATTTCATCAACAAGACGAGGAGAGGATGGCATAATAAAAAAACATCAAAAAATATGCCCAAACTCACTCGGCACATGTTTACTTTACTTTCTCTTTTCTCCTGCCCTTATGATTTCCCTCTATTCATCTCCCACCCATTAATTCCAAACCATTAGACATGCGGATATGGATGGACGTGTGTCCATGGAGGTGGACGCGCTCACTGCATTTGTGTTTTTTATTACTATTATTACAACAAGCTAGTAATATCAATCTGATTATTATTACAATAAAGAGCAACAAGACATGAGTGAAACAGTGGTCGCAGAGCTGTTACATGTAGAACGGAACGTATATAAACAGATTTCGAGAAACCTTACATACAAATTGGGAAAGGTGAGATTTCTACTTTGTCCTCCATAATTGTGTAAAAAAGTCATGTATATTTTGTGCGTTCACATTTATCATCATGATTTCACACACTGACTAACCAAATCGAGTAACCAGACCGAATGGACATGTTCTTCCGTGTCATCCACCAAAGCCTAAGGAGAAACATACTCTTTTTACGGGAACTTAATGGAAAACTGAAACGTTGGCAGGACAATATACCGTGGCGTATTGTCCTTTTGTGACAATATTCCTGAGTGAAACACCAACCAAGACCATCATGACATGTTGTCCCAACCAGTAGTACTACATACATAGTAGTGCCATGTACCATACAAAAGTCAGCCAGGGTGGTCTCCCAGTCTGGTCTTCTCTCACAAAAGTAAAGTTCCATTCCACCAGCAACGACGACAAATATATACACAAACACACATTCATACATTTTTATTATGTAATATTCTGTGGTGGTAAAACGGTCAAAACTAGCGTTGTTCAGTTCAAAGTAAAAAAGATCCTGTTAACTCTGTGTGCATGACATTATTGTATGCACACACGACGACCCATAGCACCTCGCCGTTTCTTTAACTCTCTCTCACTACGTGCATGATGCATATAGTATTACACAAATATTTGCACAGGTATGTAGGGAGAAAAAGAGAGACGAAATTGGCGACTTGCAAGCACGAGGATGGCATAAACTAAACATTCCTCTCGTTCTTCTTTCTCTTTCCAAGTATTCATCCATGCCTCCCAATTGCTTATATTTTCCTTAAAAAGAAGGACAACTTAACTCGAATTATTTCTTCCCCTCTCACCATGACTAACTCAGTCATAATTCATTTTATGAGTGGATTGGATACAGAGACAGAGACAGACATACAGACACACGGCTACTTTATATATACCAACATGTGTCTGTCTCACTAGTTTCTTAGTTTTTTCCCTTCCTGTCAACTGGTAACAGTCCCTCAGCAATATTTACTCATAACGGAGTCAGAGTCGTATTCGCGTGTCCATGTCAAAAATCTTACTATATTTATGCACATACACCGTCTCTGTCATAATGTCACGTATAGTGTTTCAAGCAGCCACCTTATTGGCAACTTTGCTGCTAAAATATCACAAACCAGACAGAAAATTGGAGACAATTTGAAATTTTCAGAGTAGAAAACTCTCGTCAACTTTTACGAGCTCTGTGAACATGTATGCACAAAAAATGAAACGTCCTAAAAAAGGAGGAAGAAAAATGAACAACTCAAAAATAAAAAGGATGACAAATGGGTCTTGAACTTAATGTGATGTAACGACGAAATGAAAAGCCAAGTGTTTTGGACCCGTAAAAAAATGGGATGCGTTGAAAATTCAGATATTCAAATAGTCACCGGAGAATAGATACATACGTGCATTTCAGTGAAGAGTTATTTTTTGTGGGCAAAAAAACTCTCCACATTTTTGAGTGGATGGATGCATGATGATCATAATACAACCCGGATTTCTGCAAGATTTCTGAATTATTTTATGACTCACCAACCGCATCACACCACTAGCAAACTGTGGATGAGAATCCTTCTTGGGACAATGGACGAAAGGAATAAAAAGTAGAAAAAATGTAGTACTTACATTGGATTTGTAGCATTCCAGTAAATGTCGGGAAGACGAGAGCATCCCGTCTCCTGCAGGGAGTCGAACACGTAAAGAAGTAATGTTAACAGGATGAAATACAATGCCATTGCACTCATTGTAGATAATTTTTCTGTGGTGTGACAAGTACCACGACGGGTTGAATTAATAAATGGGCGAGATAAGATCAGGTCATTGATCACTTATCGTCAAACACGTGAGACGTCGATAAGGTTTGGATTACTTGTTAAGACAGCAGCACTTCCGGTAGAAGATGAATTTAAATAAGTAACTATTTTCACTTGGTAACGTCCTTTCTGTATGTGCCACGTGGCTTATTTGTCAATTTGAATGAAAATTAGGACTGGAATAATAATAACACACGAGTCTTTCATTTCCAAGAAGAAGGAGACGTGATGATTGATTAAAATTAAATAAGAAGTTGATTAATCTTGTCCAGATTAAAGTGACGTTGTTTTTTTGGGCACGTTATTTATAAAGTCTGGATGTCGCCTGGGGGCGACTTTCTCCGGCGTGTGCTGCTCGACTCCCAACTTCCTTCCTTTTGGATTTGATTGATTAATTGCTGCAATCAGGGGAAAAAATCAATAATTATAGAGTTGCAAAAAATAACAAGTTTCTAAACTGAAATAATACACGAGTTGCCACGGGTCGGATGATTATGACATTTGACTCGCTCTTTCCCTTTAGCGTCACAGGAGTCAATCAGATTTATCTATTCAATCCTTCCAACTAACTTTTTCCTTCTCTCTCTCTCACTCACACATTCACTCTCTCTCTCATTCTCTCTCCTAAAAAAACTTTTTGGAAAAGAAGAACAAACTTTTATTTTATTTTGATGGATCCAAAATCCAAGCAAAATCCAGCCTGAAAACTTTTCTCACATGTTTCCTCCAAATAAATAAATATACTGTAAATACATTATGTGTCGAATAAAATAAAACGGTGCGGTGGTGATTTTGGAAACGGTGTTCTTTTTTTCACTCTCTGAACAACATATTACGAAAACATCCATACATAACTGCAACTTGAACTATTCAACTATTCCAATCATCAGATATGTGTGGCAGTCAATTATAAACGAGAGTAAAGAAAGTTGAGAGTGAGTGAGTCTTCTCTCCAAAAAGTGAACCATGCATCGTTCGAAATTGTGACCGCATAAAACTTTCGAACCCCCGTCCATTCTTGTTGGCATTATTATTACGGCAGCATATTTGGCCCACCCTGTGTCCCACCAGAAAAAGATATCATTTCTATATTACGCTCCATCCAGCTTTCGAAATCAAACCAAAACTTTGCCTGCCTTTTCTTCGTTTAGTGAATGTAGCCAGATAAAATAAAATACGATAAAGTGGCTTCGTTTAGGATTTATATAACGCTGCATTGTAGTCGACTAACAGCTCCTCTTCAGAAGAAGAAGAATAATAATAAGAGAGAAAGTCAAGTTACTTCTTCTTCTTCTCCTTAAAGTGAGTTTGAGTCGTCACATACGAGAAGTTGCAAGTAGTACGAGTTATTATTGTGGTCTCCCCGTAATAATGAGATTCACGAGGAAAAAAGAAACTATATAAATTTCCCAATTTTCTCCAAATTACGAAGAAAAAAAATTGTGTGTAGGTAGGAGTCTAGAAAAAAAAATGAGAATCTGTTCAATTGCTCTTACGTACCTTTGGATGTGATGTGACGGTCTGAAATTATGATGTGTTTTGTGTCCTTTTTGCTGCCTATTGAAGCATGGATTTCAAAGAGGAAGAGAAAGTGAGTCGTCGTCGTACTTTCTTCTCAAATCTGTAGTAGAACTAGCTTTCTCTTTATTCATTATTTTCACTCTTCACTACGACGATAAAGTTTAGAGAATCCAGAAGTCAATTTCTGTTCGCGTGTTTTTGGATGGTTCAACTTTTTCCTCTCTGTTTACTCAGAGAGACACACATAAACACACAACTTATTCACTGAGTCGTAACATTTATTGTTGTTTTCTCTGTGAAATTTGTTCACTTTATTTTACTCTTTAGTCTCAAACTTTTGTCTACTTCCACAACGGCCCCATAGTAATCCTGATCATCGCAGGATTTCTTTCCATGTCGTAGCTCGTCCTTTCCGGTAAAATAGGCATTTTAATGAAATATATTCCCTAATTGTTTATTTATAGAGATGAATCGATCACTGTTTTATTTGTAAGTCCTGTTTTTGTAAACTGAATAAAGATCTGCATAAAATCCGAGTCACTCGATCCAATTTCGTTCCATTTATTGTGCTCCTTGTTGACGTGCTTGGCTATTTTTTAATATGACACTTATCTGCTGCTGGGGCTTGTTAATGGTAGTTGCACTTTAGAGAGATTTGTGTAATTTTTCATACAGGCTACGCACTCGTGCACCCGTTCACTGTTTGTTGATGATGAGTTGCCTGTGCAAACTGCAGCTTCTCTTCTCCTCTGAAATACGTTACTTACTTGCGTCTCACTTTATTCAGGGAGGAATATTTTACTTAACAAATGAATGAAGTAGTAAATGAATGATGTCAACTGTTGAGATATTTTATTATTTCGAGACAATTGTTTGCACACAAACTTCTCGTTGAAAAAGCGTCGATTGAACTGGGAAATTCCTCTCGGCCTATAATATTTAGAAGTGCAGAGATGCAGCTGTTATTCTACTCTGGATTTAATTCCGTTCGAAAAGGGTAGGAGAAGAAGAAGAAGAATTCAAAATGTGTCTTGAAAAGAGTGGTGGCTGTAAAAATGTGTATCCTTATTATGCGTACATATAATAAGTAAGTCGACCGGGTTGTAGGAAAAGTTTGGTGGATTGGATGGCGAAGAAGAAGAAGAAGGAGCAGGTTTTTTGTTCCTGTGTCTCGACTCTCGCCTGTTCTGGAGATCCTCACTTTTTGTATTCCCTTAAACTTAATAAAAGCCTTAAGGTGAGTCAGGTTTTAGGTAGGAGAGAAGGTATCAAGCGGTTAAAATTATATGTTTTACGACTACTTTACTCGTATACAGATGCTGAGTATTACCGACGTGGGTTGGAAGTTGTTACTTAAATTTGGCCAGATATTTGGGTACTTGTCCCGTAATGGGAGTAATATTTAGGAGGTGAGCAGTGGTGGAAATTTGTGAGATTGAGTTGGAGTTGCACTTTATTAAGACTTTTACTTATGGGATGACGGAGCCGTGTGAAATACGCTCCTCACTCTGCCAACTGCAAACGAGAACTGTTTTGGTTTTGCATAGGTCGCTCTTATCTTGGCGAATGCAAGAGTGAGTGTAACAAACCGTGGTCTTCTCCTCGGTTACAGGTTCGGGCGAATGGATCGGGTCGGGACGAGAGAAATCTCCCGAATTCGGAGTTACAGATCCCGCATAACTTTTGGGAGAGAGTTAGCAGCCAAGCTAAGCTGCACAAGCTAACAGCTTTGCATGGTGTGGGATGCATGGTATGCACATTGGTTTCTTCAGGGGACATTTAGTTGGGGAAATATATTCGAAATTTTAAAATATATTTATTAGGAATTTTGGACCAATTAAAAAAATAATGATAAAGAGTTGTAATTCTTTGTATTAACCTACATATTTGCAAAGGAGTGATGCTGCATGGGAACGATTATCTGGAAAGCTGGGTAAAATAATCCCGGATGCTATTCCCGGTATTTATTATCACTGCGGAAATGGAGAAATAATTTATGCAAATTTTCAAAGCGTTATCATTACGCGTTCCCTTGTGTGGTCGTGATTTCGTTTTTAGTAAAACTGAAACATTTTGACTAATAAAGTTGTGACAATTTTCCGAATCGTAATGTGCACGAAGGAGGAGGGAGAGTAATCTGAAATCTAAACTGCATATGCAACTCTATCAACTAATCCATGCATGCATAGTAAGTAGTATTTAGCGTTTGGCTCAGTTTGGTCGTCTGGATGGACTGAAGGGGTCGGTCCATGTACGGGATGGTTCAGTAGTAGATGAAAACTTGGCGTAATAAAGCTGCTGCATGTTTTGTTGATCTGCCATTATTTTCTCAGTTTCAGAATCATACATGCATCTCTTCTACAATGTCCTTTACTGGCTAAATAACTGGTACATACGACGCCACCGACCTAATCTGGATAGGGAAATGCGGTTGCAATTCAACAAAGGCAAATCCCATCCCGTATGCATGCACGTATTAAAGTACGTACATACAGAACCACTGTGTCTACATAAAGAGTGTACATTTCATTATAATGGGTTCATGATTCCAGCGTAATATGGGTGTACACAGCACCACACTCACTTTCATTTAGTCCCGTATTTGTCAAACTTTTGGACAAAATGCATCTTGGTCTTGCAGATGAAAAAAGAGTTGAAATTGTGCAGTAGTCCAATCCCATAAAAAGAGAGAAATTGAATCTCTCTGTTTAAAAATTTTAAAACAAAATTCCCATTTTTTACGACATATAAGTTTTTATACATCGAAAGGGTTTATTATTTCTCGTTATGAAGAGTCCGTGTAAAATCACTCCCTTTATTTGTAGCGGAGCCGTACTAATGGGAATCAAATCCATTATGAATGAGATTAACCCATATGTTTCCATCTTGTCCTGACAATTAGAATGATTCCGTCAGCCCAATCCACAATTATTCCAGTTCTGTTCTGGTCGCATGATCATCATTGCTTGCATTGCATCCTTCACGCTTAAAACCAGAGACTTTCGATGCTCAATGGTTAGTTCGTAGAGGGGATGATGCAGTTGAAGAGAGATGAATACATCATTCATTTCATGACCCACACAGTACCCACGCCACCACCAAAGCCATACCACCATCTCGACATCGTCATGTTATGAATGCACATACAAATGTAGGAACATCTCTGCATTTAATCGTCCCCTTTTTCTCTGGTCCATCCATCCGTGAGCAGATGCAGATGGTCGAGCATCATCATCATTGCGAGTGAGAATCTACTTGTGTGTGTAGTTTACATCATCGAAAACGTGTTAATTCATCCCTTCATGCAATGCACAACTTATTACGCGTTACTCTTTGTCCAGAAGGGAAGGGAAAATGTAACGCTTTACTTTTTTTTTTAGTTTTAAACAGGAACACGTGTTTCATCTCGTACAGTTTTATTTTATGACGGATTTCCGTATCTGCTATTGGTCTCGTGTGTATTACGTGAGTGACACAAGTGGAATTAGGTTGGATGGTTTATTTTTGCAGCGTCCATTACTAGCAGTTAATGGTCAATGTTAACACATGTCAGGGGTTGTCGTTGGCGTTAACCTAGTTGTTTTATGGGGTCACTTATATTATTATGTTGGGAGAAAGGACGGGACGGAAGGAGGGTGAGTGAGTAGTGGCCAGCAGGCAAAATTAGTTACGAGCTGTAAACGCATGTGGGTTCTGTTCGTGGTGATGTTTAATAGTTTCAGTGCTTTTGAGGTGGTGTTTTGATACCAGCAGCAGAAACCAGGTTGAAAAGGTGATGATGATTGATATGAATTATGAATGATGGTCAGGTATGGACTCGAGTAGAAGAATTGATCCTCCCTAAAGGTATTTTTATATGCGTGCATTACAAAATAGGAATTCTTCAGTCTTTCTCATTGAATAAAATGTCAATTATTTTCAACAAGTTCAGGTTGGTTTAAACAAATTCTAGTCAATTTCACAAGTGTGTTCTTCTACGTATTTGGTTGCATAACACCCTTAACTCGATGTTCTACTATGTATGAACAAATCAGTAGCAAACCAATAATTAGTTCATTTCTGTAAGTATGTAGTTTCACAGAAAATTGCGTATAAAGCATTACGCTGGGCAAACTGTGATAATTATTATCAAGGGGAAAAGTAGAATAATAATGCTTCAAGTGGTTCATTACGTTCGTCAAAAGCTTCTTTCTTCAAACTATTAAACTTCCTCCATCAAAAAGCCTTGATAACGTGCACACCAGTATTATACGTGAATACTTATGAAGATACGTACTTACGTAGATACGTATATTCATACAAATAAGTTAGCAAATTTAAACCTTCTCAAAACTTATGTTAACTTTAGGGGCCACTTACTTAATTTTTAATAATGTTTCCTGAAAAGCCTTACGTACACATAAAGCACAGAGTCCACCCACATTGACTCGTTGCGACTTTACTTTCCCGATTTCCAATCTCTCCGAGAGAAAGTGGAGTACAGTACAAAGTGGAATTATAAAAGTTTCATCTCTGCAATAGGATAAAGTACTTACCACGAGTCTGTTTTTGCTTATTGAAATGTTCTTCCCTTTTTCTTGCTCTCCGAACCCTTCTCCCTCAATGTGATAATTAATGATTTAGATTTTAGGGAAATGACTCCGAGTCTGACTAATCGAGAGAAGATGCCTTTGATTTGAGATTGGGCACGAAAAGCGGAGGAAATCCGAAGCTGCTTAGCAAATACTTACTTCAAGTTTTGGTCCCAAGTACTTACGTATTACTTGCCAACTATGCAAAGGCTACCTCATCATATAATACGTAATCAATGCATTTTATCATGCTCTTCTCCATCCAAGTTATGCTTGCTCGACGGTTTGCATTCATTTCGTTAGCGAGGGGCGAATGAGTAATGATTGAAATGTTCAACTTGTAATTCAACAGAAAAACATTTATTGATTTTCTTCTAATCATTCTAAACCAAATTAATAACAAACCTGATGAATTTTTGTGGTATTGCCAAATAATCTTTGGGTAATGTATCGATACCCGAGGTTGTCATACAACCAGTACAAGATTCTCATAAAACTATCAAATATCGCCCTCAACATACTCCTTGAACTGTTGTACATCACGGAGAGGGCACTCACGTCCTTGGACACGACAGAATTAATTGGTGGGGCTAGACCATGGTTGCTGTAAAAATACATTTCCCTTGATCCACCTGTATTGAAGGAATAAATTCGGCCAAACGTCAGCCCCCAAGCGAAAAAAATCATCATTAAGATGAAGACTAACGCCCAAAAGGCTGACCGGCTTGGCAAATGAATATGACAACGTTCCCCCCTGAAGGGATGCGCATCTGAAAAGAAGATGTGTGACGTTTTGTACGACTCTTCTTCGTCGTCGTCTTCTTCTTCTTCTTCTTCTTTTTCCTCCTCCTCCTCCTCCTCCTCTTCGATCTCATCATATTCCACTTCTGGAGCGAAGGTTACTCGACGGTAGGGCTTGAGTGGGCATGGTGGTGGTGGTGGTGGTACTGGTTCCACAGGAGTCGCAGGCTTATTGTTTTTATTAATGCCCCTCTGCACAATTGCTGAATATATTGCAGTAATGTTGGCACTGGAAGCAATCGGCATCTGTATATCCTCGATAAGAAAACGATCATCCCTCTCAGTCCTAGTACAAATTCAGAGGTAATTTATTTAGTATTGAGAATTCATAGTTCGACTGAGGAGGGGAGCTTGCGAGGTTGATAATAACAGATCTTGATGCCCTTTGGATATGTGGTAGGGACCCATGAGTGTACTAAAACCCTGAAGTGGTTTGACTCCATGGCCACATTTACGCCCGGCACACCCACTCAAAAATGCCCAAAAAACGCTTTCACTCCAGTTTTCACTCACTCAAATCCACGTCAAAAATCCAATTTTACTCGGATTTTGAAATTTCTTTCACCAATATACTCCCAGATAGTTTCTTTCTTCAATCCAATATCAAACTCAATTTTTTCGAAATTTTTAGTATTTTTAAAATTTAAATTTCTGAATGAGCATTGTTGTAGCAATCAACAAGGCAAATTATGCCTGCGAAATAATAATCAGCAAAATTGAGTTTGATATTGGATTGAAGAAAGCAACTATCGGGGAGTATATTGGTGAAAGAAATTTCAAAATCCGAGTAAAATTGGATTTTTGACGTGGATTTGAGTGAGTGAAAACTGGAGTGAAAGCGTTTTTTGGGCATTTTTGAGTGGGTGTGCCGGGCGTAAATGTGGCCATGGAGTCAAACCACTTCAGGGTTTTAGTACACTCATGGGTCCCTACCACATATCCAAAGGGCATCAAGATCTGTTATTATCAACCTCGCAAGCTCCCCTCCTGAGATTTGAAGTACAGTACTCACTTTTCATTTGGGTGATAAACTCCAAACTTCGCAATTTGTTCCAACGATGTTCCGCAACGAGCTCGATACTTAAATTTGTATGTATTCGGACCATCAGCGGGCGTTATTGTCTCAAGTAACTTAACATCATGTCCTTGCAACGGGGGCTGTGAATTAAAAAAAAAACTTTTAGCACATAGAACTAATTGTTAGCTAAACCCCATCTAAATAATGTCAGTTATTAGGTTTAAAGAATTACCAAGAAAGAAATCCTGATGAGGGTCAGGTCAGCGTCGTCACAATCGTAGTTTAACAAACTGAGTCTGTGAGCGTGTGTGGTTTCGACGCGTTTTACGGTGCCCACTGCGATCAAGACGTCGTTGTATCGAATACACGCTTTTAGGATTTCTCGAAGACTCCCACCAGCGACCAGCGTTATTGGGGTGCATCTTTGCAAAAAAAATACGTACGAATTAAATATCAAGTTAAAAATCCAATTCGATTGGGACAATTAGGCTAATCATGCTTGTATTTATTGGTTTACCTAAAGTTGATGAGATCTTTATCCATCGAGAACTCTGAGACTTGTGCCCCTTGCAACAATTGGGATGAGGGTAGTTCGGTTGCTTTAGGACATTTTTCGCAGTCGATGCGCACCTTTATCGAAAATTTAAAAATTTGTAGTTTAATTGCATCGAGTTTAAAAAAAATTATTATCCTCCTTACCATTGTCATATTATCGGAGAGGTTAACTAACGAGTCAAAGTCTACACTGAATGTTCCAAACCCCTCGCGAAGGATAGGCCAGATGTTGCACTTTACAACATCTTCACCGGGTTTCATATCCTTAAGAAAACTTAACTTGTCCGTAACTCTGGGTTCCCAAATTGTGTGCAATGTCCAATTGGAGGACTGTTCTCCCCAGGTGAACCCCTTTTCGACGAGATAGCCGTATAACATGTCAGAGGTCAGTTCAGGGATGCCAAGCCCCGAGAGGTTGGTATATTTATTTTTTTCCCACATTTCAAAAAATGGCTTTCCTGCAGTCCGTCGAAGTCAGAACTAAATTCTAGTTCTTTGCCAAGTGATGGAACTGTTCAGAAATGGGTGGATTGAAATGTTTCATTACAGGATGCGAGATTCGGTGACAAACTCAAAGGCTGAGATAGATACATAAATATCCCATACAAATGATATTATCTTTCGTATGGAATTTTGGTGTAGTTCTAACAAATTCAGAATCAATCCACCCATTGATATTTGCCTGGCTTGACCATTGGAAAGGTAAATCCTCTGTAGAAATATTTTATTCAAAGTTACTGATAACATTGTACACTTCAAATGGAGTCTTTCAATGTACATGAATTTTTTGAAGACACTTTGCATAGTTGAGCACTCTTACATTCAATAAAATGAAGCCAAGCAAGTGAGTATTATGCTTCCATTAAAATTATTTTCGTTTTCAATAATGTTTTCAATATTGCAGTCATGAGGAGTATTTATTCCTATGTAAATTCTTTTAGAGTTGGATAAGGTTCGGATGCAAATTCGGCAGAAAAATGAGAAATGTGTCTCACCCAGAACTTTCATGAGTCATGAGATTGAGATGAGATTCGGATGCCAAAAACTGCTCGTCTCATGTTTCTCAAGTTCTGAAATTCGGGTATTTTTCCTCTCAGATTCGACCATTCGGCTAATTTCGCTCACTCAATAACAGAACGCATCACACGGAGGCATTTCCTCAGTCAGTTGTTTTTTCAACCGTCATTAGTTAATCATCATTAATTAAATATTTTGATATTTAAATCCGTATCACCTGATCAACCTTTTGTACATTTTAAATCACAAAGGAACAACGAACATAGAAATTTATAAACTAGAGATTTTATATCCTCGTGTTTTTTATCTTCTTAAAGTCAGAAATTGTAATAATATTTAGTATTTGAAGCTCAAACTATCTCTAGGTAGTTTAACCTATTGATTCGTCATCCCTCAAAATAAAGGGTAACGACAATGGAGAAGTTATTGGTTTTGTTAGCGTTTTGGAATTTAAACAATTAAATTGTGGCCTTTTATCGTGTCTTTTGTCTCCATCATCCTTCGTTGGTTGCATTACTTTTACTACATACTTGGTGAGTGAGTCATTCAAATTCTTGGCGATTGACCAAGTTTATTGTATATTCTGGATTTTAATTGCCCTTTGTGTTATGTTAGTAGAAGCCAAGTTTCAAAGCAAATCAGAATCATTCCAAATCCAGCATCATCATTAATTGTGGACTTTCGGTGTGTTTCGATTGAGTATGTAACTGACGTACTCTGTTGGACGACTCATTGGAGAATATTTGACGACTACATTTAAAAAACGATTGACAGATTGCTAAAATTTCGCCTTTTAAAAGATGACGTTTGATCCAAGCGACCGGCGCTGGTATTTAAGTATTCCTTTATCTACTAGATCTCACTGAATGCACAATATCTTTGGTTTGACATAATTACTTAATTTAGTTGGTACTTTGGCCCAATCTCACGCCAAGATGCGACAGATTTACTCATGTCAGAAGGGGACGGTGGTGTTTTTCTAGTTCGTGACTCTTCCTCAATTCCAGGCGACTATGTGCTTTGTGTCAAGTAAGAAGTTATATACTTTCTAATTTTCCACAAAAATTGTAATTTCAATCTAATCACAGGGAGGACTGTAAAGTATGTCATTATATAATCAACAAAGTGACAGAGGATGGAACGAATAAGTATCGAATTGGTGATCGTTGTTTTCCCGATCTACCAGCGCTACTTTCGTTCTATAAATTACACTATCTTGACACAACGCCACTAGTTAGACCAGCCACACGAAAATTGGAAAAGGTCGTTGCGAAGCATGACTTTGATGGGAATGTAAGGAAAATTATGCAATTTAATAATCAAATCAGTTATTAATATATTATTCAATGACGATGATTTCGCAGGATCCAGAGGACCTTCCCTTCAAAAGAGGCGAAGTTCTTACAGTAATCAGGAAGGATGAAGAACAGTGGTGGACGGCGAGAAACGCATTAGGTCGTGTAGGCGCTATTCCTGTTCCCTATGTCAAACCTGTGCGTAGTTTAGCATTAATTATTAAATGAATATGCTATAAATTAGCCAATTGATACTTATTCCTTCTTATAGCATCCACAAAATGAGGAAAGACTAGACGGCGGCCCTACTACACCTATTGGTAATAATACATCTTCAACCACTGGGAACAATAATACTGTGGCGACGACTGGCAATAATTCCACTTTCGATGTATCGTCTTCACCCCTCCCAACACTCCCCAATAATACAGTGGATCACTTAAGCAATAATCATCATTCCAATACTTCTCCGAGGAGACCTTTCCCAGAGGTAAGGGAAGCCTAGCTACTTAATATCTTGTTTTGGAATTTATATTATAGTGCGTTTGGTTCTAATTTCTAGCCGAATCAGGACCCATTCGCTCGAGTAAAGCAAGCCCGTGTTCCTAACGCGTACGACGATACGGCACTAAAATTAGAAGTTGGCGATATAATTAAAGTGACAAAGATAAATATTAGCGGACAATGGGAAGGTCAAATTGTCCTTCAAGGTGGAAAAACTGGACGAGTAAGTGAATAATCTTAATTTGCTGTTAGTTTGTAGAGCTGAAATCAGAATTTTGTCACTTTTACAGAAGGGACACTTTCCCTTTACTCACGTGGAACTTGTCAAGTACGACCCTGTCACCCATACGGTGACAAGTGACGACAACTCTATCCAAAATACAGACTGATGATATAACATGACATAACCGGAGAATAAGAACACATAAGCGCCTCATCATCGTCATCATCCTCCTCCTCCAGTTCGCTAGTCAATACAAGCACACAACCAAGTTACATAACTTTATCGACATACAAGAAAGCTCTTATTACTTAAATTGCATCCTTGCTATTTCTGATCTTCAAATAGTGGATGAAAACAACGCCATTCCTTGTTAAAACCTAGGCGTAATTAAGGTTTTTAAATGATAATCTACACCCTTAGTATAGGATTAATAAAAAATATATGTTGTACAAAAGTTAAGAAACTATTAGTTCTGTTAATTAAAGAAACAATGTCATTCTTCCTTAAATGAATTCGTTAATGTGTGTTCTACTAGTTCCAGATAAGGCATTTATATATGCATCGAGTTTCAAGTGCAAGATTAAATAAATAATAAAATGAAAAACTTAACAATGCAATATTTTATGTGGCACATTTGTTGCAAGACTCTTTATTATGTGTTGACTACTATTTAAAAAATTTAGCAGTAATAAATATGTGAACACATAATATGAGAACAATTACCAAATTCTAAGGCACCGTCATTCTAAGCTTAGGAATTGGTAATTTTTAATTTAAAAACTTACACAAATAAAAAATAATAATGTAATGTAAACTGATCGGTTCAAAAAAAAATGCGTCCGAGATTCTGTAGGAAAGGGGAAGGTGTGTGTGTCGTCGCCCAACGACTCGTTTTTTAGTTCACTCGTCGAGACGACCCAGTACTGCAACCCGGAGAGGACCCTGATCGTGGCGTTGCTAGTTTCAAACTCTGTTCGTAATATTTTTTCGCATACTCCAAATGTCTTTGTTTGATCTCGCTTCCTGAAATTGACAAGATGACATGATTGTTCATCAATTCCCATGTGTGCTAATGCATCGCAAAAGCTGCAATAACTTGGAATCATGACATGTACATACTTGTTTCTAGACCTTGAGGCTTATCTTTCCCACTGTGGTCCTCTTGCCGCATCTTATCTTTCGTCCCTATCGGCGCCGTTATGCCATTGTCCATGTGGTCGTCAAACTCTCTTTTTGTGGATGTCTTCTGGACCGTGTAACTGGGGGACGGTGAGGTTTGGACTATTGGAGTTGGTGGTAGGGAATCTATTTCGAGACGCTCTGCCATTCTAATCTGGACTGCCTCCACCCACTCACGTGTATAATTATTAACAGACATGGCACTACAATTGGAAAACTGGAAATTGGAGACTCCAACCCTCAAACAAACTTATTTCAGCGAACTTGGCTTGTAAAACAAAAATGAACCAAAGCTGCATTTATGTAAAGTATAAATGTAGTGTGATAAAACAGACAAAGCTATCACTATCGCACTACAACCGACCGTGAATCAGTATGAATGAAATGACTCTATCAGTCTAAGAATAAGTGGTTTGGAGTTGTAGATTCGCAGCTTTAAGAATTAATTCTTTCCGAGCTGTAAAATCAGATTTTCTAATCCTGAAAGCTCTAGACTGTATGTGTCCGACCACAGAAGTGGATGCATCGGAAAGTAGCATAGTAGATGTAGATACACAGATCAACAGGAAATAAGGTTAACTATATAGTTTTATTATTTTATGTTCCTCGTATTAGTAGAATACTTAGACATTAGAAGTATGAGATATATGCTTTATCGTACCCAGCTTTATGGATACTTATCAATAGTAAAAATCAAGATATGCCAAACCTAACAAATTCATATTAGTTCACTATCAAACTCTGAAAGTGTATTGTAGATAACATATTCCATAATCGCTCTCCAAAACTTTACATATTTTGTAACACAAGTTATCTAAACTTAAAACTTACATGGAAATAATAATACAGTAAAGTACAAGTACATTTTAATATAGAATAATAAGGGATATTATCATGTCTTAATTTGAGGTAAAAATTAAGGTACACATTACACTCTGTAACGTAAACACAGAGGGTAAATTTTATAGTTAATTGTTATTAATGACGACAATCTCACAACTTCCGGTATCTTGAAATTCTTTTAATAAACTTCCATCCGACCATTCTGATACCTGGTTGGATACAACGATCTTTTTAAGATAACAATTAGGAGCTGAATTACAATTATAATCTAGAGCGAGGAGTTGTTGCCAAAATTCTTCCATATTTGAAATAAGAGCACCCCTCGTGTCTAACTCTGTGACTTGATGCTTTAAAATAAACTCTTGCAAATTGTTCCAGTTCGCGACACGAATGTTGGAGAGAGACAGCTTGGACCACTGAAATTAGCAGAATGAAACGATAAGCGGAAAGATTCTACTATTGGACTCTAATTAATTACATGTCTGCACTACTAACCAATCCTGACTCATCAACCGCACTTTTCCATAATTGAGATACCTCCCTAGCACGAATCTTGTCTGCTAAGGGAAGCCTGGTCAACACATTGACAACTCCTTTCTTTTGCACAGCCTCGAGATCTAATCCGGCTGAATTTACTTGGGATAAGTCCGTTTCTATAGCGGATTCGCCCTCCGCCGAACTGGTGCTGGTATTATTAGCTGCTGTCTCGGACACCTCGAGATGGGCGTTAAGTCGAGCCTCCTCAGAACTGTTAATGTCATCCCCGTCCACTTCAGAAGACTAGAAATAAATCCAAATTTCGTTACGTTCGTAATTCAGAAAGTTGTCAACAATTAGAGTGGAAACAATTTTTCACAAACCTCTTCTGATGCTGGCAAGGTCAAATGAGCTTTCCTAAGCGCAAACACTGCATCGGGTCTTAAATTTTGAGCGGCGCTAGAATTTTTAGGAAGGGCCAAATACTTTTTCTGATTGATTGTAACAACGCTCTGTGCAAAACGTTGGAATTGTCCACTATTTTGTGACACAGTAACGCCACTGTTACCCAATCCGGTTACAAGTCCGCTGAGCACGGAAGGCCTTGGGATAACACGCCCCTCACCGTCCAGTCTAAAAATGCGAGAGTTACCAAGACCAGGAAGCCGGACACCAGGACCTAATAGAAAAATGCGTTAGAAAAAATCCTCAATCTGCGAAAATTAGCTCAATTAACAAATAAATAATTATTATTTTACTTGGCGCACGGGGTCTGGGTGCGAGTCCACCCCTCTTGAGCAAATTCATCACCATTTGAGGACGACCTGCTCCGCCACCACGTGGTCCCCCCCCACGCATTTGTCCTAACATCATTCCTGGTTTACCACGCATTCCTGACCCGCGAATGTAACCCGCAGAAGATGGGGTTGATAAAGGTTGGAGCATTGGCACGACCGGATGCTGTCCACCTCGCCCACCCCCTCGTGGAATCGAAATTGGAGTTATGGTAACTGAGCCTCTTGTCATATTCGGTCCTGTAGCCATACCCATCGCACCAGGGGGTCTGCCTCGCCCGCGACGTTGACCCATCATTGGCATCCCTTCATAAACCCATTAAAAAAATTTTGTTATCAAGATAAAAAAAATATGAGTACGAAAAATATCAAACTTTTAACTTGCGAGTTCAGTTGACCTTACTGACCTTGTCTAATCAGTTCAGGTGGATTAATTCCACGAAACATTTGTGGCATCACACCGCCTCTTCTGAATCCTGGTTGTCCAGGCATCTGTGGCCTCTGTCCAGGGAGCAACATAGGTATTTTGGGCATTAATCGTCGCACACCTGGCGGTGCTCCGCGTGGGAACCTTTCCCCTCGAATCATACTACCACCCCTTCCACCGGGCGCCGACGAGTTGCTATTTAACTGAATAAGTCCTGGTGGTTCGGACCGTTTTACTATTCTCATGCCTCCCTTACTAGCTAGAACGACGCGTGACTGTTGTTTCTGCATGGGGGAGGAGGTAGCGGATCCACTACCAACGGAGGAGGAGGAATCACCCTCACAATTCTATGAGCAAGAAATAAAAATAGTAGACGGTACTCCAAATTAAATAACGAAGTAATCAACAAATTATTCCAGCATGCTTACCGAACAGAAAAAGTTGCGGTATGGCTGATTTGGGAGACCGAGGCATCCCGGATGGTACAAGCAGAGGCAGCGTTTGCACTGCAACGTGGGAACTTCTCCCGTCATCCCAGGACAACGGATGGAACACGGGAGCAGTTCTGTCTTATTGTTTCCTTCTTCACCATGGTCATAGGAGATGTCACCTTCATATCCGTCCGAGTCGACGGAACTCACAGCAGGGCTATATTCCATTCTAAGATCAAGTATTACAATAGGTTTAAAAATAAAATTTCTAGTCCTCCTAAACTGTGTCACAAATACTTAACTAAGAATTACAAGATGCAAGCAAATCATAAACTACATGTTACAATTAGCAAATGTTTACATTAATTCATGTTAGTTCCAGGTGAAATCCAGCAAATGAAATCGCAAACCTACCGCAGCCAAGCAGAGTAAGCTAAGTGCATTAATTTCAATAAATATAGCCCAAACACACCCTCATAGAAGGGTATAATGAATGAAATAACAAAAATAATTGATGAAACCCCATTAATTAAGAGTTAACTAATGATATTTGAAGTTCTACAAATATCAAAAACAATAAACTACATTAGCCCCAGCACATTAACCACAGCTTGGTGATATAAAATTAGTACTAACAAATTTCACCAGAAGATAAGCTAACTAACATTATTGAATTTACATCAGCATTTATAACTACTAATTAGAGTAAGTTAGTAAATAATTAAATAAATTAAGTTAAAAAAAGGTAGCAGCAGCAGCAGCATAACCTCAGCACACGGGAAATTTATTTCATTAGTAGGGTTTTATCAACAAACAAAAATTCAAAATATTGGAAAACAAAAACAAATTGGGCCAAACAGAACATTGATTGACAGTTGCAGGGTAAGATTATAGAGCAAATTGAGGGAAGACACAATAGTAACAAATCGGGGTAATGTTAAAGTAAAAACTGTTTATACATGATAACAAACATGACAGCCGTGCATTATATATATTCTCTGAAATACAACCACTTTTCGCAGTTCTCACTACTCACCCATCAGAATAATTTGAGAATTGAGCACCCTGAGTGAGCGCAGAGATTCCAAACATTGGACCATCATCCCTCTGTTGCTGTTGTTGGCGAAACTGCTGTTGGACACCTGTACCACGTCCTCGCCCTCTTTGTGGACTCGAGACGTATGTAACCTGTTGGTGAAGTTGTAGTTGGGGAGTCTGTGGAGATCCAGTGAGAGAATTAGATTTCGGAGGGCGACCTCGTCTTGCGCGAAACTCTTGAAGCATTTGCTCCCCTGTCTTCTCCTCCTCCATTTCGATACCTCGATACTTGGGGTGGAGCATCCCCATTTCCATACCACCGCTAGAGTAGTTATCACTGTAAAGAGAGTTGATTGCTTTCCCTGATTTTTTTCTACTCTCTTTTTTGAATAAACTACTAAAACTAAAATGCACTCACTTATCCTTATCCTGTGCCTTTTGACTCATCTTGGCTCGTTTAGACACTTCAGGGATAAACTCGGCAGTAGCATAGCGCTTCGGAGGTTGGATTGAACGACGCCCTCCTCTCCCTTTAGCTACAACACTCTCTAGGTCAGACTCGGCTGATTCAAATGGAGTTTCGAGAAGTCCTCCATTCAGGGCTGTATTAGGAATTAGTTCTTCATCATCTTCCTCCATATTATCACCCTGCATAAACAACAAAAGAGAATATTAATTCAAAACTGTTAGTTAATCACAATTAAATTATTATGGTCAGCATAGTTCGTATTTTCACTGAGTCTAATGAATGAATTTTGATTTTGAATTACAAAATATTTTTGTAAGTACGGGAGCAAAAATATCAATACCTTCTTGTTATTTCCCTGTTGGTTCTTGATAGGGTTAAGCCCCCTTCCACCCTGTGCGGCTCGCACACTTTCTGACTCTGGATCATAGCTGACGCGAGCCTTAGCGAATGAAAAATTTTCCGTCGACATATTCAACCCCTGGTGCTTGTTTACTGTATTTAATATAAAAATCAAAAACATATTAACAGATTAGCATAACTGGATATGGACGGGCGACTAATGACGCCAGACAAACACACACAGGCGCTCATCCATCGTATATTGGGTACATTACGTACAATAAAGTGCGACTTGTTTAGATGATCGATATTTAACGCCTTGGGGCGAAAAGTAGTACACGTCACCCAGTTTTTTGGAGGCGCCTCCACCGTGGGAGCGGATCACAATTTCGCGTTTCCACCCTAATTACATTACATATTTTATAGTTAAGTATATCTGAATCAGTATCGTTTGGGTAATAATGAGTAGGAATTGGGAAAAAATAATTATCAGTGATTAGGCTGCAAGCTATTTATGTGTGCTTCATGCTTGTAATATTTATCAATTGTCGTACCCGAAACGAGAATAAAACAAACTGATACAAAAATTAACAAAACTTTGTACACCGGCGAATTGGACAATGTTCATTATATTAATTACTACTAGCATGCGGTTACGTTTTATATGCTAGAGTGGACACTAGAAACACAATATAGTTGCAAGTAGGATGAGGAAGGCGGTCAAGATTTATCGCTTAACATCACATTGCTCACCATGCGTGAATGGGACCATCAGCTTTTCCAACTTTTCTGCTGAAAATGCCTTCTCGGCTGGAGTGATTTGCTTCTCCATTTGAATCGATTCTGGAGACTTTTTAGTTTTCTGCCAACCAGCAGCAGCTGCCTTACTGATAGAACTCTGTGCTTGAGGGGCGCTTTCTACAGAAACAAGAGGTTCTGATGGATCCATGATTCGCAGCCGGATTTCAGGACCACCAGTTTTCAAAGACAATCGAGATGTTGGAATAGCCACTGGTTCAGAAAATCCTCGCAGAACATCTTCATTCGATTTGTAAACAGCTCTCTCGACCTCCTGAACAAATTTAGACAGACCGGAATTATAATTACAGCTTGAAAGACAGTTCAACACATTTTAAATGAATTTATACCGTACCTGCACAATTTCAAATAAAATTCCACTTTGAGAATCAACCAGAGGAAAAAAGTAATCCTGATACGTCGTGGAGAACCCTCTCATTGGGATTTTGATATTGGCTTCCGATTCGAATCCAAGAGAAGGGTCATAAAGAGACTCGCTATCAGGAAGTAGCATATGCATCATAGCCATCTCTTCCGAGTCATCAGGAGGAACTTCTCCAGAAGATTCTTCAATAGAAAGCACAAAACAATTATGTTTATTTAGTTCAGCATGCGCACGTCCTATAATTTACCTGCATTGTCCCCCGCGACAATTAATCCCCCTTCCTCAAGACCTCCTTCGTCCCCATCTCCATCGTTGGTGAAAAACTGCTGTTCCTCAGTCTCGTCTTCTACTTCTTCCCCATCCTCAACAAATCCGACACCATCTCCTTCGCCTTGGTCAAAACTTTCTTGGTGATTCGCTTCAAGAAATCGACCTGGTGTTCCATCTTGAATAGGTGAGGCCATCTCTCCCTCCTCAGGAATCATCTCCTCGTCATCATGAAACATATTTTCATCCTAAAATGAAACCATTTATTAAACGAGTTAGTTTACATAAAAAACACAAGACAACAAAAAAAAACAGAAAAAATCTACCCCTTCAATTTGAGATTCATCTTCTACTTCCTCCTCCTCCTCTCCCATCTCCTGGTTTCCATCGTCGCCATCTTGGTCAACCGGGCAGTTGGCCTCGTCATCCATTATCAGAGGTAAGGAGACTTTCCAGTTTTTTTGAACGTTAACTAGGTAAAAGAAATTCAATTCATTAGCATTATTGATTACGCTAAATAATAATGCTGGATTAAAATTTTGATTTAATTACGCAAATAAATGACTCGGGTTTTGCAGATTTCTTATTTCTTCCACCTCCCTTCTATACTACCATCAGTTAGTTTAGAGTTGACTAATTAAATTAAACAAGTTCACCGCCTAATTCCCTCTGCCTTCCTCGTCTCGTCAGAAAAGGATTCGCTCGATGTTAAACACTTCCTCTAAAACTCCGCAGTATGCAGTAATGATAATTAACGGAGATATCTGCAACAACAAAGAAAACAAACTCAATTAATGTCTTCCAACGCGAATTGTTTATCAAAATCTCGTAATTAATATTTACTATTATTAAAACATGCAAAATATAATGCTACCATTTCTTATCATATCATGGTTATCATTCAACTTGCTACCTTTCTCGAGTTTAGCATAATTAAACTTTCAAAACAAATTACGAACCCCAAAACGCTAATTATGTCATGTTGCTTACATTTTACGCTTTCTTATTGAAACCTCATAATCACCCCACCTTAAACTCCAACCCTTCTCTCAAAGTTTTTAAATCTTGACCTCATCTTATTTTACAAATGCAATCATTCAAAACCGGCTTAAATAACCTTTCCCCATCGCGTCGCCAACTCTTACCCCCTCCAAACAAGTGACATCATGTCTGGGACGAAACAAAGGGTAATAAATAATAACGCGCAAATGAACTCGAGCCCTCTCTAAAAATCACCAGCCCAATAAATTCCTTCAACTTGGCGACCTTTTCTCGTCGCCGCCACCTCCGTTATCTTCCCCACGGTACAAGCGCTTGACGGAGACGAGACTTGGGAACAATTTGTATTACCTCTGCTTATCTGCGCCGCGCTCGGACGAGGAAAAAATAGGCTTTGTCGTCGTCCGCCGTAACGTGTTGTTGGTTGGTGTTCTCTCTCCTGTTCTTATTCTCCACTGGCCTGGTGCTTGCTGGCTGATGCAGGCAGGCGACGGTGGTGGTGGTGAAAAGAAAAGCGGACGAGTTTTCGTGAGCGGTTGATTGGAACTGAGGCAATAATTTCCAGCTCGCTCGCTCGCTCTGCCTCATGAAGGTCGAATCGGGCGTCCAATCCCGAGAGCTTCCAACCTCACCAATTTCGTGTGGGGGGCACAAATTTCGAAAATTATGAGATTTCCGTAAATTTGGAAACCGGTAAAAGCTATCGGTGTTCTTGTGAGGGGACGTAGTATGTGAAAGAGAACGGAGAAAAGAGGCGGGCAGGGGCGTACGTGTTCAAGGGAAAAGTCTGGAAATGTATAAATTGAGAAAATTTTTAATTATTTTTGTTTAGTTTTTAAGAGTGGGGTAGTTATTAGGAGACTGGATGGCTGGTTTTGTGGAGTTTGATGGTACGAGGTAAAGAATGAGTACGATTATTGTCTGGAGAGGTATAGTTTAGCAATAAGGAAAGTTTCATGGTTTTTTGCATGTTCTCATCTCATCTTTTGTCGCGCTGAATAAAAGGAAAATGCGAATAAGTCGTCAGTGGTTATCAGGAGATAGTCATTTGCTCGGTTCATCAATGTTTTTCATGAAATAACTTTACAGATTTCCAGTGTTTTCCTCGGTATTATTGATGTAACGAAAGGTTGAAAACCAGCATTTTTATTGCGAGTTTTTATACCTTTTATTTGTCTTAGGTTATCGCTGCTTTGCATTAAAAATTAAAGTTTAATTTTTCATCTAAACCCAAGCCAATTCAATTAGTTTAATTTATAACCAAATTACAAGATCAATTAGTGGATTTAACAAGAAACAATGTTTTTCAAGCTATGATTGCACTTCGGCCTCAATAAAATGAGATTCCTCTTTTGCAGAGAACACTTTCCTGCGTTTGGGGCAGTCTGTCACGCTGCCGGCCAGCCCAAATTCCCAAACAGTTGCCTCTCTTACGAGCGAGGGATATTCTTCACAACACGAGAGTGCAACCTATTTTTTACGAGTTGCTCATTTTTTTAATTTGTGACGAAATGATGAATTAATTTAATTGACTAATTAACCAATTAGTACACACAAGTTCCGATACAATCGGGTATTTCATATTATAAAAATGGTGTTTCTACATTTCCCCTCTAATCACACGGATGAGGAGCTCATGTTACAGGCGAAATACTCTAAATTAAGAAAAAAGGTAAATTATATAAATAGTGTTGAAGTAATGTGACTTAATTAGCTAGGCTATTAACTGTGTGACTCACTTTACTTAACCCCATTTAGAAAAAGGCCCTCGAACAGATGAGAGTACCAAAAGTTGAACCAGAGAAAATCAACCCTTTAAAACGTCCTCTCGATCCCAAAGATGCGAAAGAACTAGCCCGTAAATTAATAATGTCGGGGAAAGTTGCCCTCCCACAAAAAATTGGGGATGAGAAGAAGACAGTGTTTAAACGGCCTCGTACTCTGGAACGTAAAATACTTGCGACGGGACGATCTGAAGGTCACGGGGGTTTCACGCCTGGATACAACACCAATTTTCAGACTGACTATCAGTTTGAACCTTTTACCCCAGCCCCAGACACTATGCTGACGCCACCGTTATCGTTATCACCAACTACCTCGTCACCTAATTCACTCAGTCCGGGTACGCTAAGGTTCCCATCTGCTCTACCTTTATCGCCAAGTGGGAGTAGTTTAAGTTCCAATTCCCCCTCGCCCACAAAAAGGATCAAGTCATCAGGAGGTAACAAGTCTATGAAGGAGATGGTAGACTCTTCGTCATCGCCGTATCATAATGGGGATAGAAAGTAAGAGAAATAGTAATTTTGAATTGAGCGATAATCATTGAGTAATATACTGAGTAATTAATGAACGTTTTCTCATTTTTAGCACATCCCAGTCTAAAAACAACCTCAACAAGCCAAAGCGTGGTCCCACCATTTATGTTCAAGCGCACAATATCACGGACGAACTCCTTAGAACTCAGTTTATAAAGTTTGGCAAGATCATCAACGTAAAGTTGAACAATCCTACTGTCGGGTTTGTAACGTTTGATAAGGTGGAGTGTGCCGAGCTTGCTGTGCAGGAGGTAACACAAATTATAATAACAACCGAACTGCCTTTATAACTATTTAATTTTTAATTTACAACATTCACATTTAAAGTTGCATATCTTGTCTAATTTTAGATGAATGGTTCTTCCGTTGACGATGTGTCCTATGACGTCCAATTTGCACGACGTCAACCCAACATTAATCAACTAATTAATGACGCACCTGCCTCCGCGACATGGACGGCCATTGCGACGAGTAACTCACAAAAGAGTAATCACCAAGATAGGAGACAACAAGTTGTGTACGAAGACACGATGGAGTGCTAAAACTTACTACATATATAATTCATTGACACAATTATAACTCGAACATATAACTTTCTTATGTAATATTAATCATATGTGACTGATATTAGGTTACTTAATCATAGACGACATAACCAATCCTAGTTGAACTACGTATGTATGTATACATAGGTGTAATTATTATACTAATATAGCTAGCCGGCTATTAAGCCAGTTAGATGACTCAAAAAAGTTGAGAAAAATGTAATTATAGATTTGCCTTTAGGAATTTAAAAAATATGTAATTCATCCTATTCGAGGAAAGTCACTATTGTCCTTGGTGTGGTTGTATTTTATACATATTTGTGAAAGTGAACAAGTTAGATCTCTGCATAGCTGATACATACATTTATTTGTACTACTGTGGGACACCAATATAATACCTATAATTAACCTTAAGTATTTAAATCAATGACGATGTTTAACACGATTCGTATAAATATGCATTTACAGAAACCGAATTTTACGGTCGTGTTTACTGAATTCTATGAAAAACCTGATTAAAAGATATTCAATTCATGTAATTTAATATGCATTTTGTTACTAATTATCATTCTATTATCCAATCCAATCTTTATTCTCTCACACACACCAGATTTAAGCTTTTCCTTGCATATTGACCTAGCTGGGAGGAATACGAGCAAACTTGACTTTGGACTAAAAATGACCTCCTAAAACAATGAGATTTAGACAACCCTGCATTGTCTAAATCTCACGATCAGTCAGTCAACATGGCTTTCATTCGATCGTCATATGATAAAAAAACTTGCAACACGCCAGGGAAATCGACCCATCGAATCACACACTTGCTGATTGACTTGGTCGAATGCGTGACACGCTGTTTAATAATTACTGTGAAAGTATAACTTGCCTGTATTTGGCATAAAATGCACACACATTTGGTTGTTTGTGAGAGTGCGATTAAGTAACTTTGTCTCAACCTTGTTGTATATTTGTCAGCCATGCAATCCATCTTGAAACCTGTGTATTATGCATTTCATGGCTTTCTTCTCGTCTGGAACTGTACCGGACATTGCGCATCCTGCTTCTCGTTATTCAAAAGCGAGTTAATAAGTGAGTGTAACATTCGCCTTATGCTGTTGCCATTTCCCCGTTTTTTTGGTGTCAATGTCGCAAATGAGGTAGGTAGACAACACCACGGAGAGACCGGACTATCTCTCAGAACAGAACTCATCCACTTTCTCCAGTGGTGGGACGTCGAGTGGAGTGACGAGGAATTTCTCTCCTGGTCTGCCCACGTTACTACTTATTAAACACGATATTCATATTTGGTAAAATAGTGGTAGTGCCCAGAAGAATGGCTGATGGTGAAATGAAGCAGCCAGAACCAAGTTGACACTTTTTTTTACAAAAGAACGATCATGGCGGCGTCGTCCTCCATGGTGGGGATGAAGGAATGGTCGGAAACACTAGTGCGAGAGCTTAATCAAGAAATTCATGGACTTAGAGCAGAAAACTCGGGTATGAAGATCTCTTACATTACATTATATTCGTAACATATTAAAGAAAAGTCTCATGTTTTTGCATTTCAAATTTGTAACTTTTCAGAACTGAAATTTCACTTATATCTTCATTTTCCTGAACTCGTCGTGAAAGGGAAAGGTCGAGCCCTTCCGGCGTCAGAGTACAGCTCACGGGGACCAATTATAAACCATTACCGTCCCGAGACGAGGGACGTCGCAACCTCCACATCGCCCAGTAAAGGTCGATCGTCGGATTGCAGTCAGTGTAAAAAAGCTGCCGCATCCGCAAAAAGAGTACTTTTTCAGAATTAAAAACAAAAATAAATAATAAGATCTTAAACCGGGCACAAGAAAATATAATTATGCAACATTTCTGCAGAATGAATCAGAGCAGCGGATTCACCTCCACGAGTTGGAGAAAGCGGAAAAGCTCATCTCAAAACTGAAATGGATACAGGTGAACCAAGAGGAAAAGTTAGTTTTGCAGAGAATGAAGGTGCAAGAATTGCAGGTGGGTCTCATTGTGTCCTGCTTTGATTACTTACTTTTTGTTGCGTGTCATAATAATAATAATAAATTAAGTAATGCATCAAAGGAAGAGTTGAACTTGCATCAAGTTCATTCCTTGTCACACATTCTGCTTTATTCAGTTTTGAATATGCAGTCATCAATCATCCGTTCAGGGTTTGGGTTACTCGGTGGTATCGATTTATTGGGAGTTTTTGAGAGTTCGAATCGATCAAACTCACTTAAACCAGGCATGAAATAAATATGTGAGTGTGATGTAGTAAAACTCAATGTCGCCATACTCAATTTGGGAATGAAATGAACCACACACACAACGACGCTAGTCATAGTCATTGCCAAATGCCAAACCAATACGGCCCTCGGATTGACCGTCAGACGAGAGAGAGAGAGATAGAGAAAGAGAGATAGCATTATTATTATTGTGTTGCTTTCCCCACTACTTTCTCCACTTTTCGTGCTCACCCGAGGGACGTGAGGTAATGGATTTGTGCATAGTTACAGCACGAGTTATTAGGATGACAATTTTCTTTCTGGTCGATAGTGTAAAATGGTTTTGCACACCAATTAACTATGCATACACGTACATTTTGCATTGAACCGTTTTCAATTTAAATAATTGATACGTGCTGAGACCTTCTTGCTGAAATTTGTGGCTTATACTGACATGCATACTGATGGAATAAATGCGACAATGACTAAATTATTTGTGTCTGACTACATTTTTTTGATGCGTATGTATCTACATAGAAGGAGATCCAGCACTTAAAATCGAACGGACTCGAGATATTCTCCCTCCAGGTAGAATCTTAGAAACGTTAAATTTTAAAAAGTGTAATAAATACATGTCTCTTTCTATGCAGATCCACCCACCCTTATCCTCGAGCAGTAGTTCTAGTACACCACCCACCCCAGCAGCGTCAAGCGAGATGATGCTGCCTGGTCGGCATACTGGAGGGACTGACAATTCCACCCCCACCAACACTCCGCCCACTCGACGGAGACACAACTCTTCTTCCTCGCTAACTCAACGGCGATCATCGTCATCCTCTCATCACGTCCCGTCCGCTTTGCCGGACGATTACAAAGAATCCGTCGCCACCCTTCCACCCATCGGAGTGCAAGATTTGCTCACAAAATTGACCACGATCTCGTTGCGGGATTCCAAATTGCCACGTTTCAAGGCGCCGCCACTCCCGATTCCAGGATCGACTAATGTCACACCGGCGACTTTAGTTTCTAGCAAAAAAAATAATAATGATTTGCATAGCCACCCTCCTTCAAATTCCATGCAACCTTTGAAGGCAGGCTTGTTCAGACACGAGTCGCATGTCACGTAACTCAATGCTAATTTAAGAATTGATCCAGAAATTTTCCAATAAATTTGTTAATTGCTGATTTTCCAAGGTATGAACATTTGAATTATTACTGAATATCATGAATTTTTAATTATAATAAGTTTATGTCGACAATGAGACTTGATAAGGGTCGTAATAAGTAAGTTGGCAAATCTAGAACAGGAAATTAAACCGTGTTGTGATGAACTATTGATATTATGGAGTGACAGCCGAATAATGTGTCATAGTTTTCAGGCAATGGGCTGGAAGTTTAGTGACTTGGCTGAATTGTTAATTTTGTGGTGGTATATGCACACATTATTATAATCTGAGGATGAGTAAGGAAGAGAACGTGAATATGAGACGCAGACATTTTGGAAAGGCAAGGCAGAGAGAGAAAGCTACAATTATGTGGAGGTATTTATATCACCTTTGCCTGAAAGGGCTACATATTGGAAACGCCGAAACTGTTTGCCTGAACTTTGCATATGGTTCTATGAGGAGTAATGCGTATTTAATTTGGAGTTATGGGCCAAATAGCAAAATTTGCGACAAGAACTACTTGAGATATTAATGAGTTATACATACGCAGTTATACATTTACCATTTTTTATAAATTCTCATCGTCTAAATGGTACGAGACCCTGAATTTCACCAAAGGTAACACCGTCATTAAATGTAATTGATAATCCGCTTAAATCCCATGCACCGAGTGCATACAACCTTTCCGAACGTCAGGTATTGGAAGCAACCAACCATCGATGACTGCACACGTTTGCTATTGTGTTATGCAACCATATCATCGTCGACATGTTCGGCCTTGTACATGATGTTGATGTTGATTGGCAGGAAAAGTGGGGAACACATGTCTCAGAATGTCTGCATTAGTCCTCCGTTTACTTTAAAGTTTAAGAGAGATCAACTATCCGGTTAGGTTAAGCTATGCAAACCATACGACGACGTATCGTCATCATCCTCATCGCATAATCGCAATAATATGCATACTACGACATGTGTGTGCAGTAGTATTTCGGCAGGTCACAACTTTTACTACATCAAAAAAGCATGGATGCAGTCACACCCACCAACCCACTCCCAACTTACCAAACAAATAAACATGCAACCACCACCACCGCCACGATCACCAGCGTTCCTTAAATCCTTACAAACAAAGGTGGTTCACATTTTCCTACCGAATAACGAAGCCATTCATACTTTCACTACTCGGGATAAAAAAGCCTCGTCTTTGTTTCAATTTCTCTTCACGATTCTACAATCCCCTCCTTCCTGGAGTAATAGGAAAGGCGATTTATTCCCCAAATTGATTGTGTGTTTGTACTCGTGTGTGTGCATACATGTACGACGACGTCGTGGTTCTCATATATCCTCTCGTCGGTCGAGGTCGAGCGATTTTTGGGCGTTTTGGCACATGGGAGTTTCCACATTTGTACAATCGTCGTCCTCACTCTGCAATAAGACATGGCACATTATGCTAGGTAGTTAACGTTGGTGGTGATGCAATCCTTTTTCCCTTTAGGTATGGTTCGAATTCGGAAAAGCAGGAGGAAAAGAAGACAGTGCCATTACTACGACTATGGTAATACAACTATATGAACAAGTCTAAAAAAACATATCATGATGATTTCTTACTTTTCTCGATATCCATAAACCTCGTCGTTATCCGGGTGGAGGGAGCGAGATGGGAGGCAAGGCGACCAGGGTGGATGGTGTGACGCTCGAGGTGCTCGCTACCGTGGGGGATATCATAAGTAAGGAGGCATATCACCAATCCGAGAAAATAAGAGAGAGACAAGACATGCAGAATTATAAGAGAAGCATTTTCTCTTCATCTTCTTCTCCTACTCGATCTGCAAACCAGAAACGGGAAGAGAAACGTAACTCAACTATGTGTTCTGTTGTACCCCGATACGAATACGACCCGGATGGATGGATGGTAAGTAAGTAAGTAAGAAGCAAGTACCAAGCAAGACATTTCAACGGGACATCTCCTCACAGTTTACTTGGTTTTGTACATCAAACCAAGCCAAGATAAGCAGCAAGGCAGGTATCAAATGCAGCAGAGCTCCTCCGTAGGTGGTTTGCGTTTGCCTAGTCGCACCCACACCCTCCCACCCATCCCTCACGTACACCGGCCCAAGTTCCACCACCACCTGGAAACCTGTTGCGAAAGTAAACTTTAGAAAGACTTTGCAAAAAAAGGCTACAAAAAACCGTCATCTGAACAAGGAATATTATGGAATTAGTACAATATTCATTACCCGAATGACAATTGAGCTTTAAGAATTTATCTGTGATTTGATACGTTCGTTCGTTGGTTGTTTGTGGTGTGGTGAGGTGAATTGTGGATTTTGTTGTTGTGGTCTCAAAATTAGTATTACATATTCGATTATATACCAATTACTGGGGTATATTGTGGTTCAGTTATTATTTGTATCGCGTTTGAGACCGAATTAATACCTAAATACGTACCCAGTTTCATCGGCTAATTATTGAAGAAATGTGTTCTGCAACTTTGGAATAAAGTAAACTGTCTCAGGAAAATAATACATAATCAAAATTTTCATTGTGAAGAAAATGAATGTTGTTATACGCATCAGAAGACGAGATGTTACAAATGTTGTGGTGTTCGGCGTGTAGTAAAAATTTTAAAATTTGCATCCCATGGTGGTGATTTTAAGTTGTTTCGTAATTTATTGTGAATACTATCGTGTCTCGAAACTGGTCACGTTATCAAAACCGTAAGTTTGGTGATGATGTGTCGTTTAAAAGTCATTATCATATCCGTGGTGGGACATATGTACATGGACAACAACGCCACTACATATACATAATTGCTCCTAGTAGTAAAGTGCCGTTCGTTGGTAGTTGTACGTAGCGTGGATCCCTGGATATTCTGTCCGGATCAATCCACACAAATCTCAAAAAAAAGCTCAAAACTTTCGTCAGAAACGGTGAAGCTGAATATCCAGAAGATAGGACCAATCGAAAACAAATATCCAGGGTCAAGCCGAAGTCCAATGTTATGTCCTCATGGGAGTAATTGCCACACCGGAGTTGGTCATGACCCGCAACCGTAAGTATTTTGTTAAGTGGTCACCAGTTTTTGGTGGCAGGAAAAAAAGACGCTACGTCCAGAGAGACATGATAATAATGATTTTCCCCCCATGACGTGCGGCGGGTGTGGAAAGTTGGAGTGTGGCCAGTGCCACAGGACATTGTCCGTGGTAGCGTCTTTCTTTCTCCGCGTTAATTAGTGTGAGGGACACCCCTTCCATTAATTGATGCACTAATTAATTCTTAAAAAATAATGCATGCATTATTTTTCACTGACCCCTTCTGCGGATAATTTGGGACCAGCTGTACAACATGATCGGGTGGGTGGGAGGTGCGGGTTGGGACAAAGGAGATTGATTAAGAGATTGAGCTAATATGCACTGATATCAACTCATCATCAAGAACATCGCATAGTATATTTGAGGAGTTTATTAGGAAATGAATTGCAGCACAGCGTCGGTGTCGGTCTCTTTTTCTTCTTGTTATTGGATCATCTTTTCGGTTAAAGTACAACACACGACACACTCCACACGTCTTTATGCCATGCCATGCACGCCACGCTCAAAATAACTCGATCCATCCATCCATGAATCTCTTCCACCACCCTTTTCACTCTACCATTGCATTGTATCGCTCAGCTAGCTGTGATCCTACTGCCATTGAATTGCGACCGTGGGGTCGTCCATTCTGTCCAGGTTTTTAAAAAATCACCCCCACAACCACAACTCTTATTTTCCTTGAACTTGTCGATATGAATTTGTCGATAAGTAAATATGCTTCTGCTGAAATTAAGAACTCAAATTTTCAGAGAATCAAAAGATACTAAAAGAACTCTGCGGTTCGACTTTGTCTGCTTCTTTTTCTTGGAATTCTGTTGCCCCGAAGTAATTGTAAACATTGTATGAACAACTTTTGAGAGGAGAGACAGGAAACGTTATAGACAAAATTTCTGAGAAATTGCTTCATATACTTAAAAAAATCTGAATTCTCAGACCACTCAAAAAAAGAAATATGGTTGGATGAATATGTGGATTCAAACACGTATTGATTGCTAACCGAGCGTGATGATAAACGACGATGGTAAAAAGAGGTTGTGTCGTCGTTATCATCGCTTTTTTTAATTCTCAGTTAAATAGACTTGCATCACAAAATTGACAGGTCAATTGACAAGTCTTTTGTTTCTTGGATTTGCTTTCTTTCTCCATTTTCTGGTCGTTTGGCCACTCACTTGCACTTATCTGCGAGGCTACCGTAGCGGTTTCTCCCTTCTTCAGAACGAGAACAAGTAGTTGCTCTTGGCAGGGAGCCATCGCCATACCACGAAACGATAGAGAACAAGATGCGATGCCCCTCTCTTCGCCTATAGCGTGTGTGCGTCACTGCCACCACTATCCACGTACCTCTACGAGTACAACAAGTACAAACTCTGGTCACCGTGTTAAAAGTAACAAGAAATTCGCCAATTTAGCAAATGAAGGAGGAGAATTCGACGTCAAGAAGGGTGAAAGCAGGAGGAGAAAGTCTGACAAAAAAGTGAAAGTAGTAAAAACAGGAAATTGATGCAAAATTGATGCGAGTGATGACCACCCAATATTCGAATTCGTAATCTGGTCCTGTCAGAATGTCAGAGAAAATTGTCAGAGAAAATTTGGTGGTGACAACTTTTGTGCGCACGGAATTTGACCAGTGCAATTACAACGCTACTTAAATCGCTCTACTCCCTGTCAATTAAAAGTGTCAGAACGTTGATAGCTTCTTCTCCTCCTCTTCCTCCTCCGCCTCCTCATCTCTTCTCAATAAGCTATCCATGATTGATGGGGATGCAGCATTATCATCATCGTCATCATCGCGATGCGGCTTGCTTCCAGCTACGCTCTGGGGTTCGGGGGTCGGTTTGTATGGGAGCGAGCGAGAGGAACAAGACGGATACAAGCCGAATAAGCAGTGAGAAATGTATCTTTCGAATAACTGCTTTCGGGGGGATGCACCAGGGTAAAGAAGAAGATATGAAGTTATACTGTGTGCCACCACTTTTTTGCCGATGGGTTCGGGACTCTGCTAAAATTAGTCACTCCACCTCAGTCACCTCACCGACGACTCAGCCAACATCACTACGACACCATACAGCACCACGCCACGCCACAGTGTGTGTGTGTATGTATGTATGTGTAAAAGACTGTAGTGTGGCAAGTGTTCCTCAAGTATTGCACCTCTCTCTCTCTCTCCCTCTCCCTCTCTCTATCCATCTTTTAGTATCAGTTTTGTCCTCTTGGTCGGTCTCTCTCATTTCCGGAAAGGAATAATCAAGGGACCGTTGACTATCCAAGAATAAGAATGTGGTCGTGGCGGTGAAAAAGAGGGGGAGGACGACAGATCAGTCAGTTGAAAGTGTGCGTCTGTGCGTAACTGTCGATCAGTGGATGGATACTATGGCCACGGTCTATGAATGATGATACTCCACTGGTCACGAGAAAAGTGATGTGACTATAAAGTGACCACTTTGACAGCTGCTGTACTGCTGGGATGATGTTAATCCCGGTGGTTGGAATAAAGACTAAGAGTTGAGAGTGCGTGGTACAAAAGGAAGGAAAGAAGTACCGCCGCCACTGCTGTCACCATGGAGCGGAAGAGATCGACTAGTCGGTCCCCTTCTCTCTCGAGGAGACCCTCCTTCAAGGAGAAGAAGGGAGTGACCCTCCTCGCCAAGAAGAAGAAGGGGACGGGACCCTCTGGGAAGAAGGAGAGGTGGCTCCTCACCCGCAAAACGTGGCGGTACATGACCGACGCGGTGGGAAATTTGTTACCCGAGTACCGAACAGGGAGTCATCATCACGGAGGTCATGGTGCCAATGCACCTACAACAACGACTCCGACCGCGAGTGGGTCTGGTTCTGGGTCTGGTGCGACGAGTAGGAGGGGATCGGGCTTGTTTCAGGGTGGTGGTGGTAGTGGTAGTGGTGGTGGTGGAAATAAGGGGACCGCATCCCCACCACCGGGTCAGTTACAGCCCCACCAGTTGCAGCAGTGGACAATGCAACAGCAGCAATGGGTGAGTAAATATGTACAGAATTTTCTTCAGTTCTTGTGTAAATGCATTGCCGTGTCAAATTTAGCTCTTAAAAAATAAAAAAAAACTTGTCTCTACCCATCATTGTTTTACTCCAACAGGTCCAACAGCATAGTTCCACGACGACCTTCTCCACCGGAACGACTCCATCCGTCTCAACCACATCCGGGTCCAACCAACCTCAACAACCAAAGTCTAAACCCACGTCCCCCACTTCGGGCAACTTTCCTTCCTGGGTGCCATGTTCATTTCCATCCCACAGACCTGGGGTCACACCCACGGGACCAGGACCTGGTGGTCAACAGCATCTAGTTCATCACAGAACGGGTCAAATATTGGGACCGGTGAATAAATATATTAATCCGGCCGTAGACCCGGAAGATTTAGTTCAGGTGGAGCAACATTTCCAGGTAAATGTCATATCTTACAAATCTCTACGAGTAATTTAACTGCATGTAAACACCTCTTACAACTTTCTTCTTTCTTTGATAGGACGTGTGCACCAAAGAGAAGAAATTCCTCCTGTGGACGAGAAACAAACCGAAAGCCCTCTCCGGTCCGGCCCTACGCGACTTGAAAGAGAAAGAAAAACGTGACGAGGCTGCTTTAGCTGCAGCCGCAGCAGCAGCATCCCCTCCGAAAAAGCTCCTCCTCCCCGACTACTTTTCACCCGATGAGTTTGAAGAGGACGAGGAAGACTATGACGAGTATGGTGCCGAGGATGAAGAACAAATCACTGTGTGTGAGCGTCGAAAAAGCTCCACGGCCTCAAGTACAATTTCCATCATTGGTGGTCAACCGGGCACCTCGTCCTCGTTTTTCCGTCCCCTTTCATCCTTCGGTCAACCGCAGCATGCATCCTCCTCTCACTCGGAGACGAGCTACTCGATGGTCGGGGGTGGGCCGGGCGAGGCGCAGAGAGTTGTGCGGCACACGGGGATTCAGACAGACCCGTTTCCAGAAGAGTTGCTCATCCGGCTAAGGCTTCAAGCGGTGCATGACGAGAGGCAAAAGCAGATCCAGGCGATGCAGATCCAGCTGCAGAGACAGCATCATGGAGGTCAAGGACAACAGCTGCATCATCACCAAGGTGGTGATCATGGTGACATGGGGGGAAATGCCGGTAGTGGTGGAGATGCCACAGCAGGTGGGCATATGACCACGGGGATGGGACCATGGTACGGTGGTGCTGGTGGGGTTGGCTCCTTCGGGTCTAGCGGCACTAGTGGAGGTGGTGGTGGTAGTGGAACAGGAGGAGGAGGAGGAGGCACTGGGACACAATATTCTGGTGGAGGAGGTTTGATGGGTTTGCATGGACCACAATACCAATCAGGCGGACCTAGCGGAGGTACTAATAACTGTTTCTTATTATGGAATTGAGAACGAAATTTCAACAATATTTTCATTTCTGTCCCATTTTAGTACATCATCACTCCGGAATGGGCGCTGGTCATGGCAGTGGTGGCGCTGGTTCTGGTGTGAATCTGCGCTCCGTGTCCCTCTCTACCAGCCCCGGTGGGGGTTTGAAGGAAACTGTGATACCCATCAATACGGCCAATCTGACGAGTGCTAGCTATGGTCACTCTACGGATCAAGGCGGCGGTGCTGGTGGGGCAGGGCTTCGAAGTCAGAGTGGATCTGGGCGTGAGTCTGAGGAGAAAATGTTGGAGTATGGCGGAGGGAAAACTGGTGGTGCTGGTGCCCCTGACTCTACTGACAAGAAGAGCGAAGAATCTGGATACTCGTCATCAATTTCGGATACAGTCATGAAATACCTTCGCATCATGCGCAAGAATTCCAAGGCGGATAACAAAGAGACGATCGACAAGTTCAAAACGGTCAACTATGATCGCTCCTTGAGATACATCAAGAGTAAAAATGTGACCGTGGAGGAAGCATTGGAGCACGAAAAGAACAAAGCTTTAGGCTTAAGTGGCAAGGGCAGTGGTGGTGCGGGTGATGAGCAACCAGTCAGTGACTCCACAGCTCAACAAGGTCAAAGTCCTGGTCAACCCAATCAGCAGCAACAACCGGGGACGACAAGTAAACCTTCTGCTGCATCGCCAAGTGCAGGCAGCGGATCAACGGGACAAACCTCAGCCCCACTTTCACCAACCGCACCAAAGGAAAAGGCAGGAGGGACAAAAGTGAAGCAGAAAAAGCAGCAACAATCACAACAGCCTCCGCTTTCTCCGACATCTTCGTCCTCACCCCCACCACCACAACAACACCAAACTCCAGCTGGTCAGGAAAGTGGTCAGGATCTCATAACCGGGATCGTCCATCAAGGAGGAACATCTGCTGCTGCCACTTCCGGTGGTGCCAGTGGGGTTCGTTCGTTACCTCATTTAGGGTCACCCCCACCAACAAGTCCGTTGGAGGATGGGAGTGGCAGTGAGGTCGAAGTGGCGACACCAACAAATACGACGGACAAGAAAAAGGGCACTCTTGGGAAGAAAAATACTGTCAAAAAGAAAGTTGTTGGTGCAGTGAGTGGAAAGAGTGAGAGTGGAAAAGTGGCAGCGACAAATCTCGCCACCGAAGCCACAGTGAGAGGCCAGCAAAAGCAAAATGCTAGCTTATCATCATCCTCCTCCCCACAAGTAGGACTGGCCTCAACATCCTCTTCCGGAGGCATCATTGATATGGGGAAAGGTACACTGGGGCAAGTTGAGAAACTGGCAAGTCCATCATCCATGGCTGTTGATACGACTGGAGCAAACTCTCCCGTGTCGAATGCAACGACAGCGATAACACCAAATCAGGCAGCCGGTACAACAGTGGGCGGAGGAGGTGGTGTCATCCGCCACCTACGAGTGACCTCACCTCCGAAAGAGGTAGGCATCCAAGCGGGTGAAAGTTTGATTAAATATTTGCGAAAGCTATCCGACTTCTCGTCCCCCTCCGAATCCCCGGCAGAACTGGCCTCACTTTCTCCCCGGCTTTCCATCGCGACATCGGAGGGAGCCGAATGGTACATGCACCACGCCCAGTATCACCACAGCACAACTTCGTCCGGCATCCCCACCACGAGTCGGAGCAGTTTCGACGCCTTTGACCTCTACTCGGTCGGAGGTGGCGATTCCTCCGCGTCAACGTCGGAATGGGAGGACGCTTGGGTGCAACAACTATTGCAATATCAGCAATTATTCCAGCAGCAACAAGGCTGCGGAGGACAGCAGCAGCAGATAATGCCAGAATCGTCCACCTTGCTCAGTCCACCACAGGGAGTGGGAGGAGGGGGAAAAGGTGGACTTTCGCCAATTCCAGCGTCAGCGACTGGGTCCTCAGGTTGGTGTTACTTCTTTGGCTTGGTTTAGTGAGTGTGGTTAGTGTGCAAATTTTGCCGTTCTTTTCTTAGGATCCTCTGGCTCTGGTAGTGGTGGTGGGGGTGCATCATCAACTTCTTACTCTCCAAGGACACAGCACCACCAACTGAACGTCAAAATCTGCCCCTCTTCTGCTCCCCCTGCATCGGGATCCACACCTTCGACGCCTGGGGGAGGATCTGGTTCTTCCATCATGTCCTCGTCTCACGGAGAAAGAGGAGGAGGCAGCAGTGGTGGCGGTGGTCTCATGAAATCATTCTTCTCTTCATCCCCATTCTCATCATCGTTCGGGTTTAGAAGTTCCTCGAGCAAAAAACCATCCTCGACAAGTTCCCTTGGTCAGGGTGGCTCGGGTGGTGGCGGGTCTACCGTGACGACGTCCAACTCCGCCTCGTCCGTACTGGGTCGAGGTGGAGGATTATTAGGGTTGCCTCCGACCACATCATCCTCTCCAAATCTTCTTAGTCTCGTCCATTCCACGTCGTCAGGGTCGCATAGTCATGCTCACAGTGGTGGTCATTCATCTTCCAGTGGTCACGGCTTTTTCAGGAGTTCTGACCGCGACCTGAGAATAGGTTTAGGTGGTAGTGGTGGGGGTGGTGGTGGTGGTTCTACGAGCTGGGCTGGGGGTATGCTGAGCCGGGTTGGGTCAGGATCTAGGTCTCGATCGGGTGGTGGTGATGGTGGGAGCGGGGGTTTGGGGTCATCCTTTGGATTTGGGTCGAAAGTTCCGCAGAAGGGCGAAATGAATCTGCCCCTCGTAGATAACTCTAACCCACTTTCTCCTCCTTCTTCTTCTTCCTCTAATCCAGTGATGCAGAAGTCCAAGTCTTCCTCCAGTGTGGGGGGAGGCGGTGGCGGCGGCGGTGCGGGGACCGGAGGAGGCGGTGGACGAGGACTTATCTCAAAGAGCTCCAGAATTTTCAAGTCCAGATCTAAAAGTACGACGAGAGCGAATACGAGCTCAAGCGGGTCTGCGCCATGTTCCTGGGCTCCGCAGGTGGGTGACCAAGCATTGCATAACATCATAATTTATCATCTCATATTTGTTAGTCCAACTTGTGCCAATGTATGTGCAGGGAAAATGTCGCTGGCGATCCCCCTCTGGAAAGACGATCACCCTCGAATCCACCAACGCCCTGGCCCTCTCCGAACTGGAACGCTCCACTCTGGTCGAGGTGGCTTTGGAGAAGTTGAAATCCATAAATCTCGGCGTGGAGGTGAAGCTTCCCAAGGAGAAGGCTGCTTCCGGGGCAACCACGAAGAAACGGCGTCCCTACCTCTTGAAGAAGAAGGCTCTCTCCACGGGTTTCTTCGAAGGGGGCAAACGGGACGAGAAAGGTAAGGCCATCCTGATTTCACAGTCATCTAGTCATCATCCGTCCGGGTTTGTGTGTTGTGTTTTCGCTTCTTTTTCCATGTTATATTTTTTCTGGCTGGGGGCCAACGATTACACACTTTTTGCCTATTTTTACCTGCCCACCGCACGTCCACCATGACCAATTGTTTACTCCGAGCCGCAGTAATGTGTCTCGTGAGTGGAAACAACGTAGATGCCGAGGAATTGGGGCGGCGCTGCCCGTCATCATAAACATCCACTCATCATTCCTTCCTCCACTTCGACGTATGTATCCATCCATTTCATAAGTTATGTTACTTTCTTACCTGGTTTCTGTTTACTTTACACTTTTACAACCACCACATTTTTTTACGGGCTTCATTTTTTACCCGGATTTCGCAAGTGTGTTGAAGCGAAGAGAGAGAGAGAGAGAGACGGCTTGCTGCTTCGTTGGAGGGGAAGAATCTTTATTTTTGCTACTAAAATTCTACTAATACACTCGAGTTTTTTGATGATGATGACCCTTGCCATTTCATGGCATGGAAATTAGCCTTGTGTTGTTGTGGCGTAGCTGATGGTTCTCTGTTCTGTTACGTGGTCCTATTTTTACTCCAGTATTACTACTCCTTTTATCTATGCCAGACTGAGAAGAGGAGATGATGATGATCATGTGGCACTAAATTATTATGGGTTTCGAGTCAATGTCATTTTTTTCGTATTTTTGTACGCCCAAATCATTCCATTTGTAGGAAAAGATGTTCATTCTAAATATACGGCTTATTAGTGGAATTAGCTTTTTGGGCAGAGAGAGAGCAAGAGAGCTGCCTTCCACTCATCTTCAGTGACATCGATGACTTACATGTGTACGTAGATAAAAGGAGGAGGAGAAGGAGGAGGAGGAGAAAGAAGGCATAAAAATTTTTGCCAACTTTCACCTCAAATAACAACCGCAATGGCCTCCGTGGCAATTTCCACTTTCGCAGAATCCTGTCCCATGATGCATCCTGCTCTGGTGCGGCATGCACACTTCTCATTATTTGTCCAAATGAAATCCCCAATTAACTCTGAGAGAGAGGAGAGAACGTTAGCATGAAGCTCTCGAGAGCGTTTTATGAATATGTACACGTACGAATAATATGTGACAAAATAACAACCTTGCTCCGAGTAGTGTTCTGTTCTCTCCTGTGCATTCATAAGTATGCAAAAAACATGAAGCAGAGTCTGTCTGTCGAGTTGCTTGGTTTGGTTTGTGAGGAGAAGATGTGCTTTAAAAAATTGAAGTGGATGCCGGATTCGCTCGCAATGTTGGAAAGACAAAAGGGCTAAAAATACGGGACCCGAGTCTATTTTTGAGACTGCAGTTCGAATGCAGTTCATTCCGCGCATTCCTCACGAATGGGCGACGCGCTTATGGTTGATGATCGCAATAAGGATGGGAAAAAGTGGCGGTGCTGATGGTGGCACACGGCATAAAGTTTAAACGGAAAGTAATCACCAAAAGTTTGGATGGAAAAGTCAATGTCAAATGTCACTCACTCACTACTCGTGTTTCTCTTCAGCTTTGTTCACCAGTTATTTATTCATTCCCCGATGATATGATATGGTGGCGAAGAATGAATGCCAGGAGGAGCATCCAGGCAGCTAGATTGGGTCGTTGGCGTCATGTGACGGCAGTCGTGACGACGGAAGTATGTTCATACATGCACTGTTGTACTTACCAGCAGAACTATACATACATACGTGGATGTATTGTAGGAATGCATCCTTTCTAACGGCAAGGCCATGATTGTGTGTGCCATGTACTTGTTGACGGTGTTGTTGTGGTTGATAATAGATTAAGAGGTCTGTCATACATAAATACTTTGATGTAATCCGGCATGAGTGACGCAAGGCAGAGAGGTCACAAGAATGTACTTAGGCATAATTTTACTGGTCTCCCACAGAGTCGAGCGGTGGGAGTGGGATGGTTTTCGGGATCTCGTTGTCCACATGTGTCGCCAATGACCGGTTGCGCCAAGGAGTTCAGGGAGGAGCAGGAGGAGGAAGTGGCGGAGGGTCTACAGCTACCCAACCTCCTCAAGCAGCAACTGCGACCACGACGACCACCACGACCCAAGGAAGCACGCCCTATTATAGGAAAAGATCTCAAAATGGGAGTAGAAACAGCGTCGCGGATGTTCAGATGGGTCGTGAAGATAAGGTAACACAATAATTAAATTAGGTAGAAATTAGTGAGAAATGCATTGGTTTTGATTAAAATTTTATAATTGGGATTTGAAACAGGGTTCGACGGAGAGTTTGTTATTTTGGGGAAAGCGTGGCAGTGTCGCAGCCGTTGAGACCATTCCAGCCGCGGTGGGACAGCCTCCTTCCATGGTGAGAGAAGAAAGGTCAATGTGCCCAATAGAGCACAATTAGTACATGTTTTTGCATAACGTAGGACATACTGCAACCCCCACTCCCCTCAGTTCCATCCATTGTTACGGCTTGCGTGCAGCATTTGGAGAACTATGGGCTTCATACCACAGGAATTTTCAGGGTGTCCACGTCACTCAAACGGATTCGACAGGTTAATCAATCCGGAGCTTACTTATAAATGAACTTAATTTACTTATTTATGTCCATAATGTTCTAGTTGAGGGAAGAGATTGACGGGGGGAAAGATGTGGAATTTGGTGAAGAGCACAGTCCTCACGACGTGGCTGCCTTGTTGAAAGAATTTCTCCGCGACCTGCCAGACCCACTCCTCTCACGGGAACTGTACCAACCTTTTCTTAAAACACAGAGTAAGGAGAAATGCATTAATTTGTAGTTTCTATTTCTTGCCAACCATGTCTCATTTCCCATTTTAAACTATTTTGCGCTATGCTTTCTCCAGAAATACGAAACCGTAAACAACAACTTGAAGCAGTCCAACACCTCGTCCAATTACTTCCTGCCGCAAATCGCGACACGCTGGCATCTCTCCTCGCCTTTTTCGCCAAGGTTGTCGCCAACGCGGGCGAGACGAGAAGCTCGGGTGGAGAGCTACTGCCTGGAAACAAGATGGAGGGCTACTCCCTAGCCACGCTGATCGCCCCAAACATCCTCCCGTGTATGGAAGGAGGTGGAACGGCGGGGTCTGGGGACCACACCCTCACGAAAGAGAGGAGAGAGTCCATCGACGTGGTCAACTACATGATCTCCAATTACACCCAGTTGTTCGAAATCTCGCCCGAACTGCTTCACGATGTTTATCTCCATCTGATGGACACTCAGCCGGAAGCGGTGGAAGGACTTTTAAAAATCAAGAGTGGATTTGTAGACGAGTAAGTGCAAAAATAATAAATAAAACCATTCCTTGGATTATGTCATCTTATGTCCCATTTCCAGTGCTAATGACGAAATGGAGACGAGTTCCGTGTTCGAGGGGAGTGAATGCGGTGACCTGCCGGAGGGGGAAGAAGTCCAGACACCACAACCACAACAGCGTGTCTTTCGGAGACGGGAGGATATATTGCATGAAGGGGCAGCACACGGGGGACCAATTTCAGGGCACTCTCACCATACGAGTCAACCAGCAACAGCAGCAGCAGAGCCGAGTGGAAGGTGTGGATGACAAAGTTACGTTAATTAGAAACTGACTAATTTTTGCCTCAGGTTGAGAGGAAGTGATCGAGTTCGTGGGAGAAGAGACAGCTCTCGAGATCGATCAGGAGGTGCGGCAGTTTCGGATCAGGAGAAAGGGGGTCAAAGTGGGGCAGAAAGTGACACCTCCAGTACAAAATCCAGTTCGAGATGGTTCCGTAGAACGAGGCCAGATAAGACGAGAACTTCCAGTGATTCAGGTAACAGATTAACCATCCTCATAACTTTGCAGTCAAAGCATTAACAAATTTCATGACAAATTAAAGGAAGCGAGAAAGTGAAATGTTTCACCAGCGGAGGGATTGCCACTGCCCATCCCACTCAGAAAAGTGGTCTGGAATCGAAACGAGCCAATTCTCTAGATTCCGTCAACATGAAGGAGTCTTGTAGTCAAGGCGGAGGTGGTGGGAGTAGCGACGTCACTGGAGGAGCCACATCCCAAAAGGAAAAGAGTAATTCCGACCAAAGTTTAAAAGTTCCAGAAAATTTGAATAGACGGCAAAGCTCTCCGGTTTTGGAGAGTGCGGGTGTAATCACGGCGTCCTTGAAGGTAAGGGTAAGCAAGCAGTGGGGTCGAAAAGATGGCAAATGTACTAAAGAGATGACACAATTTTAGATCCCAGTCCCTGTCCCGCTGAACATTGACGACACCGACATTCCATTTATCGAGGAGGACCATCAGCACCACCACTCTCACTACTCGTCCACACGACAACACCCAATAGTTCCTGCGGCATCGAGTACAGCTCGAAGTAGAGGACGTTCTGCGTCTACGGATTCCTCTGCTCCAATAAAATCGCCGCAATCAAGCCACACTACGACGCCAATTAGTGAGAATTCCTACTAAATTTTTTATTCTTCTATTCAATCTGAATTTACCCATTTTATAAATAGGTTCCCCAGGTAGGCAACCCTCCTCCGAGGTGTCGTCTCCCCTCGGCTTCTCACCCCCCGGCTCGCCTCCCTATGACACATTCCCATATGAAGAGATGACTGCCCGCATCCTCCTCGGCGGTACTGCCGGAACTGACCAGGTCACAGCTTCGACATCCACGTCCACCACCATGACCAGTTCGGTGGACAAGGTGGTTCCGGCCAAGGTGGTCACGTCGTTGTATCTCCAGCCCGCCGCCAATACACCAAATGCCAATAGTAGTAATAGCGGAGGAGGAAATTCTGGAGGACCATCATGCCAAACGGCCACCGCGTCGGTTTATATCCCGGGCGTAGCATCGGGTATAGTAACTGCCAGTTAGTTTGAATTATATTGTCAAATTATCCATCATTCATGACGTTGTCTTTATTTCTAGATGGCAAAACCCATGGCAAAGAAACAACTCGCCACCTCGGAATCCTTTCTACAACCCCATCCTCCGGGTCAGCTATCGGTGGTTTGATAAAATCCAAAACAGCAGATTTTGAAAAACTGTCTAAATCCACCGCCAACTCGCCCACATCTTCCACGGCTACCTTGACGTACTCAATAGCTCCCAAAATGAGGCTCCGTTCCCAAGAGAACATTGTCCTCAAACAGCAATTCCTCCTTCGACAGCAGCAACTCCAGCAACAGCACCCCCATTATGCACACCCTTCACAGGAGGAGGGACGGAGGCGCGACGCGTCAAACACGCCCACGCCTCCCCCTCAAACGACTTCTGGACACGAAGCTAATCATAAATCGACCACCGTCAGGTCACCTTCTGTCAAGGATATGACGACGACAGAGCAGCAGCAGCAGCATGGGTCACCAACACATTCGCCTACATCCAAGTATGAAAAGTTCATGACTCAAAGTGTCACAAATTTGCTAATCAATCCTGTTTAATAGATCCTCACCCGGATCGCGTGGTCTAACCCGTCGTCGTCAACCCCTCACTGGGTCCGCTTCGTCCTCCGCTATCATCCCCTCATCATCCCACCACTCGTCGTCGTCCTTGACGTCCTCCGACCACCACCGACCTCACCACGGGTCAAGGCATCCACCCACCGTGACAGAGCCACAGACCGTTCCCACTCCGGCCGGAAGTAGTGGAGGTGGCTCACCGTCACGTTGGAAAAGGTCTGAAATAATTGCGAGTCGGCATGACGATTCGCCATCGGACCACGGAAGTGGTGGTGGGAGTTCCCGTTCGATCGGCGGTGGAGGTGGGGGTACACCGGAGACGTTTCTATGACGTCGCCGCACTTGCGATATCATTGCCGTCGTCAAAATCATAATTAATAATAATAATAATCATAGTAGTTTTGCTTCCATTATGATGATCCATTTTTATTCAGATTTTTACGCTTCAGATTATTCTTGTAAAAAATTAATTTTATTATTACGACTAAACTCGATATATCTTATTATTTCATGCTGACCTTCTTACTTTACTTACTTAAAATACTTCTAGTTTGGCTCCTGTAATTATTATTATTTTAGCAATTATTTTAGCAATTATTTTGCATGGTGCTATTTAAATATGAAAAAATATGTGTGCTAGAGAAAAAGTGAGATTTAAGATTAAAATAAGAACTCGGTCCACGTGGATTGACGCCACCGACAGGATTTTGTGACCATCGCCGCGTTGTTGTATTTATTTTGAGACCATTTTTATTATGTTCCGTTTCTCCGTTACTATTTTTTGGCTATTAAGCTTATCATTATGTACACTATGCTGGTAAACTACATATTATACGGTGCAGCATGCAGCTACGTAAACTGACAATTTTATTAACTCACAAAATAAAAGGAATGAATAAGTATAACATTTTTCGTGGTTGTTGTACTAATTCTAAATAGTTCATCCTAATAATCTTAGACTCGACGCACGCATTGTTTAACATTTAATAACAACAACAGAGATTCACTATTCAACAATTTGTTATTTGTGGCGAAAGTGAAAATTTTACAAGACGGTGAATTTGTTGGGAAACAAGAATGAATAAATAATTGCGGAACGATTCGATGGGTGGGAAAGTTCAGGAGAGACGTGATTATGTACTTCAATTGCATGTTTAGAATAAACTAAATACTTAAATGTTATTATGCCAATTATTTTTAAAGGGTGTGTCACGCAATAAAAGGTTTATTTGTATACCAGCTGGTAGAGTTGCATAGGTTATTTATTTGTTCTGCATTTAAATATTTCTGAGAATAAGAAGATTCCCAATAATAACTATCAGAACCAAGAATTGTGCAGTGGTGTGTGTTACCAGTTGAACTTGGCGCTTGATTACACACGTGTCTCACATTGTCCAAGCTTAGGTCACCTAGCGCCAGTTGGGTCACTATGTTACATTTTTCGTTTCTAGAGGGCGTTTTTCGCTAAAGTGTCAAAACGTTGACGAACACGAAAACAACGAAACACACCCTTTGGATCTGCCGAGACTTGATCAAATGAACAGGCACACCCCCTAAACTTGACACTTTACCTGTGACCTGGGCACACCCACTATACTTGAACTGTGACCTGGGCACACCCGCTACACTTGACCTGTGACCTGAGCACACCCATTACACTTCACCTGTAACCTGGGCACATCCACTGTACTTGACACTTGACCTGTGACATGGGCACACCACTTGGACTTGACATTTGACCTGTGATCTTGGCACACCCACTAGATTTGACATTTGACCTGTGACCTGGGCACACCCCCTGGACTTGACATTTGACCTGCGACCTGCGTACAATCCCTAAACTTGGCACTTAACGTAGTTGACACTTGACCTGTGACCTGGGCACATCCACTATACTTTACACTTGACCTGTAACCTGGACACACCCACTACACTTGACCTGTGACCTCTGTGCCCCACGGTATAGTTTACACTTGACCTGTGCCTTACTAATTTTAATTACCTACCAGCGCCACCTATCGGATGTTGGCTGTTTTTCAGCGCTAGAGGGCGGGCTTTTGCTTTAAATGCCTAAACGTTCTTAAAACGTTAGAACAATGCCATCAGACCCAAGAATTGTGCAGTGGTGTGTGTGTGTGTGTGTGTGTTACCAGTTGAACTTGGCGCTTGATTACACACGTGTCTCATATTGTCCAAGCTAATGTCACCTAGCGGCAGTTTGGGCACTATGTTGTATTTTTCGTTTCTAGAGGGCGTTTTTCCCTAAAGTGTCAAAACGTTGACGAAAACGAGAACAACGAAACGCACCCTTTGGATCTGCCGAGACTTGATCAAATGAACGGGCACACCCCCTAAACTTGACACTTTACCTGTGACCTGGGCACACCCACTAGATTTGACACTTTACCTGTGACCTGGGCACACCCACTAGATTTGACATTTGACCTGTGACCTGGGAACACCCACTACACTTGACCTGTGACCTGGGCACACCCGCTACACTTTACCTGCGACCTGGGCACACCCCCTAAACTTGACACTTTACCTGTGACCTGGGCACACCCACTAGACTTGACATTTGACCTGTGACCTAGGCACACCCACTAGATTTGACATTTGTCCTGTGACCTGGGAACACCCACTACACTTTACCTGCGACCTGGGCACACCCGCTACACTTTACCTGCGACCTGGGCACACCCCCTAAACTTGACACTTTACCTGTGACCTGGGCACACCCACTAGACTTGACATTTGACCTGTGACCTAGGCACACCCACTAGATTTGACATTTGTCCTGTGACCTGGGAACACCCACTACACTTTACCTGCGACCTGGGCACACCCGCTACACTTTACCTGCGACCTGGGCACACCCCCTAAACTTGACACTTTACCTGTGACCTGGGCACACCCACTAGACTTGACATTTGACCTGTGACCTAGGCACACCCACTAGATTTGACATTTGTCCTGTGACCTGGGAACACCCACTACACTTTACCTGCGACCTGGGCACACCCGCTACACTTTACCTGCGACCTGGGCACACCCCCTAAACTTGACACTTTACCTGTGACCTGGGCACACCCACTAGACTTGACATTTGACCTGTGACCTAGGCACACCCACTAGATTTGACATTTGTCCTGTGACCTGGGAACACCCACTACACTTTACCTGCGACCTGGGCACACCCGCTACACTTTACCTGCGACCTGGGCACACCCCCTAAACTTGACACTTTACCTGTGACCTGGGCACACCCACTAGACTTGACATTTGACCTGTGACCTAGGCACACCCACTAGATTTGACATTTGTCCTGTGACCTGGGAACACCCACTACACTTGACCTGTGACCTGGGCACACCCGCTACACTTTACCTGCGACCTGGGCACACCCCCTAAACTTGACACTTTACCTGTGACCTGGGAACACCCACTACACTTGACCTGTTACCTGGGCACACCGCCTGGCATTGACATTTGACCTGTGACCTTGGCGCACCCACTAGATTTGACCTGTGACCTGGGCACACCCTTTGGACTTGACATTTGACCTGCGTACAATCCCTAAACTTGGCACTAAACGAAGTTGACACTTGACCTGTGACCTGGGCACATCCACTATGTGAGCGTCCATAAATCACGTGATCGATTAGAGGGGGGGAGGGGGTCTGAAATTTGTCACCAAATATCACGGGGGGGGGGCGGGGTAGATGGTCAGATGTCACGTGACATGAGTAAAGTTTTTTTAACTTTTGTATATGCCAATAAATGTCATGAGAGTTATACATAAACTCTCTTGGCATACCACGCGCACGTTATATGAATTTGATTTTCATTTTGGATATTTGGAAACTTGCTTCGACTTAAATTCTTATGTCCGACTGGCGTATTAAATAGTTATTTACACATGTGTGTAGTGTAGCTCTAATTTGATTAATGAGTTAAAAATATTGTTATGCCGGACAACATGATTTAATTTGAGCATCATATTCTGTCACGTGACCGGTGGGGGGGGGTAGCGAAATTATCACCACCGGTCACCAAGGGAGGGGGAGGGGGTCAAAATTGTCCAAGAATCGATCACATGATTTATGGACGCTCCCTATACTTGACCTGTGACCTCTGTGCCCCACTGTATAATGGACACTTGACCTGTGCCTTACTAATTTTAATTACCTACCAGCGCCACCTATCGGATGTTGGCTGTTTTTCAGCGCTAGAAGGCGGGCTTTTGCTTAAAGTGCCTAAACGTTCTTAAAACGTTAGAACAATGGCATTCTTTAGAGTTGTGACCAAACGTTTTTCGTGGTCACAACCGTTATAGTCGTAACCTAACGTTTTTCGTGGTCACAACTTTTAAAGTCGTGACTGAACGTTTTTCGTGGTCACAACCTTTAGAGTCGTGACCTAACGTTTTTCGAGGTCACCCCCTTTAGAGTCGTGACCTAATGTTTTTCGTGGTCAACCCCTTTAGAGTCGTAACGGAACGTTTTTTGTGGTTACCCGCTTTAGAGTCGTGACCTAACGTTTTTCGTGGCCACCCCCTTTAGAGTCGTGACCTAACGTTTTTCGTGGCCACCCCCCTTAGAGTCGTAACTGAACGTTTTTCGTGGTTACCCGCTTTAGAGTCGTGACCTAACGTTTTCCGTGGCCACCCCCTTTAGAGTCGTAACTGAACGTTTTTCGTGGTTACCCGCTTTAGAGTCGTGATCTAACGTTTTTCGTGGCCACCCCCTTTAGAGTCCTGACCTAATGTTTTTCGTGGTCACCCTCTTAAGGGTCGTAACTAAACGAATTTCGTGGTCACACCCACAGAGTCGTGACTGAACGTTTTTCGTGGTTACCCCCTTTAGAGTCGTGACTGAACGAATATCTTGGTCACAACCATAGAGTCGTGACAGCACGTTTTACGTTGTCACACCAATAGAGTTGTGAACTCTATTATTAAACATCGTGCTATGAAACGTAACAATCAAGTCCACGCTCCTTTGCTCTGTGTGAAGGTAAATGTGTAACAATTATTCAGCAGGAATTTGTATCGCTAAACTAAATGAAATCGTTTTGCTTAGAGCCCGCATTGCGGGCTTAAGAGACTAGTCTGCATATAAAACGAAATCACAAATGTACTAAAATTTGTACCCACCAACTTTTTGATGAAATAATTAAGATGTCAAAGTGTCAAACACAAATCCTATTTTAAGCGAAACGAATGTGAGTCAAGAACGTCAAACGTGGAGATAACTTCAGGACGAAGATGATGATACCATTGCATTACTGGAGGGCAGACGAGGTCAGATAAGCCACTGCTCATGGATTAGTATGTAATTATTTTGCGTAATATTTAATGATGCAATATATTAGTAGAAGAACTGGAAGGAAGCAAAAAGTTGTTTGACTTTAGTTTACTCAATTTACGTGGAGAGTGAGGCTGTGCTTGTGCTCAATCAAGGGGTCGATTTTGGACAGCAAATTTTCTACCGTGTGAAATTGTAAGTCGTCATAATATTCAATCAAAAATATATATAAACATTTAAAGGCTTATCAGTAAATCTTTAACGTTAAGAAAATATATAGAAAAAATTTTAGGATTGAAAAATTGACCAAATCGTCTCAGATTTCCAGATTTTTAACTTAATTAATTACGTAATAAGTTGTGACGTATCATTTTTTCCCATTTAAATGCCTATCCTTTGTTAATTCTCAAGTGAGTGCAACTCAATTTAGATGGAAATTTTCGAATGAGTCTGTTTTCCATAAAATTGACAAGATTACACTATCTGAATGCATGTACGTACACCATGGAGATAGAGATGATGGGTGTGTGTCTGATATCTCGTCTCACATGTTGGGCAGTAATGAAATCAAGTTGGTCATATGTGTGTATTACTTGATTATTTATATTGCATTATCTCACAGACAAGGTGAAGGTCGTCCTGATTCCTTCACCGTGTAACGCAGACAGCCTTACCGTATTATCCACACGTATCCAATATATGTAACTCACATAGAAATGCTCTTGTCCACTTCTGCTCGGTATTGTCACAAGTTGTCATCTGTCCTCCTCCGTCATCTCCACTCCAGCAGAAACATGTCGAGTTCTTCCCTTCTCATTTCCAATCCGAAATATTCCTTCCTCAAAAATGACCTCGGACTTGAGGAGGTCAACCCGGGTGTTTATGATGGACAATGGAAAGGTTCTGGACAAGTGAGTAGAGTTAAATTCAGATTAATTATTAATTAGAATTAAAGTATGATTGATTATTATTACGTGCACCTCTCATAGGTGATTACATCCATCTGTCCGGCAAACGGTCTTCCCATCGCCTCTGTAACGCAAGGTACCGTTTCTGACTATAATGCCGCCGTCTCTGCTGCTTCTAAAGCTTGGGAGGAATGGGTCGACATCCCGGCGCCAAAACGTGGCGAAATTGTGAGACAAATCGGGGATGCTCTCCGTCTCAAGTTGGAACCACTGGGAAAACTTGTGGCGTTGGAGATGGGGAAAATTCTACCAGAAGGGATCGGTGAAGTTCAGGAATATGTCGACATTTGCGATTATGCCACCGGCTTGAGTCGCATGTTGGAGGGGAAGTTGATTCCCTCTGAGAGACCAGGACACGTTCTCATGGAGGCGTGGAATCCTCTCGGGGTTGTCGGAATTATCTCAGCGTTCAACTTCCCGGTGGCCGTATTCGGATGGAATAATGCGATTGCAATGGTTAACTATTAATAATTATGATATTATATAATTTCAGTTTGTAGAAATTTTATAATTATTTTGTTTTTCCAGGTCTGTGGAAACACCATGGTTTGGAAGGGTGCTCCCACAACGTCCCTCTGCTCCGTGGCGACGACAAAGATTGTGGCATCCGTTCTGGAAAAGAACAACTTGCCAGGTGCGATCTGTTCCTTGGTGTGTGGCGGGGCCGATATCGGTTCAGCCATGGCAGATGATAAGCGAGTTCCACTCGTATCCTTCACTGGTAGTACACAAGTCGGTGGAAAGGTAAATTTAAAAAAAGAACATGTTTTATAGAAATTTTATCAAAATGGTTTGATAACCTAATATCACTTTTGTCCAGGTGGGTGTCGCAGTTCAATCTCGTTTCGGCAAGAGTCTCCTTGAACTCGGAGGAAACAACGCGATCATCGTGGCAGCCGATGCTGACTTGGATATGGTTGTTCGAGCTGCGGTATTCGCTTGTGCTGGTACAGCTGGACAGCGCTGCACCACCACGAGACGCCTCATCCTCCATGAGCAGGTGCATGACGAAGTTGTGACAAGACTGGTGAAGGCGTACGAACAACTGGTTCCCAGGACTGGAGATCCTCTCGAAACTGGGACACTCCTCGGACCGATGCACTCCACCGTCGGGATCGACAACTACAAGGCCACCTTAGAAGAGGTATCGTAAACTAGATAAATTACATGCATTTAACTCTCTGAACCTACTGTATAAATATCATTTAAAATCCAACAGGTCAAGAAGTTGGGGGGCAAGATTGCGTTTGGTGGAAAAGTGAGTATAATAAATAGAAAACATTTGATTTAAATAGTTCGCATTTTTTGACAAGGTTATAACGACTCTTTTTTTATTTCAAGGTAATGCAGCGTGCTGGAAATTACGTCGAACCAACCATTGTGACCGGACTCCCGACAAATTCTCCTGTCGTACTCCGCGAGACTTTTGCTCCAATTGTGTACGCTCTAAAAGTTAAGGATGTCGATGAAGCAATCAAAGCGAACAACAATGTCGAGCAGGGTCTTTCTTCCTCCATATTTACACAGAATATCGGACATATTTTCCAGGTGCAAAAATCACTATGTTTAACTCTAGAAATTAACTACTAAATTCTCATAAGTCAGTTTTTAATCGTTCATTTGATAACAGTGGCTGGGACCCAAAGGTTCTGACTGTGGCATCGTAAATGTTAACATTCCAACGAACGGGGCTGAAATTGGGGGAGCTTTTGGAGGTGAAAAGGCCACGGGAGGAGGACGCGAATCAGGCTCAGATTCTTGGAAGCAATACATGCGTCGCTCCACGATAACCATAAATTATACGAAGGAGCTTCCACTCGCACAAGGAATTAAATTTGAGTAATAATTAATAATTGCGAATCAGATTGTTTGAACAAAATTAGAAATTTCAGAAGAAAAATTTATTACATTCAAGTGCACAATAATAAAAATGTGGTTTTTTCAAGTTTGTTCAATTTATTTGTTAAGTAGAAGTTTTATTATGAGGGAATTTAATAAGAAGTGGTAATTTGTTTATAGAGCGTCTACTGGTAATTTTGTCTTTTTGGCGTCAAGTACGCCTGAGGGTTATTCCGCTATTCCGTTATTTGGGGGTCGTATCCTGGGCGGGGTTCAGCGTCGTTCTGCTGGTAAGCAGACGATTCTTGTGCTGGATTTTGATTGAGAGATTCTGGATTATATGGTTCATTGGTCACTGGGGTGCTGTATGACGGCGTCGCCTCCGCTGTGTAAGACGAGTCGGAAGGTGAAACGGGGGCATAGGCAGGAAGTGGAGTAGGTTCTGGTACATAAGAGTCCGGTGTAGTTTGAGGAGCCTCGTAGGGTGACGTAGAAATATATTCGGGAACGGCAGTGGACGACTCGGTTGATAAAACGTAAGACGCCTCTTTGGTTTCGACTTGTGGCGTATACGGAGCAGCAGAATAAGGGTTATCTGCCGCATGAGGAGCAAGATAAGGAGATTCTGTTCCTTGATATTGTATATAAGGCGAAGCTGTCACTTGGTTTGCCTTGTAAGGCGACTCTGTCTCTTTGGGTACCGTGTACGACGCGTCGATTTCCGTGGGAGCGGCGTAATTTGAATCAGTCACTTGGGGTGTGGCGTAAGTCGAATCTGTTTCTTGAGGAGCAGCGTAAGTCAAATCTACTTGCTGGGGGGCGGCGTAAGTCGAATCTGTTGTGGCGTAAGGAGAATCTGTCTCTTTGGGTGCGGTGTACGACGAGTCGATTTCTTGGGGAGCGGCGTATGTCGAATCTGCCTCTTTGGGTACCGTATCAGACAAGTCTACTTCCTGGGGAGCGGCGTATGTCGAATCTGTCGTGGCGTAAGGCGACTCTATCTCTTTGGGTGCCCTGTAGGACGAGTCGATTTCTTGGGTAGCGGCGTATGTCGCTGTTGCTTGGGGAACGGCGTAAGTCGAATCTGTTGCTTGGGGAGCGGCGTAAGTCGAATCTATCTCTTTGGGTGCCGTGTACGACGAGTCGATTTCTTGGGGAGCGGCGTATGTCGAATCTGTCGTGGCGTAAGGCGACTCTGTCTCTTCGGGTGCCTTGTAAGTCGAGTCTATTTCCTGGGGAGCGGCGTAATTCGAATCTGTTGTGGCGTAAGGAGAATCTGTCTCTTTGGGTGCGGTGTACGACGAGTCGATTTCTTGGGGAGCGGCATATGTCGAATCTGTCTCTTTGAGTGCCGTGTACGACGAGTCGATTTCTTGGGGAGCGGCATATGTCGAATCTGTCTCTTTGGGTGCGGTGTACGACGAGTCGATTTCTTGGGGAGCGGCATATGTCGAATCTGTCTCTTTGGGTGCGGTGTACGACGAGTCGATTTCTTGGGGAGCGGCGTATGTCGAATCTGCATCTTTGGGTACCGTATAAGACAAGTCTACTTCCTGAGGAGCGGCGTATGTCGAATCTGTCGTGGCGTAAGGCGACTCTATCTCTTTGGGTGCCCTGTAGGACGAGTCGATTTCTTGGGTAGCGGCGTATGTCGCTGTTGTTTGGGGAACGGCGTAAGTCGAATCTATCTCTTTGGGTGCCGTGTACGACGAGTCGATTTCTTGGGGAGCGGCGTAATTCGAATCTGTTGTGGCGTAAGGAGAATCTGTCTCTTTGGGTGCGGTGTACGACGAGTCGATTTCTTGGGGAGCGCCATATGTCGAATCTGTCTCTTTGGGTGCGGTGTACGACGAGTCGATTTCTTGGGGAGCGCCATATGTCGAATCTGTCTCTTTGGGTGCGGTGTACGACGAGTCGATTTCTTGGGGAGCGGCGTATGTCGAATCTGTCGTGGCGTAAGGCGACTCTGTCTCTTTGGGTGCCCTGTAAGACGAGTCTATTTCCTGGGGAGCGGCGTAATTCGAATCGGTCGCTTGGTGTGAGGCGTAAGTCGAATCTGTCTCTTTGGGTGCCGTATACGAGGAGTCGATTTCCTCGGGAGCCGCGTAAGTCGAATCGGTCACTTGGGGAGCGACGTAAGACGAGTCGATTTCCTGGGGAGCGGCGTAAGTCGAATCCGTCACTTGGGGTGTGGCGTAAGTCGAATCTGTTGCTTGAGGAGCAGCGTAGGCCAAATCTACTTGCTGGGGGGCGGCGTAAGTCGGATCTGTTGTGGCGTAAGGAGAACCTGTCGCGGTGTAAGGCGACTCTGTCTCTTTGGGTGCCGTGTACGACGAGTCTATTTCCTGGGGAGCGGAGTAAGACGAATCTGTGTCTTTGGGTGTGGCGTAGTTCGAATCTGTCGCTTCCTGAGCGGTGTAAGGCGAATCGATCGCTTTGGAATTGGCATATGGAGATTCAGAATCTATAGCCCTAGGAGCTAAATAAGAAGATTCTGGTCCCTGATATTTTGCATACGGCAAATCTGTTGTTTGAGGAACGGTGTAAGGCGCATCAGTGCTTTGTTGATACGATTCATCCTTGAGAGGAGCAGAATTTTTGTCCGTTATTGCAATATAGTACGGCTCAGTAGGTTTCGCCACGTATGGTGAGTCGGTGGGTTGAAGAACATATAATGACGCCATGGTGGTTGAAGGTTGGTAAGTGTCCGCACTTATCGAATATGTGGGCGAGGTCTCTACCGCACCGGAAGTATCACCACCCACACTACTTGGTTGAGGATAAATGACTTTTCCATCGTCCACTAACGCATCATCGACCGAACCTCGTGGTTTGTAGTACTCACCACTTTCGTCCCCCTGTTTGTTGCTTGACGGAGCTTGAGTTGCCGGAGAGCCATATCCGCTCGGATAATAATTGTCAGCCTCCTCTTCCTGTTCAGCGTAAGGTGAAGTCTCAGTGGTGGTGGCCACCTAAAAATATCAAATTAAAAAAGAAGCACAAAGCTATGAAAATATTCCATATAAAATTTACTTTCATTCAAGCTTACATCATTTTTTTGGCCAAACTTTTCTCTCAACTTTTCCTTCACGAGTTCCTTAATCTGATTTTGCATTTCGGGAGATAGCTGGTCCATTCCAGAGGAGGAGAACACCAAACCATCATCCGTTTGTGTCGAGGCGTCATCAAAACGTGTGGGTATGGTATGAACAACCTGAAAGTGAAGGTTAACCAAGAATAAACTCACCCCATTTTACAAAACCTAAAAAAAAGCGCATGATTATGTATTTCACCTTGTGTGTTGTCGTAGTTTTCACAACTTTGTTCCCCCCAGCGTCCACATAAGTCTCCGTTTTACGAGTGGTTCCTGGTTTCAAGTTAGCAAAGTCCCCCATCCCTTCGATAAGTCGGTCCAGTGCTGCATTTGGATATGGCACGGGTGAAGGAGTGGTCGTCGTGGTGGGCTCAGAGCAACCTTAATCGAAATAGCCATCGTTATTCCATTAATTAATTTCTCATGAAAAATTAACCATGAAAGTTTCCTATGTATTCACTCACCCAACCGGCCCGTCCAGACACAAGCCCCTCTTTGAAACTGGGATGGAAATGGACATCTGAATGGATAAGATCTCCCCCTCCGGCAGAGGAAAAAAGTGTGACAGTCCGCCTCGTTTGGGTGGAACCCATCCCCCAGGACCCCACAATCCGGAGTGGTCGACTGGAACTGGGGAAACAGAAGGGAACTCAGTCTTCTGAGACGGGGAGTCAGGGCTGCACAATATTCATGAAAAACTTTCATTTTACAACACCGTCTCAATTTCCCAAGACTATCAAATATCTCAATTTTTATCAAATGATGCATGATACTTACGAGATGAATGAATCCCATGCTCATAAAACACGAGAACAAAGACGAGGGCCACACCCAATCTCGATCCCGAACGTCCCATTCGGAACTCTTGCTCAGTTCTTCACACGATTATGTCCTTTACTTTCCACCCAAATTTCTATTATCTTGACCAAATTATGAAACCTTTATGACCGAGACACCACTCACTTTAACGTGCCAACTCTCTTAGCTTTAGCTTCGATCAACTCGTCTCAGGGTTTCAATCCAGTAATGCGAGAAGATTCAAAATATTTGTCAAGATGCACACTGTGTTTCAGGCAAGAATTAACTCGAGAATGGCTTCAATTTCACTTGGGGCTTAACTTCTAATAAAAAGTGTCGCATTTCAACTATATGTCGTGTTTGCATATTTGTTACTAATAAATGTTGGTCTTGGTATGTGAGATAAAAATTACAGAAAATAAAATGCCCGACTTAAACATAAACATCATGTATTCGTCATCAATAATATCATTTTACATTCCTTGAATGCCTTCCTGTACAACGAGACGAGACGGATCTGATTTTAACCTTGTCAAACGTTTTCATTGCACATTTTTTAAATTAAGAAACTCGAGGTTTTATTCATGGGGACGGTTTTAAGTAGTCAATCACCATGCATATGTATGCAATCTAAGATTTATTGATACTAGTAAATGTCTGCAAAAATGTCATGCATAATTACCACTTGAAACAACGTGTACGTTTGTTTTTCGAGCTTGAAAAGATATTAACTGATTCATATCCTGAGGAATTTAACAATTGCGTACAACATTGTAGAATTACTGTGACTTATTATGTGCGTGCTTTCCAATTACCTTCCAAGAACACCACTAATGTGCAGAATATATGCTTATTTTGCTGAATTTGACGATCTCGTCTGTCATTTTTCTACGAAGCAGACAAGGTTAATACTTCAAATTAAACTGTGAATTAATGACATGCAACTTGCAATATGAATAACGAACGCTACGGGTTTTGGGACAATATTATTGTCAGGAAAGCAATACGTAAGAAACAATAAATTTTGTTTTTGCATAGCAAAATTTGGAACGACATAATAGTAGGGTGACGTTTTTTAGTGATTAAAACCAAGCCAATAACTCTCTATTAACATATTGATCTGAATTACACGATCTTGCAAGTTCTAAAATGCCGATTTTGCTCTTCTAATTTTGTGTAATTCACGAGAAAAAAATTCACCAGCAAAATGACTTGGTACTTAATGAATAGACTTTGTAAAGAATTGCATGCCGCATTTTATTGTATATTGTCAATTCACACGAATTTATTGGTAGGTATTAGTATCAATTGAGAAAAGGTATCCGTTAGTCCTAATACAGTCAGCAATGTTAGGATAAGAATTTGCATATTTAAGAAAGGCTTGTAAATTGTAAAAATAAATTTTACCCATAAACTGCATTGTATCCCATGGGAGCAGCGTTAGGGCAAGTACCGATTGCACTGCAATTGTTCTGACAGAAGCAGGTTGGGAACAAGAGCGTCGGGAGACACGGACAACCGACCAAATTTGTAGAGGTCATGGTATCATTAAAATACTTCCAAGAGTAGTAGTGGTCACATGTGCCTAAAGAGGTATTGCAAAAATGAGATTGGCAAACGCAAAAATTAGTCTATATCAAAAGTTATATATATTGTTACGTAGTGGATCTGACGGGGACAAGTTTGCACACCCGGGTTGACTAGAACCTCCATTCACAAAAACGTCAATGTTACCAGAGTTTGTTCGGGAGTCGCCCAATCCACCACGACCCGTGTGATAAATGTCAACCCAACCCGCGTTAGTTTTGTAAATCATGTCACTATCTGAAAGTGACAAGTAATAAAGCGGCCCAGCAGGGTCCAAGCCAGTAATTCGGTTTATCGTTTGGTTGTACAACGTCTTGCTGGAAGAACCAGCACAACCACCTATTCGATGGACAAAATCGTATGAATAAATTTAAAATCATGAGCCCATTCACTACGAAAATACCGATGTGGGATCCCAAACTGTGCCCGATAATCCATACTTGCGACTGCGAAATCCCCTTTTTAAGACTTAAGAATTGAATAAATTCAGCCACCCTTTTTCCCACTGGTGGAACGTTGAGCAACACGATTGGGTACATCGTGGTGGCAAGAAGGGCACTGAGGTCAAGGAGACCCGTGTCACCTCCCGATAGTGCACCCCAGTCCACAATTATGACATTTTTCGTGCCAGGTTTTGACAAAAATGCTAACATTTGAAACACCTGTATCAATATTAATTACGATTTTAATTAGTTATGTTTCCCATACTCGCTTTAAGATTTTGGGTCATCAGTGAGTTTGTAGAATTAGAGAGAAAGCCATCAATCAGAATAATAGTGGGAACATTAGGAATAAGATTGGAAGCTTCCAAAGAATCCGAATCGTTGTAAACTATTTCAAATGGATTATTCGTTGTTCTGTTGGTGAATCAAACCAAAAATAGAAAAATTGTTTAACAGTACTGTCTACATTACTTTCTACATAAGAATTGGAAGGTTTCTACAAACTCACGGATAATATACAAATCTGATCAGATTGACATCGGTGGATGGCAACAATTCCGGAGCAAGTGTGGTTTGTGCTATTGCCATACAAGCCAAAAAGAGGGTTGATGCCAAATAAAGGTGAAATTTCGCCATATTGTTTGTGGCGTTGCGTTGTTTTAGGTGCTTCGACCGGACGAAGTACTACGACGGATTTCTATATGACCTCTGTGATGACTTGGGAAATGCTTTTTATAAAGAAGTAAGTATTCTTATCATTGTATATGAATGATGTAAAGGTAATGCAAGTATTCATTTATGGTGTGTTGTATAACCGGATTAAATGTCTATTAAAAGGCCAATGTCAATGCAAAGTACATAATTCCAGATTTTGTACAGGTTATGCATATACGTATGTACATAATGTGGACTTTATTATTTCCACCCTGCATGAGCATGATGAGGGGGTAACGTTTTATAATGCATTATAAGTTTCAAAATACTGGGTTGATAAGCTTCATGATTCTCTGCATAGTTTTAGTCCTGCGTATTTGGCTAATCTTTAGTCCAGTCAATGCGCTTAAAATTGTACGATGTGTACATTTTTACACGTGTCTGTCGTAAAACATGAAGTTTTTAGTGTTAGTGGACAAAGACAATTAATAAATGTGATATCATACTGATACTATGTCAATTAACGGTATTACAATCTCGAGTACTTGCTTATGTTAGTACATGCTCAATATGTACATCAAATCCATATTTAAAATGGTACTTATCTATACGTACATACATACGTATGCTAAACGTAGCTGTTTTCTTAAGTTTTTAATTGACGCCAATAACAAATTTATCATACGAAACTAATTCTTATTCAATTTCCAAATTATTATTTTGAAAAAGTTATCTGATGATGGTTCAAGTATAGCATTGAAAGCATTCTAATAAATCTGCTTTCTCCTACAACTATGCCTTCCGAAATAGTTTAAATAATTAAGACTGTCCTGTGGCATTGTTTTAGTTTTGCATGGAGGTTTTATTTATTTTGGCATAAACAAGAAAAGGTTAGGAGAATTTAACAAATTATACAAAATCCTAGTCAGAAAGTAATAAAGTAAATATGCAAAGCATACAGTTGGATATCAAACCATTAGTAAATTTGGAAAATAAAAACATTATCATTAACAAGTACTAAAAACAAACGCTTTTTAGTTTTACTTTAATTTTTCAATGGAATAATTGGGGTTGGAAAGATCAGTTTCACGAGGGGATTCTTACACTCGATCAAACATGTTGTAAGCATCTTGTCCATACACACGATCCAAGCATAAATTAAGTTATCCACAGTTTTGAGGAACACCGTAAGCTCTTGTTCCTCTGTAAACTTTTCAACATAGTGATACACCTCGTCTTCACTTACACCGGGGAGTATTTCGATTGGGATTGAGACTTTAAGAGCAAACGCTTTGTCCTTGCAAAAGTAAGATGGGAGGGGTTTTATCATTGCAGAAGTAATGACATCATAATTTCCATAATCCAGAAAAACGACTTTGTACGCGTCTTTGTCTGGACAAGCCTCCAAAATTTTAGCTCTATAGTAGCGTAAATCATCTTCAATGTTTTGCCTGGCCGCGACGTAAGTTCCACTGATCAGAGATGAAGGATCCAGTTGAGGGACATTTTTCCAGTTGTTCAAAAATTGGGTCAGTTCTTCACTTACTCCATCCGCTCGATGGTCGTCACCTTCGAGCTGAATGCAAATTGAGTTATAATTTTCTATGAAAGACACAACTCCTTCATATTGAACTCCCGAAATGTATGCTGAGGGTCCACTAAATAATTCCTTCGCAAGATCCTGGTCGATCATTGGAAATTCATGGTCAACGTTTGTATAGTACTCGCAGAGGTTTGGCTTTCTTAGGCCAAAACCGTCAAGAAGTGGCGTCCCTTCTTCTGAAGCGAGGGTCACTACACACCTGGAAGGAGAGAGACGAGTATAAAGGTTAAAACGCAGTTTAAATAAAATAAATAAATCTCTACTTCCTTATCTTACTTTCGAATTTCTCGGGGATCAACGTCATCAATGAAATTTACATGACTAATGTAGCATTCCAGATTTTTTTCAATAATCAACTCTATCAATTTGCCGTTAGTTTCATCTGAAGGAAGTTTGCTCGGGTCCGCTGCCAATAGTTCAATTAAATAGCAGGGTGTGGCTGCTTCAGGAATCTCAACGAGTTCATTCGGAATTTTGAGCATCTAGAACATAATTTGTGACGATTTAATGGGGCATGAACTATGACATCAGTCAGAGTTATTAGAGTTTCTACCATTAAAACTTACGTCTTTTTCCTGAACATTGACAAAATCACCATAATCTACCAGTTTCACCAAGTATCCAACTGTCGACTTTTGAATAATTGTAGCTCGATAATCCATTCTATCCTCGCCATACGCAACAAGAACAGCATCGCCAATATCCTTTGAAAAGTCCTTCGCCTTTTAGAAAAGTACACATTATTAATAACACAAATTTAATTGAGTGATAAGAAAGTACAAATAACTTTACGTTTGTACAATGCGGTCTTCACTTCGCAGTGACTAGAGAGTAATATTACTTACCTCATTGGAAGTAGAGTCATACTTCAACAATCCAGCATCAACAGCTTCCATTATAGATGGATGCAGCTGAAGATGAACTTTGAAATTCGATCCCACTTTTGAAACCTTTGTCCCAAAGACTCCGATTTTCTGTCCAATCCAATCACTGTAATCATATCGAGGATACTTTCCAAGCATTTGTGGCCCTAAATTATGTAAAATAAATTACAATATATTAATATCTAATCCAATAGTAATATCGCACGATCTGATTTATTAGCTAATTAACTGAAGTCAATCAATACTATGTTAATGAATTGGAAATGAAAATATTTTACCTTCATCATTGGTGGCATGAGTACTCAGCGGAACAAAATCAGCTAAACCCAAATTCATAACCATTTCGAATCCAACATCCTTCTTGTCACACGTGAGCCAAACTTCAGAGACTCCACGGTCAATTAGAGAAATTGAGAACACGGATGTATTCTTCCCTTGGAACAGCGACTTGTAGTCATACTTTTTCCACTTTTCCTTTTCCTCAAATGGGACAACTTGAGCAAGTCGGCACATTAGCGAAAGCTTCGGAAGTCGCAAAAGTTCAGTTGACGACGGATATATGGAATCAGCCGAAACCAAAATATCCACTCCTGAATCCACCATATACACGTTCACGCCCTTCTCGTCAACTAAATTGACCTCTGCTCGGCGAAACTTGCTATGAAATATACAAAAATAGATTTATTATTTTATCGTAATCGTATGCTTATTAGCAATGACATAAATCCCATTCATTATCATATCATACCCATCCTCAAATTTGACAGTTACAGGAAGTCCGTCCTTCAGACAAGCAACGTCAACCGGTGCACAACCGGCAATGTTGTGCAAATGAAGATCCATTGCCTCCTTAATCTGCCTTTGAATCACCACGGAAGTCTGATCCATCACGATGATTGAAAAATTGTCTGGGCTAATAGCACTCAGCAATTTGTACGAGTACTTCCTATTGATCATCAATGGACGATCCGGATAGCACCATTCGTCCTTAAGAGTATCCAAATCCTTATCAAGCAACATCTCGGCGTAATCAGTCGTCGTACTTGTTCCTACAACAAGAAAGAAAAGAAACGGCGATATTTAACTCTAGTTACAAATTTAACTCTAGTTACTTTACCTTTTGACCTACCTACACGTATTATTTTCTTCCTTTCCCTAGCAAACCTTCCTACAAGTTTTATGTTCCTTCAATTTTTTGTCGACAGGCTCGTAAAAAGATAACTAACGCTTCGATATCAATTTTTTTTTACTAGAGGCAGTTTTCTTCTTCGGTGAGGAGAAAAGACCAAAATGGAGACTAACTTTGAGTTGGCGAAGAGTGAGGAGGCGAAGAAGATGCAGTTGGCATGTAGATTATTACAAAAATGATCACAAGGTGGCAGATGCAGTGATGGGACGCTCTGATTGACAAGAGTTACATGAATTTATGCCAACTTCTAATTTATTCATACTAATCCAGCCTTATATTTGTAGCTTAATAATTTTATGTATTATTTCAACATAATTAATTGGTCATGTGCCCCTTCTCACGATGTTCCAATCGAAAAACTGACCTCAGATTCGATATCAGCGACCCAAAAACTATAAGAATCGACATTTACCCAACGCGGACGACGTCGAAATAATTAATTGAATTATTCGTAAACAATTGTAAACACGTGAGATAAGCCGCTATAACTTATAGCGGCTTATCTCACGTGTTATAGCCTATGACATATGTATGTGTGATACCTACGTGTGTGTGATAAGTAGCTATACGCATAGCTATGACACATGTGTAGGTATACGTGTGTATGTAAGTAGTGTGATAAGCGGTTATGCGCAAGTCACCGTATAACACGTGTGGGTATGCCTGTGACTATAACATAGATAGGTATGGCAGGACTTTCACCACTTTCACCGCCCACCAAAGGGTATAAAAGGAGCTGCGTGTGAATTTTTTGTCAGTCTGCGGGCGGAGCTCGCGGGGGACGGACATGTCCCTGGGTGAGCTCCCCATTGCAGCTGCGCCCTTGGGCCGCCCTGCCTCTCTGGGGAGTCGGGCCCACCACTGGCTTCGGCCGGTGATCCGACTCTCTTCCCGTTGGAGGGGTGGTCCGGGGGAGCAACGCTGTAAGGGGAGAGCCTTACGGGAAGTCCCCCTCCAACACTCCGCCCACTAAGCAGACTCACCGGGTGGGGAGCCGGCGGGGCTTGCCAAAATGCGTGGTGGCGCTAGGCAAGTGAGGGGGGCTCTCTACCTCCAACCCTTGGGCGACCGGGCTCTTTAGCTTGCACTCCCCTTGGGGCTGGCCGGGTTCCCGAGTTCGAAGCCTTAATGGGGGCCGATTTACGGGTGCGCTCCCACCTCGTAAGGCGAGGGTAAGACGAGCCCCCATGGGGAACGCGGTTGCAGAGGCGGCGACGTGGGCAGGGTTTTCTCGGTCGGCGGGAGGTAGACGTCCGCGGACGCCTTCGGGCGCGAGTGGGGGCCCGCCCGCGTGGAGCACGAAGGGAGCGACGTCCTCGTCGTGTGCTCTGGAAACGCCCTTCTCAGGGCGGCCAACAGCTCCCCACCTGTAATGTAGGCATGGCGACAAATTTCGTCGCCATGCCATAATTGTATTTAATGGCATCATTCATTTTCTCCATGTTATTAGCATACCCCGGACAAATATTTTTTTATCCTACCCTACTCGTGTTGAGCTCAACATGAGTAGGGTAGGATAAAAAAATATTTTTCCGGGGTATGGTTATTAGGTAGGTTGCGAGTTAGCGGAAGTTCACGTAAACGCTAACGTAAACGTAAAATTTTGCTTCCCGCCACTGTTCGGCGGCGCCCATTTAAGGTTTACGTGAATTTTCTTTACGTTCACGTTATTTTGGACGTTAAATCAGCCCATTTAGCGTTCGTTTAACGTAACCACCCACGATTTACGTAAAGTTTTTTCACCATGCAAATTTAAGAAAAATGAACAACAGGCATGTATTTTTTGCGTTAATTATTGATAAATGCATTAAATATATGCTTATAATTAATTGAAGTGATATATAACTAATTGTGAAGCATTAAAACAAAAAGTAAACTGATAATTTCTCATCAAAGGATTAAAAAATGACGAGGCTTTAAGTTAAACTAACTAAATAAATCTTCTGTTGCTTCTGTAGCAGTTTGCAAATTAAGAAATTAATTAGTAATTATGTAATTTATTATAGTATTATTTATTAAAACAACGTCAAGCTTGGATGGAGGAAAGGAAGTATGGAAAGTGAATGATGTTACACAAAATGAAGAGCTGAAATAACAAAAGCATTATTTGGATTAATTAGAAACAAGTAAATTTATTGTTTATACAATACAGAAATAAAGCCTTAGTACATGGCATCTAGATTTTCTTATACACACAATTTCATGGAAAATATAAATAATGCTCAAGATCTGGCATTGCTTCACAAAAGTTATCCGAAGTTTGGCTGCCGTGATGAAAAATCCGTGACTGCAATGAGTAGGAGGAAAAGTTACATCAAGTCGACGTATCTGTGAATGAAATAATTAACTGATTTAGTAAATTGACTTGCTCTAGATTGATAAAATATGGTCCCCTTACCTGTTGGGATATGCAATCCTTAGAGTAATGCACAAAGGGTCTCCGCCGACAAGCAATCGCGCCCCGAAGTTTAACGGCGCATTTAGGTTTCAAACTTATTTTGCAAAAGCGAAAGTTAAGGAAAAAGAACTCGTTCATCATTGAGTTTAATTTAAAAATTTTAATTCTTTTAATTGATTAATTTTAATTATTTGAAGGAAGAATGTCCTCTATTTCGAAGTCGGTCAATTCAGAGAGTAAATTTACTATTTGTTTTGAAAACACTGGCATTTCAAGCTAGTTTATAATAAGATAAATTAAATAATTACAATAAGCAAAATATTGCATGAAGAATGTAAACAAACCATTAAATTCAGCGCACACGTTTACGTTCACGTTAATTCGCACACGCAAAATTCGTACACCCCGTAAACGTAAACGTTAACGCCAAATTTTACGTTTACGTTAGCGTTTACGTGAACTCCCGCTAACTCGCAACCTACCTATTTACAAGTATGATCACAAGCTAAACATTTACATAAGATCATTACTCTAGGCGTAATAAACTGCTTTCATGGAATATAATACAATAATCCTCGTTTCGATGGTAGATTATGGTGCATTAAGAGGAAAGCCAGTTTTGCATAAGAAATACGTATGTATGTATGTACACACATTTTAATGCCCAGCCTCATAGTCCCCTCGGAAGCGTAATTCAATACCTTGAATATTCATATATTGGAACTTAAATATATATTTGTGTAAATTATTAATTTGTATATTTGAACATGCATTAGGAATTATCCTAAAAAGTAAATTATTGCATAACATCTCGTCTCTTGTAGATTCTAGTCTGAATTTTAGACTAGAAAAACGACATTTGCTTCCCATTTAAATGGGCTAAATTTAGAAATATATATTCTTCTTATGCATATGTCAGGAACATGAAGATCAAGCTATACGTGCATACTTTGAAAGGTATACAAACGCACATACGTTCAATGGTATTGTAAAGTTAATCTCACAAAGTATTACAATCATATATTTAGAAATTATAATAATTTGTATTCAAAATGGCTAATACTGCTAGCTACCACCCTCTGCTAAATTGTTTGGTAAAATATTAAACAAAACGCCATTCCTCAGTATTTTTTAAAAAATAAATGACTTGAGTCTTTAAAATATTTTTCTTGCGTGTGTGACAGGTAACTCGAAATATTTTGAAACATGTTGACCGTTCCTTGAGGAAGCACCTTCGTCTTGTTTGTTCTCACTGGAATCAAGTTATTGCAACTTCATATCTCGGGAAGGATTGTGTTCTCCTTCTGGACGACGTCAATCTGGAGGAATTTATAAATTATATTGGCACATCGATGCTACCAGAGTCACAGTTTGAAAATATACGAATAAAAATTAACAGCTCATTCTCATTGGAACCTAATGTTCAAATCGTTGACGATTTTTGGCAAACTGCAAAATTTATGCGTTTTCTGTCGATGGAAATTACGACACTGTTTGCAAAGGAAAGACTTGAAAATCTCATTTTATATAATTTACCTAATTTGCAAAGTCTCAAAATCACGATTACAAAATTTTGGGACTATTGTGATGTGAACAATGACAATTGCAGAAAAATTTCGAGACCTGGCAATAAAATTTCTCCCAATTACAACCTAACCAAATTCAGCTACATAGATTTAACTTCAGTTGAAATACTTGGCTTCCAAGCCACAGAAATAAACGAATTTGATTTTCCAATAGAATTTTATGATTTTTTTAAACGGTACCCAAGAGTAAATGTAAGCAATTAATGAGCATTATATCGTCATGTAATAATAGAAACGCTTACAATAAATAAATTCCTATGTGATTACTTCTTTTCAGAGCCTAAGTTTCATAGGACTGTCTACTCGAGATGTTAGCAAACTTGCCGATTTTCTACAGACTTTGCAACAAGAGAAAGTTCACCTGAATTTGGAAATACTGGAGATTTTAGACGAGTATGCTACACATTTATTTCGTCAAAATAGTTCAAATTTCAACTGCATTTTTTCTTCGAATAGAAATATGTGTGCAACCGCACCCAACGATGACCACATAAAATCATTTTCTAAACTTGCAACGTCCCACTTTGAAAAATTGTCGCAACTTCATCTCGAGCTGACCCCTGAATTGGATCTCGTCCTACTTTATGAACTTTTAAGAAAGTTGAGAATATCATTGAAAATCTTGAAACTTCGACGGTTTCCACTAATGCATGATATGACCCCGATCACATTTACAAATACAAATTTATCTAATGTAACGTTTTTGGAAGTTTCAAATGAACTTGTGGAATCCCTTGATTTTCTTCCCCTAAATTTTCCTAAGTTGCAAACCCTTCACATAATTATGAGAGATTATCGTCATCTTGAGCCTACCTCAGTGATTCAAAATACAGTCATGAATAACTTTCCGGTGCTTAATCACGTGCAAACTCTTTTTATCGAACAACCATTACAATCCGAAGATTGCATTGAACGAATTTGTCACCTGTTTCCCAACTTGATTAGTTTGAAACTGAGAATGAATAACGCAATGATGCACGAATTGTGCAAAAGTAAACCCCAGTGTCTGGAACGACTGCATATCATATCTTGGGATGGACTGACAGACGAAGGTTTCACGGGAATCTCGGATCATTTATTAAGAAATGTGGGGTGGATGGATAACTACGAGGAATATCGTTATCAGGCTTACATTGGCGTTTTAAAATGTTAGTGATTAAAAAGACAATAACAATGATAATTGTATGCATAAGTTTATCGACCTTGTTTTTTATATGTAGCGTTAAACGAACTAATCGTCGAAATGTGGCCAGACTGCTCCAACCGTATTTCCGATGCGTCAGTTTATTTTGGGTTCCTGGATTTACCAAATCTGGCAAATTTTCTTGGAATCAGAACGCAAGTAAGTTTATCATGAATGGAAAGTTCATTTAAAAATATACATCACCATAATACAGAATATTTATTGATGCGTGCACTCAGATTACGTCAACGGCAGCGAAACGTTTCTCAAAATCGGTTCATTGGTGTCTGGAAGAGTGAAAGGTGAAAGGTGAAAGTTGACAACATTTTGCATTTGAGCAGCGTATGAAAACTCCGTGTTTTTGGACAATGACGATATACATTTACCTGCATGCATATTTATTGAAGTACTCGATCTCATTTTAGCGTGCATGAAAACATTTCCCCAATGATATTATAATGTAATACAATGAGGAAAAATAGTCTAGAATCGCAAAATTCTAGGAAATAAATTTATCAAAATGAGTACAAACAATGCTGACTTGTGTACGTTGATGTTATGGAGTTATATATAGATAGTTATATATACGTTTAGCAGATTCTGTACACTCATGTAACGTGCGTAGTATCACTTTTGGTCTAAAAATAGGTACCATCTAGATTATATGGTCACATCAAGTCTTGCGTGTTTCCGGATATGCAAGATTATCGGATCATGATCATGATATATGGGGAAATAATCGATAAAAAACATGGGTTGGATTGCATGACAAATCTTGGTTTGATGCTCTGGACTCTCATAAGGGGTCCCGTTGTACATACGCGTATTTGTAGTGGATCCAGCCAACGTCATTCGCGGTGTATGGTGTGCTATCACATGGAATCCACTCGTTCTACTTGTTGAGTGAAAGCTGAGTCACAGATGATTAAGAAGAATAAACAAGCTGCACATTATTATTACGATTTGGCCCCTCGTCCTTTTTTTCTGTGCTTTTTTCCTCCTATTTACGACGTCATTGGATGGAGTAGAGTGAAAATAATATGTGCTCAGCTATTTGGAAATGAAACGTGTCATTATTATTGGCCTTTTCTGAGGAAAGACATCATCTTGTTGGAATTTGGGAGGACATTTGTTCGAAAATGCAGGCGACCAGTACCTTTTCTCCAGGGACGTCGGTCGCCCCCACGTCCACGATTGAAATAGCTATTTCATGCAGGTAATTTAAGTGTAGTGTAAGGGAATGTAGTATCGGAAAAGGTTTTAAGAAATGTGTTTTGTATGCGTAGGAATTTGATGGACAAGGACATTTTGTCAAAGAGCGATCCAATGTCAGATTTTCATATCCGTTTAAAGTTCCTCAGATTTGACGACCACTAGTCGTATGCCGTACATCGACATTGAGTCGATGGTTTTTTTTGTTCAAAATCGCATCAAATACGATGTACGGCATACAATTTCTGCGGTTGTGGTCGTCAAGTTTGAGGAATTTCAAAAAAATTGAATAATGACGGTCTCAGGTGTGTGATATTTCATCAACCGCTAGGAAGCACTCATTGGGTGGAGTTGATGAGGACGGAGACAATCCAAAACAATTTGTGTCCTGATTTCTTCCAGAAGGTGATATTAAATGACGATTGATTTTATTTAGCGTTTTTTTCGACTAAATTTATATACAATCTTGTTACAGGTGACGATCGAGTATCGTTTTGAGGAGCAGCAGATATTGAAATTCGAAGTGTATGATATAGACAGCCCGAGCCCCAATTTGTCGGAGCATGATTTTCTGGGATTTGCGGAAACCACGGTGGCGGTAAGAAGACGATCACCACGTAAAGTATTTAATTCATAATATGGGCATAATTTTTATACTTTGACCAGTCTATCGTATCATCTGGATCAATGGGATTGTCCCTTCCACTCTTGACCAATGTGCAAGGTCTTCGAAAGGCACAAGGGACTATTATTCTCATTGCTGAGGAATTGTCATCGTTAAAGGATGAGGTACTACTAACCATCTTTTTTGGGATATATTTCATGATGGGAGAAATGCATTCTTTCTTTTCTTGTTATAGGTCACCTTAAAGTTTGGAGGAAACTCACTTGGTGAATTTTCATGCTGCATATTCCCACCCAACGTTTTCTTTACAATCTCCAAAGTTAATGAGGCATCCAAGTATGTTTTGGTACATCGAAGTGAACCAGTTGTCGGGCCGGACCCTACGTGGAAACAGATCACAATCAGCGTGCGTAGCTTGTGAGTACAAATTTTAAGATTGTTCAACCTAGTAGGAATTATTAAAGTCACTAATGGTGCATTCATGTTAAAGATGCAATGGTGACCGGGATCGTGGACTGAAGATTGAATGTTTTCAAGAAAAGTACAATGGTGCTCATAAATTGTTGGGTTCTTACGTCTCCAATCTTAATCATTTGATAAGTCTTGGTTCAGGAGGAGGGATCAAACTTCAACGTGATTCAAAGGTAATAATTCATATGTATGTCAAAATGACAAACCTTGTAAAACCATGAATTCTGATCGACTAATAGATATATGACCTTTCTATATTTTAAGGAAACCAACAGCACATTCCTTGTCTTAGGCTGTCACGTGTCGCAACTTTTCACGTTTGTGGATTACATCCAAAACGGTACAAAGATTCATTGCTGCTTTGCCATCGATTTCACATGTAAGTATTCACATGGAGTCTATTAATTTATAGTTTTGGACTGTTTAGAATAATGCTCAAAAATTTAATAGCTTCCAACGGAGACGCAAGCGACCCCACATCCCTTCATCATTTCTCAGACGGTATTACTCAACCTAACCCATATGAACAAGCTATGCAGAGTGTCGGAGATATTATTCAAGATTATGATAATACCAAAATGTTTCCTGTCTTGGGTTTCGGGTAAGACCAAACTATTTTAAACGCAACATATTTACGTAAATGTCTGTGTACAATAAGTCTATTTACGTATCTACTACCTTTAGGGCAAGAGTACCCCCAAACGGCACCGTATCACATAATTTCAAAATAACTTTGAATGAATCTCCATACTGCTATGGGATTGCAGGTGTTCTTGAAGCTTACAGGTATGTACAATAACATGACTCGTAGAAAATATCCTTGGAATAAAATAAAAAAGTTATCCCGGTTTTTAATACGTATTCTTCAATATTGTGCAGGAATTGTATCAGACTGATTCAGATGTACGGTCCAACCAACTTCAGCCCAGTGATTAATCATATTGCACGAATGGCAGCTAATTCTCGTGGGGGAGACGACTACTATGTATTACTCATTGTCACGGATGGTATTATTACTGATATGCCAAATACGAAAGAGGCCATTGTAAATGCATCTACGCTTCCCCTCTCCATCATCATTGTTGGAGGTATGTAGATGGATTTTTATTGAGAAAATGTTGCATAACGAAAAAATAACTAATAAATCCGTCTATTGAATGTAGTTGGTGGTGCCGATTTTGAAGCTATGGAAGAGCTTGACGGAGACGCCGTTCGCCTCTCGTCCAACGGCCGCTTTGCTGAACGAGACATTGTGCAATTTGTTCCGTATCGAGACGCATACACCTGGATGAATTCAACCGTGGGGCCAGGAACTAGCTCGGCTCCTTTCTACAACGGTTTGTCAAACCCATACGATCAAGGATCCTGGAATCAACAACACAGCACGACTCATAGATTGGCCCAAATCAAATTGGCACAGGAGGTATTACTTTGTCATTATATATACATATACACACTTGACTTATAAACTACCCTCTTTTTGTGATCCACAGGTGTTACAAGAAATACCGGATCAACTAACTGGCTATATGAGAAGCAAGGGGATTCGACCTAAAGCAAAAACGGCTTAAGCCATTATGAATTAAGTCTGTTGAAAACTAGTCTGAAGTAGTCTGAAATCACACCAAATTCGTATTATCGAATAAGCAGCACGGCACATTGTGTACTTTACGAGTTACCCGCAGTACCTTATTTATGGACTTCAAATTAGCTTCAATTTAGCTTCCTGGCCTACCGTGCTTTGATAAAACTATGAATTACCAATGCTTCCTGCACAAATTAATTACAAACATTTCCATTTTTAAGCAAAATTATTCTTCCAAAAACGGAAATTCCCACAAAATATTATCACTTGACACTTGCCTGTTCTTAAACTTTGATGTAGAGCCATTTGAGCTTAAGAAGAAACTTTACATTTATTTCCGTATGGGCCAAATTATTTAACTCAATATAGGGTTAACACAACGTATTAGGTTTTTGGCTCAACATTTCCACATTTCCACTATTTTACCACAAATTATATATGTACATACTACTCAATGTTTATGAATATAACCCAAGGTACAACTTAAACAATTAGTTAAAGGTAATTTATAATCATTATCATTAATTCTTCCAAATGACCAAAAATCAAAAATAAACCACAATTCCTAAAAAACCCTTGAAATATGATGTGCTTTCCATTGCTCAAGAAAATGAGAATGCAATATTTGTGTTATTCGATTTTATTGGAGACATTTTTATTATTATGATATGAGAAGACACACCTCTTTCTCTCTCGTTCTCTGTAAGTACTTGACTGTGTTATTACATATACGTTCCTCTATCAACTATGCACTAATTGTTGTAAGTTTAATTAATTACTTAATCATAATTACTCAATTATAGGATAGGATAAAAATATTTTGCAATTTCTTCATTATTGAAATGCATCTTTGATATTTTGAAATTGTCTTATTGCCAAATCCACGGGAAGATCGAAATTTATGGATGAGAGTTTATCAAGTGATCTGAGCGCATCTTCAAAACCTGTTTGTAATTAATCAACTTTTTAATGTTATTTAACAATTGTTTAATTGACCTATATGTTTGTACTTTATTGACAATTAGTTAATGGTACGTTAGGCACATACCCATTTTGTTGACGTAGCTCCATGGCTGATAATACTGCTCCATTATTTCTTGCGTTCTTACAATTAGACGAATCCAGATTACAAGTTTCTTGCAGCTACAAAAAAAATTATGATTGTTATTTTTGTATACGTACATTTTAATTGTATTTACGTTATTATCAACTTACTTTAACGCTGCACAAATAAAAGCCTTGAAATGAGACTCTGGACTCCTTTTGTAACGACTATGGCTGGATATAATGTTATCGATGGTACTCAGGAGAAGCTGTAAGTAGGCAAAATAAATTTCTTCATCCACGCATTCCATCATATTTACATACTTATAATTTATTCTATTAACCTGTTTATTTGTGATTGCTGTCGACCCAACTATTTCTAATGCGAAACTTTGTGATAATTTCCTGGCCGCGGTGGCATTATACTTTTCCCCGTTTTTAATCGAATAATACTTTAGAATTAAATCCCACGCGGTAAGAAACCCACTCCCTGCTGAACTTCGGGACGAAAAACAGTTTGCTAGGGACAAAAGACCCTGACTCTGGCCCACGTGCATGAGCCCATGCTCCAGCAGATTTCCAAGAGCGGTCGCCAAGTCTTTGCGAACTGCTGAGGTCAGGACTTGATTACAGATGACGGACACGACAGTGGACGTTTCTTCACAGTCGGACGTGTAGTCGCTGTCTGCAGGGAGATCGGACTGCAGAGCCAAATTGTAGACTCGGGCCACTGCCATTTCAAGTGCGGCTCGAAGGTCTCTGAGTAAATAATCAGGGCAAGAAGATGAAATCAGGACTACAAAGATATATCCAAAGCTAAAAATTACCCCCAATGATTGCCTTTTGGACTCTTTTTCAAGGAATTCATATCAAATTGATTACTAGAACAGCCAAACTGAGCTACGGCAAACATTTGGATGAGTGTCAACGCTTTCTTCATCATTTGTACTGTTTTTGTCCGAATCTGTGTAGAAAGCATGTAAGAACAAAGAACTCTATAAATAAATCCATCACAATTATGCTCGTATGCGTGTTTTCACCTCTTCTTCATCTTCATCCCTGTAGTGAGTACACTTTGGTTTTGAATTTGAATTACTCTCCCCACTTTCACTACCACTGCCACTTTTGGAGGATTTGGGACAGTCGCAGGTACAGGTCGCTTCGCCGTGCAAATACTGAATGAAACGTTCTAGGTCAGAGATTTGGGTTTTAAGTTGATCTACCAATTGCTCCTTCATTTTTATAGGGCCGACAAGCTATACAAAGATAAAGTGAGATACGGCTTAACATGTGATATAACAATATCTGAACCTCACCTCATCGATAGCTTGATCAACGTGTGATCTTAAGTCGTCCCCACTGACGCGTCCTAACTCGTCTACGTTGAAGTTTAATTTTTCTCGGAGTTGATCTAGACATGAGGCGAGGAAATGTAACGCTTTTTATGCAAGAACAATTCCAATCGATGAAAAAAACACAATTGTTCTCACCAACAACAATTTTATGATGTTCTAAAAGGACGCTTTGTGGAAGACCAGCATCTCCAGTTTCATACGCATATGATTCTAATTCCTCTAATTGAGTTTTTAATTGTCCAATTAAGTCCTTCTGTTGCTCTTTTTGAAGTTCGATTTTCCCCTTGATATCATCCGGGTGGCAGGATAGATTCATCGTTCCAATGTTCACGGTCGACACGGCGGAGGGGATTCCGCGGAAGGTAAATTCCTCCAGGTCACGAAGCAAGTGCTCTTTCTCCTTTACGGGGGCGGACACAATTTGCTGAATTCGGAATTGAACCTGGACAAGGAAATAAAATTTTGAAAGATGCATATACAGCGCAACTTTAAGGTGAGAATGCCATCCAAATACTTACCTGAGCAAAATGTGTCGTAAGTGCTAACAAAGCGGACGTGAGCTGCTCATGATTTTCCTTCATTTTTCTAATTTCGATCGGATCTGTCAAGTCGTCCTCGCCACTGCTGAATGCAAGGTTTAATTTCAGAAAACATTTATATTTTTTGCAAAACACAATTCAAGCAAAAAATTCGCAGTCACTCACCCAAACTTGGTTGGAGAGCTATTGTCGTACTTGTAGTCGTCATACCTCTCAATGTCAGAGTCATTAGCACCCAAGGGGGCCCATCGTTCTGGTCGAGATTTCGTGCCTTCCCAATCGTTCCATTCTTCCTCCTCCTCCAAATCTCCGTCTTCTTCCGTTGAAATTGCAAGACTTTCCAAATGCAGGGAGGAAGATGATACGACTTTTTCTCCTGGTTCTGAAGTCATGATTTGAGTCGGGTCTCTCTACCAGACAGATCTAGACAGATCTCTCTGCTCAGACTTAATTTTTTGAGCCTTGCTCGCTTACTATACCAGTCTCAAAACTATATTAAAAAACTATACTGGCCAGAACAACCCTCATGAAAACGGTCGTGGGTCCCACTGCGTAGACCAACTTTCTAGCCTATTATCGATTCCGTATTAATTCAAAGCTAGAGATTAATTATAGCGATCCAACTTCCCCCACTCGAAGGGGTCGACTATTTTCAAAACAGGAAGAGAGAAAGCACTGCTGGTAGTGAAACGAGAAGGGTTTAACGAGATGTTCTCCACACGGATGACGGATCACAAATATTGCCAGTTGGACTGAAACCAAGAATAACTTTCACCACTGCCATCACGCACATCTTCTTTCACCACCACGAGAAGAGAGACCATGACCAGAATAATGTTGCAATACTTGCTGGAGAGGAAAAATAGAGCATCACCATGTCATTCCTGAGCTGATGACGTGCTCTGGAGGAAGAAAAGTGTGTGGGAGTTCCAGAGTCGACCAGATGTACGTAAACCTTGCAGCCAATCCCAATCTTTATTTGGAACTATGCTGGTCTGCTAAAACCGTCGTTCGTTCGTTCTTCTCTGGATCGATACCTACATATTTACTATACAGCAAACCTCCAGTTCTATGGGGAAGAATTGAGTTTTCGCCATATATTGTATTTAGATGTTGTACGTAGATAGCTTCCCAACTTTGTTAGCTTAAAGTCAGTTTTCACTCTGAACGTGTCCTTTTTCTGTGTCTCTCAGGAGAACAAAGGCAGAATTTTGATGTCCTTTTAAGTAGTGAATTACTTTCTCTTGTCCTCGAGGGGCATTAAAATACGGGACGGAACATCAATGATCTCCTAACGAATCATTGTAATGCGTCTAAAAATAAATGGCCAACAAGCTTAGTCTTTCGTTATCCTCTTATGTTTGCTGACAGGAAGCCATGTCCGGGAGGAAATTTTCATTCAGGTTTTATCTAGAGTGGAGAGAGGAACGGTGGAAAAACCGCAAAACCAATGGAATAAATTTTAATACTGTCTGATACATATTTCCTTTCTGATACATCCTAATTCCTTTGTGAGAGAGAGTACAAACGTATGAAAATGATTTGGTGTTTTGCATGCATGAAAAAAGTTTGATATTTCCAAACTGTTCATCCCAATACAGAAAGATCGCTCAGAAAAATAAAGTTTTCAGGCATTCATTCATCACATCACATCGACTAAAAAGTTTAGCTTCACAAACAGATCTCTTTTCTCACTCTATTTGAAAAAGAGCTAATAAGACGACGCCTACGACCTATTCACAACAACCAGGCAGTCTAAATGCATACCCCAACTTCCCCTTGTTCCGACCAGACAACAAGAAACAGACAGTGGAAAATAGAGTTTCGCCAAGAACTTATTTCTTGGACGGAATAATTGAAAAATATTAGGAACCAGTCGTATCTAATTAAAGTCCTTGTTTTTCCACCAGTCAATCCATGTCAAGCAGAAGGAAAGACATGCCAGGCAAATACACGGCATGCACAACGTGGAGAAAGTTTAGGTCTACTTTCTCCTTCATTATTAATGATGCTCTTTCTCTCTCGTGAAAGAAGCAGCGATGGCTATCTCAACCTATCCACCAACCAAACCATCCATCCCACTCGACAAAGTACCACAATTTCTCGTCGGGTTCTTCTCTATCTCTCGTCTTCTTTTATTCAGTCGTCTTCTTCCAATAATAATTCTATTCTCAGGTGTTTCAGTTCAAGGTTGACATTTTTTCAGATATTGCCATTTCTTTCTCCCCAGCAGCTTTTTAACTGTACATGCACATTTACATAATAGTATGTAGCATGGGTAAAAGGATACTTAACAAAGTTGCGATAGAGTAGAGTGGTGGATTGAGTTTTTATGCTAATTAATTAATTAACCACTAATTAATAAACGTGTCTAAATACCACAAATAATGGTATAACAATTTGTTTCAAATGAAGAGACAAACGGCCGTCTCACATATAACGACGAACATTAAGATCCTCCACATGTCGGTCGTGATTGTTTTGCTGTGTGTATTTCTTACTATTCAGTGCGTTTTGAATGGTTCACTCGTGTGTGGTAATTCATTTAATAATTCTTTAATAACACATTTGTTGATGTAAAGTACTGGTCGTTGCTGTGTTGTCGTTGCTTTTTCGTGTTTACTGGCAATTTATTTCAATTTTTTTTATAATTTTTTTTCTTCCTTACTTTCTTGTACTTTATGCAGCGTATTCATTCATAGACCCTCGCAGCGTGTTACACGCTACAGAAAACAATGAGACGATTTATGTAGTTCGTGTAGTCTTTACCATCGTTATGATGGCCAATTGCCAAAATCAGAGGCATTGCATTTTGGCTGCGGTCATATTTTTATTTGTCCGAACACGTGCTCTTCTTGCTTGACTAAAAACTCGGGGAAGTTGAGTTGAAAATAAACTTTTTCTTTTTTTCCAAATTAAAGAAATAAAACTCATTAAAACGAAAATACTTGACAAAGAAGTTTTGACAAACAAAAGATCTGAATTCGATTAAAAGCTCCGTATATCAAGTTGAGGAACGAGACAATACTTTTTTGTCTGTGAAAGTTTAGTTATTTATTTTTGAGGAGACAAACTTTTAGTAAAATAGTTTACTAATTATTCTAGGACAAATAATAAGAAAGCGAGTCGTGCTAAGATAAAGAAAAAGAAATGACGACGACGTGTAAAGACTGCGTCGTAGACTTTAACACCCCACCGCCCGAAGGTCTGGCAAAAAATCGGAATTTGGGCCTAGTTGTGGCTGGAGTTATTGGTATTGAATCTGCAAATAATAATGTGTGTAATTTAATTGATGTTTTTTTCGTAAGTTCATCTAATTTAACTAAGATTTGGAAATATGTTATTTTGTTAATTAGGGGGAGGTGCCTTACTTCTCAGTGCAATTTGCGTCCCATTTGTCACACCGGCGCTGCGAAAAATTTGCCTCCCATACGTTCCAGCCACGACGAGTCAGGTGGAAAATGTGATTAAAGCACTGAAAGGGAGGAAGGGGACCCTCGTCGATTTGGGCAGTGGGGATGGCCGCATTGTACTTATTTATAAATTAAACATGTCAAGCGTGCGGGCAAATCAATAATTTCTAATCTGCTTTACATTTGCGTTATTTTCTAGGTCCTTGAAGCTGCTAAGGTGGGATTCAAATCGACAGGGGTGGAATTAAATCCGTGGTTGGTGATGTACTCGAAATTCCAAGCGTTTCGTTCTGGCATCTCCTCCATGGCAAGTTTCCATCGACGTGATATTTGGAAAACAGATTTGAGCAAATTTGACAATGTCGTGATTTTCGGAGTGGATTCAATGGTACTACATCGATTTAAAGATTTGTTTTTTTACTAATGCTAGATTAATGTAGGAATAACTAAAAGTACTAATAATTTTATGTAGATGAAGGATCTGGAGGTCAAATGTAGTCAAGAAATGCACGACAAGAGTGTCATCGCCGCTTGCAGATTCTCCTTTCCAAACAGAATCCCTCATAGTCAAGTTGGTGAAGGAATAGATGCTGTCTGGCTTTATGATAATAGTTTATCAGCACCATTATCAACTAATAGTGATACGCTTATTTCAAATGGTTCTGCAAGTCAGAAAATTATTTCCAACCGAAAAGTTTGACCAGATCGATAATAACGCGAGTATGTAATAATTTATAAGTCTATATATAAAACAACGTATTGATGGTTCTTTATTGACAACTTATTTATATAATAATAGTCGTTTCACAACAAGTATATAAAAATTTGCCTGTTGTTTATATATATCGTGATCTCAACTGTGGACTAGAGAAAACCTCTGACATAAAAATATGCTACTGAACATAATAAATTATCTATTATCCTTATGCTGAAGTAATCGAGTCTGTTATTCCTTTAAGTTTTTGTTCTAGATATTTAGCACGCTTAATCAGTTTTTCAGACTGACTTAGCTCAGTGTAAGGGATCGTTATAACTATGTAGCCCTCCTTCTCCAACAAGCTTCGATTCAAAACGGTTTGTCCAGTGGGTTCCTTGCAGCCCAGGGTCATGGCTGCATAACCTTCGATAACAAGTGCAGCAGGTTGATAAGGTGTGGTTTTGTTTCGTTTACTCTCCATGTGAGAAACTGGCTCCTTATTTTTGTTCAGCATGCAAATAGCATCTAAAGCAAAATTCATAATTACATTAAAATTTGAATTTGTAATGAAACTTCATGAATACATTTAAAATGGTTGTTTACATACCAGCAAAGACGCCACATGGGAGCTTTTGGTTTAATGTTAAATACTTTTCAGGAGAGAGGAAGCTACTCATCGTGTCTAGTGCGATGCCAGCTAGTTTTTTATCACTGGTACTTAAATTTGTAGAAGCCCATTGAGATTCCGTTTTCTCAGTAAGAAATGGACCTTTGTAACCGGATTTTGCTTGATGTCTTGCCGTAGCGTTAATGTTGAGTAGCTTTATTTTAGATTTACTGCTTTTCAATCCCATATTTTCTAAAATTATAAACAGTAGAATCATATATTCGGGTGGAAAAAAACTTGGCAAAAATAACTTTCGTTGACTGTTTACCAATGCTTGTAATAACTTCCGGAGATAACACAGAAGCCAGGAGTTCATTCGTGTGGGAATTATGAACAAGGAGAGAATGAACAATGTTGATCCATTCGACATGACCAGAGGAAGTCTTTGGTGATAGAACTGCTTTGAAATGTTCGCACAACATTTTTGTATTTTCCGTAGAATGATTTAATACTGCACAAGTAAGTAGCCAAGCAGCACAATCGAAGGGGCGAAGTATTTTTACATGTTGAACCATCCATTCATTCAAAATTCGCATTATTGCTGAAATGAATATAAAAAATATGCACAAATGTAATAGCCACAATAAAACTGCCTGGGTTACTTTTAAATGTGATAACTCGCAACCTGAAAATAGTAAATGAGTCTTGTAAATATATACGTACCTTTATGTTTATATCTAATTTGACCTATACTTGTAACCAATGAACTAATCAAGGCAGGATTTTGTATTGTGGGAACCTCAGGGCAAAGGTTGCTCAGTATATTTTCCATTAAAACCTAAGTCACCCATAGAAAAATATTTAGAGTTGTAAACATGAATAGTATGGCCTTCATATCTGAAAAAAATAAATCCAGACTAACCGGGTCAGCAAAAGTTAGTTCATTTAAAGCATATATCAACTCAATTAGATCTTTGGCACTTGACGAATCGACACATTTTGCAAAGTGAAATGCTAGAGTTCTTAAAAGTGGAGTTGGACGACGTTTCTGGCCAGCGATTGAGACAAATAACTAGAAATCAGAAAATGAGGTTACTAACATTACAATTTTAAAAGCTGTATAAAAACAACCTGCCGCATTTCGGATGGAGTGAAAGTTGGGACCATTTCAACCGCTCTGTCCTCCAGCTTTCCTCGAGTCTCTTCATCCAAAAATTGGAATATTTTGAAACTAGAATTGAAATCTTGTCCAGACACAATTTCAACCCAACGCCTTTGTATGGTGTGAATTGCCAATTCGACAATGTCAATCTTGCTATCGCTTAGAGCGACTGCGTCGGTCGACTTATTTCCTGGAGAAGGTTGAACAATCGTATGGGCAAACATGGCGATAGAACGAATGAGATATCGTATCTGGCATCGACGCATTCCCCACTTCAACTCCATATACAACTTTTGATAGATTTCTGAAGACTCCAAAGCTCCCAGTTTCTGAAGGCCCTGAACATGTATATTAACATGACATATGCATATTGTTAGTCATATAATTAGTCAATCTTTAGATTAGTAATACTTACATGAAGTGCTGCGAAAAGTAAATGTGGGTTATGTGAATAATCCGCTCTTTGAATCAGGTTGCACATCTTGACAAATCTTTCATCCTTCAGCAGCAAGTCAAACTTTGGTGATTTGTCGTTTTCAGACAATTGTCCTAGCCGGTGTAGTATCAAGCAGGCATGTTTCAAAAGGAGGGATTGCCTGGAGGAAATCTAATATAACAACATCGTTAATTAATCCTATTTAACTTTACAAATAGTTCCACTCTCACCTTCAGTAACTCCTCTGCAGAATTACAAGCGTAAATTGTCCCCTGTACAACCGCCGGCAAGTTTGTCGTACTTGAATTGTCCTCTTCGAGAAAAATGTGGTCACCAACCTTTACATCCGTTGATCTCATTCCCTCATTTCGTGCTAAATTGACTACTACTTCTTGTCCCTCCTTAAACTTCAATGTTGTAGCCGACGTAGAAAAACTGCATACTTCCCGTGTCGAATGAAATTCTCGCGACAGTAAGAAATCCTTTCGGCGAAGAGTTTGCACGCGAGGTTGGCGTTGACGCAGGAGACTTAAGGCCGTGGCTGCTCGGGAGTTTCGAAGGAAGCCCCAACAACACCGATGGATAGGTTGGTAATGCATTGCAACTTGTTCTAGGAAACATTCAAATCATTGTAATTAAACAGGATCAGAACTAGTTAATAAAGGTTGATCCTCGGTCATGACAATTTTCCAACCACAATTAATTATTATGGGAAAATGTCACATTTATCCAAAAAAACTCAAGCAAACCATCTCAAACACTTCATTTACACATTAAATGAAAAAAATATTTCTACACGAAATTATACACAAAAGGACACTACCTTTTCTGAGACAATAACAGCCGGAGGTCGTATCGCTACTTGGTCACCAGCACTTGTCGGGTAAAATGTGCAAAAAAGGACGACGAGTTTTTCGCCATGGAATTGGCAAACCCGGTTGATTCTCTGGTGGAAAGAAGAAACATTTACTTGGCCCCAACGTGGGGCCAAGAGAGATGCGATCCAAATCCTTATTGCTGCCGACTGAACTGAATCTCAAAATCTCATAATCCCAAATATCCATTCTGTGATGAGTTTTCTTTATGAAAATTCGCACAAAAGATTTCATACTAATTTAATCAGTGAATACAATGGAATTTTCGTTGGAATATATGCACATACGTAATGGAAAGTGAATGTGTAAAGTAGTTATTTGGAAGAAGTGGCTCAATCGATATCAGGACGGAGTGAGACGAAGCCATTATCATCAATATCAATCTTACACTTTGTATATTTCTCCCCGATGGGTGATCACAATAAATTTGTTTAGCTTGGCATTTTTGCATTGTCCTCCACCAACGAGTCCGACATATTGTGGTGACCCTAAATCCAATCATTCTGTTCTGTAAGTCGGTGGGAGGGGTGTTATTGTTGATCCCGTTGAATGAAATTTTTGCCGTAAAATGCACATAAATAAATGAGTCTTCAATAACAACGGTTTGATCGATAACTTTGATATCCATTATTTTTATTATTTGCCTCTTAAACGCGTACTAACAGAATAATAAGACATGATGATGTAAATTTTGTCCTACGTTTCTTTGAAATTTCCTAATTTTCCAATACGTTTTATAATAATTTTTTTTATATATTTATATCGAGCAAGAACGAACGGTGAGCCCGGTATTAATAGAAAGTCAACGTATTGAGTGTGTATATGTGTGTGTGCGACTGACTATAAAAAATAATATCATGATGATGAATATTTGAAGAAACTAGTATCGCAGAATAATGAAGACTAAACTAAAGTTGTTGTTTTTTTGGCGTAACGCACTAAATACATATTTTAAAGGACATATTATGAAAATTTCCTATGTATGGATATAATAATCTTGGTTGTAAAAGTATCATACTTAAATGGCAATCAGAGTTAAAAGCACTTTTACTTTATATTTAAATATCATAATAAGGTAGTGTAATATCATTCATTTTTTGTTATATTGTTGAACTCTTTAAATTGAAGTAGTTATTTAGTAGATAGGAATGGATTGGATTCAGATAATATCTAATCGGTGTGTGAATGTTGCAGTATATACCTAATAATATCATCACCACCGTTAAATCGCTGTTAAAGTTTCTTTCTTTGGAACTTGCCGTTTTTTTTGAAATATCAACCAGGATATTGCAAACAATTAATTACGTATTTTAATAATAATAGCAGCCATTCGTTGCCGAGATTCGAGTGTCGCCCATCCCCGAAGGAGGAGGAAGCCTTCTCGCCTTATTATGCTTATGCAGCCCCATTATCCACCTCCTCCTCAGTGATTGTGGAACATTTCTTCTCCTCAATGTCCATACTGTTTGAGGTACTAAGTGCTAACCTTTGCATCTTATGAACCATAGCGATAGCATGCATTAGTTGCTGAAAGTGGAAAAGAAAACAAGATTATAAATATAGTTTTTTAATGAGTTTTTTTTTTACATTAATGGGAAATGCCTCTCACCCTCCATCGGGACTTTGCAAAATTTTTCTTAAGCTGCTCCGACACAGTTCCGTGAATGTTTTTATTGGCCGCATTTCCACATATCCTGTACAAATCAGAGTTCATAAATGCGACATTTTCCACACGAGGGAAAAAAAGGTCAAATAGTTCAAAGGCACGTTTCCATCATAAAATGGAAACAATAACAAATCGATATGCGTGTCATTACCATGGATGTTGTAGAGCTTGACTGCAGGTAAATCGTTTGTCTGTATCGACGCACATTAGCATACGAATAAAGTCTTTCGCTGAGTCGCTTATCTCATCCCAGTACGGAGAATCAAACTCAAATTCCCCTAAAAGAGGCAAATCCCATGATAAATATAATGAATTTAAAACAGTATATACATCTCTAGCCAACACGGAGCGTAGCATAAGTAAGTATTCAGTACTCTTTACTCGTAGTTAGTAGTAGGAAAACTAGACTGAATTGTATACCTTTTAAAATCTGAGCAAATAGATTTGCATCGTTTTCATCGTAGAAAGGAGGATACCTGGAAAAGGATCATATTTTTGCGTATTGTATGTATTTATGCTCATCGTGTGAATAGAAACTATATCACATTACCCACAAAGGAGAATGTACGAGATTACACCTATGCTCCAAACGTCGACCGCCTTTCCATACGGCTTTTGCGCCAACACCTCTGGAGCTGAAATGGAAATTTGTTGGATTTAATTCTGGAAGTTCGCCCCAGTCAGCCAGCCAGCCGTGTGACCAAGCGAAGAAGATGATCGAAATACTGACCGACGTATCCTGGTGTTCCACACGCGGTGGCCATGATACCAGAATCCTCCATTTTTGATAGACCAAAGTCACTGATCATTATTTTGCTGTCCTCGTCCGAACAGTAGTACAATAAATTCTCGGGCTGAAATCACAATAGAATTTCAGTACTACTGCGGAATACGTTATTATTATCCCAAAACATGCACGCTTTCCAAGGCTGTTACACACATACATCAGAACGACATCAGATCACCAACCAACTACTTGACTACAGAGTTGATATTGAAATAATAAAACCACATCAGTTTCGGAGCAGTAAAGTGAATTGCGACTGGATCATGGGAAAGTTTGAACCATTTTTCACTCTCGTCTAACAACCACCAAAACCCACAGAAGTCCTGGTGGAAAAGCGAGGTGGAAAGTGGGCGTTTGATGTCAATCAAAGTAGTCTCAATTTTGCACAATGCACATTCAGAGCTAGTGAACACTAGAGCTCGTGCTAATAAAGGTATTACATATATGCTGTAAAATTTTACTCAAGGCATTGTGAACCGATGGCAGAGAAAGCAAAGTGAAGCGAAGCAATGGTACATATACAATCACGGCGTCGGCGGTATCCATTCATGTATTTACCTTTAGGTCACGGTGCACCACGCCTTGATCATGCATGTATTCCACAGCCGCTAGCACCTGTTTTATCAAGTCGGCTGCGTCTTTCTCAGTATAAGACCCCTTCTCCACGATCCGGTCGAACAGCTCGCCCCCAGTCACTCTGTATCAACACAAATTCGAATCATGCCCACCCAATTCTCGTGAAATGATCAAATGTCAGAGGATGAAACAATTAGGGAGAATTTATCTACAAATCTTGGAGAGGCCGACTACTAATTGCACACTGCTGGACACCGTGTGCAAAATATATGCGTGCAAAGACTTTCTCCGTTGTACAAAAACATGGAAATTTAAAATAATGGAGATAATGGAAAGAAACACTTACAATTCCATGACCAAATAGACCCTAGTTTTATCTTCGTACGTATCCAACAGCTGCACTATATTGGGATGCGTCAGTCTGGAATTTAATAGAAAAACATACATAGTGATTTTTTTTATAATTAAAAAAAGAAAATGATTTTTCAGAGTAAATCACGCCATAGCAAAATTGCTCAAAGTTAATAACTTTTATGATTACATATTACATCTCATTTTCATATTTCTCTTCATCCCACAAATGTGACCTACTTACAACATATTTGATATTACTACTGCGTAATAGGAAATCTGCACTTTAAACGACTTCACTTCCGCGACCCGTGCAAGAAGAGCCCAATTATAAAGTATTTTCACTTGCGTCGCCCACAACACCTTCTGCTTATTCCTACTACGTATGTACGTCCTATGTGAGTACCTACCTACCCCTCCTTATTAGCAATATATATATATATATGAGGGAAAGTTATTTCCCAAAAAGCTTATTTCCAGGATTAAATCAACAAAGTAATGAACCACCACCACCACCGTCACCACGACGGACCGAATTGAAACAACTTTCTCCTCCTCCTCCTCCTTTTCCGTCTGTAATCACAAAATTCATCTCGCAGAGTTGCGGTTTCGTAACGTTCGTGATAGGCCACACCACGCCACGACAATACAACATCTACGCCATGCAACTTCAGACCGAGCAGTTTCACAAGTAAAACAAGTAACAGTGCAACACTGGCAATAACTAGTTCCAATTCCTACCGGGATAAGGAGTAAAATAGCGAATTAAAACTAATGTTTATGTCGCCCATGTCGATGGATGGATGGAAGAGTGGCATAGGAGCAGTTAGCAGTAGGATCGCCTCCTTTTCTCCAAGTAACAAGTAGACCAAGACTCTCCCAGGATAATTTCGCCAAGAAGAATGCAATCGATAAATAATGATATACTTGTTCAAACAAACAAATGTGCTGATGTGGTACGAAACTCCCAAGTGACTACAGCAGCAACATACAACTCTCTCTCTCTCTTTCTCCACTAATAAAACGTAACCCATTACTATAGCCCTGACCCGTCTGACATGAAATCGGTCTGTCTTTCCTACATGGTTACCTCGAAGCCACGCAGGCAATAAATAAAGAGTTTATGGTGCCTTAAGTACGTCATTTGCCTCGTAATAAGGTTCGAGTTCTTTCTCCAAACTGTGTACAAGTACATGAGAGATTGAGTGAGAAAGTCTAAAAAAAGGGAAATAATGAAATGAGTTGTCCAACTTTATACTCACTTTACTACTGCTCAAAACTGCATGAATTCGAATTCATAAATTTCCTTCCCCATAAAAGAAAAATGATTCAAGTTGTTGATACGACGACGAAGGGCTAAGCGACTGACAAGTGAGTGGAGGGATTGCCAGGAAGGTGACGACAATAAAAAGGAGAGACCTCGTCCAAATTTAAGGCATCCAATCTTAAAGCCATAAAAGCTGCTACCTATTTACATATTTCCTTTTCTTCTCCTTCTTCTTTAGGGAATGGAATGGATGAATGTGTAGTAGTGTTCAAATAAATGTAATTAAATAAGTTACGATACAACACATAATACTAGACGGGTGCAAAATGTAGTAGAGATTTTGACAATGGATTCATCAGGATGAAAGAGTTGCATGCATTACATTTAACGTGGATGGATGGATCATGTATCCTCTGTCTGCCAGTGAGTCCAATCAAGTCGTGAATGTAGTTAACGACCGGAGGGATGAAAGAGGAGATCCGTTAAAAATTAACAGACACACTGTCCTTGTCAATTATATGTTCTTACTACTAAGCACGACACATGAGCTCTGATTATTTGACATCTATCGTCGTCAATCCATCCATCCTTCCCTCCCAGACGGATTAATTAAGATGGAAGGATACATGATTCACAGAAATGTGTAATGTTTTTGCTGGACGGGCTCTAGTTTAACCCAGATATCAAGGCCAAAGAGGATGACATGGCGACGCTGATGGTTATGAAACATTTTACATCCAATCTCTGTCCTCCATTACTGTCAAAGTGAGCTCTTTGAAGACAAATAATTTTGTTATCCACAAAACCGGAAAAGTTTGACGCAAGACGAAAAATATTTGTCCCGAGTACAATAGCTACTACTGTTTCCGTTGGTTGGCAATGTGATGTGTACATATTTTCGAGAAAATTGAATTGATTGTGACCACCAAGTCTTGAAAGGCATCACAAATGATTGAATCCAATGACTGTCAACTGCAACACATGTATTCAACGCATATCTAGGGAGGGAACAATCACGATGGCGGAGGCAGCAGCTTCAGATTCCGGAAAACTGTTTACCAAGTGTTTCTTAGTTATTTTCGACTTTCATCTTTCGCATACAATGCCCACCACGCTTTCGTCGTGGTGAGCTCGAAGACGACATCACAAAGCTACATGTTCAACGTCGAGAGAGGATTGGGACAATTGTAACTCATTATTATATACATGGGTCACCTTTGTGTCTATGTTCCCCAAATATTGGATGGAGGAAGTAGTTGTTACTGCTGCCTTCAACTTACTTATTCTCAAGAATAAGCTGCTGCTGGTACTGGTGGTGGAGCGGAGAGAAAGCTGGAGAAATTTCCGAAGGCCAGGAAAGAGTGTGAGTGAAGCTAAAGAAGAGGAAATAGATCTCTCTCTCTCTCTCCCTCCCTCTTGTTGGAAAGTTGGCTTTCATACATGACTGAGCAATAGGACGACTGATAATTATAAGAGCACACAGCAAATAAGAGACGTCGACTTTCACCCAAACAATTTGAGAAGTTGGGAAGCCTAAACTTGATCGAAACAATGATTGACCTAAATCACTGAAGCTTAGTTACAGTTTGCTCTTGCAATGCGGAGGATGATGAGGAGTAGTTGTACTGTTTATTGTTGGAGATAATTGGAGTTATTTTAACAGTCGTTAGGTAGATCTCAGTCTATCTCTCTCTTTGTATGTCGTATATTACAGGCATACGTAAATATACTGACTTCTGAGAGATTACTGATTATGGAGTGATTTTAAACTCCTGACTTTGAAACGATTTACTCACCCGGAGTTAAAAAGTGTGCAAATACAGTTGTTCGATACCAATCATCACTTCCGCCAACACTTATTTGCAAAACTTGAGGTAAATGTTGAAACGTAGTAGTGTTGGTGGTGAAAGTTCATGCAGTCACATTCAGTCAGTCCGTCAGTAGAGGAAGCAATTAATATGATTTAATAGAGTAAACTTTGAGCAGGAATGAATAATATCTACGAGTCTTAATTTTCAGCATCTCCTTCGACAACCAGCCAGCAGCACATCCTTCCTTCCTCTCTCCTCATGTGATTAAAAGGATTTCTGGTTATCATTCTCCCACATAATTAACCAACAAATAGACAACTAGCACGCACAGCACATTGAATTGCTTTGCCAACCAACCAACCAACCAACTAATGGAATTGGGTGGATCGCCTCATACAATGTGCATGTCAATGGGAAGAAGAACACTTTGAGAATCTATCACTTCCTGGCTTGATGATGGTGATGATGACGGCCCACTCTCACCTCTGTCAGAGATACGAGGAAGGGAGAGATAGAGAGAGGTGGTAGACTACCTGAGACCTGGGACTTATCCACCCACCTGACTATACTCCTTTTATATTTTCTGGTTACGACGTAAGTATGCTTTTCACTATTGAAAGACGGAGAAGATGGTTAATTTAAGGCATGATGATGAGACTGACTATAATGTGGATGCTACCATGCATGCCATCAGTTCATGATTCCTTGTCCCGACCTGACTGAATTCCCCTAGCTTTGATATCATATATTGCGGAGGTAGATATGTCGCAGACTTGGAATATTGGACGGACTGAATTTGGATCCACACACTAAGAATTGTAGAAATGAAGCGTGTAGAAGAGAAAATGCGCCCACTATCTATCTCACATAATCCAGCACCAGTTTCTCTCCCCTCTCTCTCTCTCTTACTCTCTAGTACACTGCAGTTTGAGCTGCTTTCTCCTCTGCCACTCGGATTTTCTACTCGTCTCGCATTTGGCACACTTTCCCAACATTCTTCTTCTTCCTCCCATCTATTCCCATATTCACAGGCAGCAGCAGAGGCCTACTTACTTCTTCTTTCCTCAGTTTAGCAGCCGGAGCAGCAGCAGCACACATTCATCCGGATCTTAAGAGTCGTCGTCCCAGATTCTGAACTATGGGCACAACTAACCAACCAACCGTGCCACCCATGCCGCATTGTACCGAACAGTGCACAACTTATGCCCGAAGAAAGCAAACATTCGGGACCGACAGAACAAAAGAATGAGAATCGGGCCTCCTACCCACACGACTAGTCAACAATCCAGTAAATATAACAAGAGTTGATAAGCTGCTTTCCTTGCGAAACACTTGAAATTAAAAAGACAGGATTTTTCAATATTCTTCGCCCATCTACTTGTATACCCTCTTGATCCTCCTCATACAACTAGGAAGCAAAATCTAAAGTCCAAACAAAGCGAAGCAAATATGTATGCATGTTGTTGACATTGCCATCAACCATTAGACCTACAAAATGGGTATGCATACACTCATCTCATCCGCTCTCCCGGCCAACACGATGCGGAGAATCATTATTTTTATACTTGCATGGTGTTGCATGCCCATTATCGATCAACAAAGCCAGCTTAGTAATAAAAAGGCTGCATCATTTGCTTATTACACATACATAACACATCCTTCTTGATGATACTTCCACCACCACTTATACTTTCTCTCTCTCTCAGAAAACTAAGTGGCACGATACTTTTTCTCTCTCTCTCTCTAGTGCTCTGAATCGAATCACGACGACATTGCTTTGACACACTCCGTTGTACAGGAATGATACAGACATAGGAAATATATTGGGGAATTTGATCGAGGAAGGAAGTAGAGGAGACGGCAGAGTGTTTCCATCTCGCCACGTAGCCACAGTTGGTGGTGTGTGGACTATGGACTATAAATAGTGGACAGACAGATGTTAAATTGTGAAGGAGATGATTTGATTCACATGTACATGACGACAACGATGATATAAGGACATAATCCTTCTCATCGCTATTTAGCACAATGTTCAACTACTGTGACATAATAATAATGGCCACCACATTTCACTCACTCGCCCAACTTTCACCAGCAAACGTTGATTATAATTGTTGTTTTGTGTGTTTGTGAGTGAGTGAAATTCACAATATGCTGCCAGGAGAAACTGAATGTTATATAACCTACGCCCACACATGACTACGTACGATGTACAAAGTGCTACCTGAAAATTATACAAATACGTGTAAGTTTGAAGAAGAGGCCATAGCAAATTTTGGGTAAGCAGCCGAGTCGCACATAAATAAATATGATGTAGCTTTGTAAATACACTGACTGGGTGGCTGGGATTTGGTGGAGAGGCGGAGAAAATAATTTAGCTGTGCAGGGCTCAGGCGGATCAGAAAAAGTCAAAAGGGAAAAAGAAAGCGGAGAAAGAAAATGATGATGTATCGCACGATGAGGAGGTGGTGGATGGATGGAGGTGGCGATTATGATGATATTTTGTGTGGTATGGTTTTCGGGAATGAATGACTTTTGGCCAGAGGACGAGGACGAGGTCGTCAAAGCATGTGTAGAGAGAAAGTAATAATTCCGCACCACCTGATATGACAGAAACGTGAAGAAGCTCAACCCTACTAACTACTACTCCTACTACACTACTACTTACTATTACTGCAAGTGCTGGTTATATATATACACACACATGGCATAGACATACATGCACCAAATGGTCAAATGGGCCTTGTTAATCATGACCAAGTGTAATTTTCACATCAATCTGTCAAACTTATTTAGTTCGCAGTGGTGCCGGTGGTGAATGATGATACCCAACTATATGAGGCAGATAATGTCAACGTGTGTGTCGTATAGAGGGTATCGTGAAATGAGACACGAGGGATGAGACAGTAGTAGTAGTAATAGTAGTCAATACTCTGTGAGATCAGATACGGGGAAAAGTTGGCAAACAAATGCACAACTCCAAATGAACAAATGAAATGAGGGAGAAAATGTAGAGAGATGAAAATTGAAGGATTGAGGAGGAGATGAGACAAAAAGTTTTGACACAACCAACTTTGTCTTCCTTCTAATATTTACATGATGCAGTTACGTGCATGTACCGCGTACGGGTAACTTTGAGACTCGATGAAGATCAAGAGAAAGCGAGAGAGATTTCGCTGGTGGTGGTCCTCGTCGTGGGTGGAATAATGTAATAATGCAGATTTGTGGTCGTGCTAAAAAGTGAAAGTTGAAAAGAAAGGTTTAACCGAAAAGTCTTTCCCTTACCTTCGCAGGACTTTGATTTCATTTTCGAGGGAGTCTTCCTTCCCCTTGAGTGCCTTCTTGTCGATGATCTTTATGGCGTACATAACACTGGGGTCTTCTTTACTCTGGGCGAGCCGAACTTGAGAAAACGCCCCCCTGGAGAGAGGTCAGAGTATTTAAGGGTTGTCTGAACATAGACCAATTTTATGTAAGGTGATCATTCGTGAGTGAAAGTGTGGGAGGCTGTGTGCCATACAGACCGTAGTAGTGACACAAAGGATTTAGAAAGCTCTCAGGAAGTAATTCGATCCTGCCACTGTCTCCTGGTGTCAGTGTCACTTACTCATATCCCACCATCATCACTGGAAAAATATTGCAAATTCTTATAAATAATGTCTTACGTTCCGAGGACATCCTTCATTTCGAACTTGTCTTCTAGCTGGGGCTTTTCTGGGTCCTTGCCCTCTTTCTTGGCCTTCTTGGTAGAGTCTTTTTTTCCAAAAAGCGGCATCATCGAGAAATGCCGAATTAAATATTTAACTATTCCCCTCGCGTGACAAACGTTGACTGAACTCGAGAAGCTGGCTGTACGGACTATCAGGTGGAAATGTGGAAATGGAGGGTCCAGTCTCACCCCAACCAGCAGCACCAGCCACCACCGCCGTCCGCGTCGTCTCAATCTTACTCAAACTTTCAACCCCCGTGGGACCATCCACGCCCACAACGACGACACAGACCGCTCCTCCCGTGGCGACGTTTCCGACCTTGGCGACAGGCTGGCAGTGGGTGCGGTGGAGAAAATCTGGCTGAAACGAGTGTGGACGACCCTCTCTCAACCAGCCCCGGTGGCCCATTCTCTTCAAAACTCACAAGCAAGACTCGATGATTATGCAATTTCCCGCTTAGGTTCAAGAAGCCTCTTCCAGAAACCGTGCCTTCAGTCAGGAGAAGAAGTTGCCGTACAAGAAGTTTCGAGCCGAGACACCATGGCTCTACCGCGTCGAATTATCAAGGTAAGTCTTTAATTTCTGTGGGCCGAGGGTGCTGACGTGGTGGGTAAGTGGGGGGATGAGGAGGAAAAAGCATGCGTTTCGTGGTGGGGGAGGGGGATTAGAGGATGGATGGCGGAAAGAGAGGGGGGGAATTGATGGCCCAAAGGGGTGGATATTGGATATTTGTAGGGTTGGGTAGTTAAGTTAAGTAAGGGTGATTGGGGGGAGGGGAGGGGGTGGTCACGCCCAAAAATCGGGTTAGAGTTTTCAGCATTTAAAAAAATGAACTTGGTTTTTTGAGTATTTGAACCATGGATGAACAGTCATCAAAAGTGGAAGTAGATTTTTACTTTGTAATAATTTGGATAATTTGACAAAAGGTGGCATATTCTACATTAAATATTCTTATTCATCAATGATTAGGTTACTTGGATTTTGCATTATGTCACGGTGATAAATCGGCATCTTACGTCATATTATTTATTATATTATCCAGGAAACTCAACGCCTCATGGCGGAACCAGTTCCGGGAATAAGTGCCGTCCCCGATGACAGCAACGCGCGTTACTTCCACGTCGTGGTCACAGGACCAGAAGGATCTCCGTTCGAAGGTGGCGTTTTTAAGCTAGAACTGTTCTTACCTGAAGGTAAGTCAAGAAAAGATGTAGAATAGTTCATTGACAATTGATAGACGGCAAAACTAATCATGGTTCAAAGCTCCACTGAAATTTGCGGGATTGTGTAATAAACATGTTTGGACCTGTTTGTTTTGGGCAGTGTCGTTTGTGTGTGTGTCGTTTGTTGGTTTCAGGCGAGCTGCAGAACGTTTTTTCGTCACTTCACTTGTTTCCCTCAACTCGACAACAGCAGTCTCAGGTAAGTTGTCAAAATTTAGTTATTTTGATCTAATTTAGTTGAAGTCTTTATTTATTACTGTTTAGTTTGTAATGTAATTGACAGGTTTTGTTAACCACAACAATGGCTTTGAACCAGCTTTTCAACCCGCTCAACCCTGTCGCCCAATTATTGGCTCAATTACGCCAAAATCCTCCACCCCCTCTCCCTCAACTCGACACGATTTGGGAGTGGGACGATTTAACGGGGGCTCCCATTTTTCCCGACCCAAACAATGGTAACATTTATTTGTTATTATCATTATAATACAATACAATAATCTGATAATGATGATTTCAACATTCTTGTGTGTTTCAGTCTGGAAACGCTTCCTCCCGTCTACTCTCCGGGATCGACGTTTTGCGTCAACGCCAGTTGGAGCGGCTTTTGTAGCTGGGATGGAAGGGAATTTGCAGACATTTGATGTGCATTGTGGGGCCAATCGGTGTCCGACCAACACAGCCATGATAGCCCTTTTCCGGATGATTCTGCAGGAGGACATCAAGAAAATAAATGTCACCCGAGTTGGCCCCAGCCTAACCATCACCAAAACAGTTAACCCGCTAATGGATTACGATGCAATTTATCCACTCCAGGCATTGAGGACAGAGGGCAGACTAGTGGATGGTATGCGCTATCGACTTGGATGGCGATCAGTTGATGCGAGATCCCTTCACCCACTTCAATTTTTTCCACCGACCCGAGGATCGTCGATATGCCTTTATCGAGGGGGGATTCGCCAGCACATATCAACGACGTGGCCATGAATATTTCTTTGCAATGCAATGTGGGGGTTTTGTATACAATGCCGCGAATTTCAGTGGGGCTTTGAACCATTATTAGTTTCGCCATTCGCCGTCTACTATTTTTAATGAAATAATATTCTATTCAATTTTTACTATCCTTTATTTTTTTCTTCTTACCTGAAGACTATCCCATGTCAGCCCCAAAGGTTCGTTTTATTACGAAAATCTACCATCCGAATATTGACAAGTTGGGTAGAATCTGCTTGGACATTTTAAAAGGTATCTAGTTAATTCCATCTGCTTATTCTCGCCTATCAGCCTTACTTACTCTATTAATTATAACCAATTGAGATAATTGCTTAATTATGGTAATTCTACTAGACAAATGGAGTCCTGCCCTTCAGATTCGAACTGTGTTGCTGTCTATTCAGGCGTTGTTGAGTGCTCCGAATCCGGACGACCCTCTGGCCAACGATGTCGCCGAACTCTGGAAGATGAACGAGCAGGAGGCTATACGAAACGCTAGAGAGTGGACAAGAATGTATGCTCTGGGCAACTAATACTGGCTTCACGAATAGGTTTATTAATACGCAATCTGACTTGTTTTTCATGTACTTTCTTATTCATCTGATTCATCACCATCATACTGAAAAAATTCAACGGTTGTAAACATATAAACTTCATTCATGTATGGTCAAATTTAGTGTACCACCACCATCATTTCACTGATTATATAAGAATAACTTATCTTAAACTGCAAAAAAATCTTTACTTTTAAAACGGTCTGGAGCCTGAGGGCCAACCTAATTTGTAGCAAATTTCACCGAATAAATTGTTTGTTTGTCCAAGTAATATCGATTTCTAAGGTGTCGTCCTCAATGACATTTATATTATTGGTTGGTGAGTTGGTTAATAAGTTATATTCTTCTTCGGGTTAAGGAAACTTTTATAGCTAAGTAAAATTTATATTGATCTTGAAGCAATACATGAGATTGCTTTATATTCAACTTTTTCTGAGTGAGAAACTACTACAAGAATTATGTAACTTCTTCATGATTTTCCTAATAATTACTTAATTATTACAATTAGTTAGCGCATTAGACTTTTTATAAGAAACGCCTGATGTTTGACCATTATAATTTGAATAAGCAAAGTATGTGAAACAGTGCCGATAAACTTTAAGATGCTACTGCTGCATACATATTTCACCTAATAATGTTAGTTATTTTACATATTTCACTTATTGTGATCAGTAAGTACTGTGTTGAATATTATTACCAACTTTTTTTTTCGAGCCGTTATTATGTAATGTTTTCTCAACTGACTGATCATTTCATTTATTACGTATTTAGAGAGAGTGAGTATCTAGGAATAATAATATTCATCATCATCTTCTTAATTGTTTGTTTGTTAATCTTGGTTCATTCTGAGCTTAACTTGCAAAAAACTTTAAGTATAATAGAAGAATTTAATGTCGTCTTATTGCTTTCCATTTTTCCAAACAAGAAGAACAAAGGTCAGTTTTATTAAGGACAGGGACAAGAGGACGATTGGTTTGTTGGCTCATAATAATTAAAAACTATAGATGATATGATACAAGGAATAATGCGCGATTATTCCAATCAACATAATAACCTTAAGAACAAGATTACTGATACAGCGAGCGAGATCGAAACAGAGAGGCAGTGCCTAGCCTAAGTTTAGTATTATTATAGATGATGATGATGATCAACTAAATATATAAGCTAAGATATATCCAACAAGGGGAGGGCGATCCAGAATTCAGGAGGGCGTCATTCCCATGCTCTTCGGAAACTTTTGAAATTTGCAATAGTTCGTAGTATAGATTATAAAGAGTGAAAGAGGAGAGAAGATTGATTCCTTAATAATTCTGGATCACCTCCCACTGAAAAACAATATCTTCTACGACATTTGACTCCAAATGTGTGCGAAGTTATGATACGCGTACGGTACTATTTTGCTCCCAAAAAATAAAAAAGTGTTTAATATTGGACCTGTTTAATTGACTTGTAATGACTTCATTTAAAACCATAACTGTAGGAATCAATCTGCATTCTACATCACAATTCATTTTGGGACTAAGACTTTTATTCTGGTACATTGGTCATATCATGAATGAATAATATTATGTATCATGTTTTTAAATCTACGTACAAACCACTGCACTTTAGAATATTTAAGACAAAATAAGTTCGAAAGCAAAAAATATTGAGTCGTTTCGATTATTTAAGGCCACTGCCCCAACAACAACAGTCATCATTTTCTTGATCATTGCGTTGGAGAAAACTTGTTGGGAATAAGGATTCCTAGAAGCAATACAAAGCCAGGTTAGAACACGTTAGAAAACGGTCATCGAAATAAATCGACAACGCTCCATCATCATTTAAATTTTGACTACTAAAGTAAATACGTCGTTTTTACTGAAATAAACTTACGTGAATCCATTTCGCGAATAAGTGGAACTGTATAAGCTACACACTCATCCCAACCGGGCTTTCTCCAAGCCGCTTCTCGAGTGATTTTCCTAGTTTGCAAATCCTTGTAACCTGCAAAAGCACAATCATAATTAATCATAATTAAATACAGCAGCTTAAATAGTAGAGCTGGTATAACCAGCCTGGTTATCGTGATCAAGTCTTCTTACACCAAATATGATGCACATTGTACAACCGTCCAATCTGGGAGAACAATCCGGTGAAAGCCTCCTCATTATGCTGTCGGAAATTGATAGCTCTCGCCCAATTATTCCCCCATTCGATCATCGTTCCCGGCTTGAGAATATAGCTTCGGATTTCGTAAATGTTGTTACCATCCCTTTTAGCGATCTGTGGCCAGTAGCTGAACTATATGGGAAAAATTATCGTATTGTTCAATAAATTAAATGAGCAATACATTTTTAGCCATAGTTTTTTTACTTATCATCCCCTTACCGTGAGAAGGAACTGGTTATGACGTCTTCGGACATAGTGCAAACGTTCATCTAAGAGTCTCTTGTGATCCTACAGAATAATAAGTAAAGTATATGCACACATGACAAACATACGAATAGCGTCCAACTTATTTCTTATTACCGGATTCTCCTTCATTGTCAACTTTGCCGTATCCACGCCGGTATATCCTCCCGTGTACTTCCACATATGAATGACTTGGTCCTGGTCGCCAATTCCGACCGTCCAGCTCGCCATTAGTTCTCCAACTTTGAGTTGATTGACCACTTCCACATGTTTGCCACTGGAGAGAACAATATTGTGACGACGAGACTCGAAATTGGAATACAACTTACTAGTTGTCCAAATATTGTTCGAGATATGCGGGCTTCACGTCGTGGGTTTGCAGCTCATAGATCACCTCCTTGTCCGACAGCATCGTGGAATGAGACTCTTTCGTCGGCTCGATCTTCCTCACAAACAGTTTGCTCAGAAATCCTTCCCCTCCAGGGACATCGAATCGGGGTGCGGACACACTGACGCCCCTGGAATGAGTTAAATAAAGCAATTAGCTAATCAAATCTACGCATATATTACTTATAACAATCATCATCCCTTAGTTCACAGACCTTCTAAAAGAGCTCAGCATTGGGGTGTGGACCAATCGGGTTCCAAAATATTTGCAAATTCGACAACTCACAGCCATTTTTCTTTATCAAAAAGGTCTACTTTCTCTTCACCACTAGTTTAGCTGCTACACTTGAGATACAATATAAATGAGAATGAGGAAGGTGTGTGTGTGAGTTTATTTAGCTGGGATACATTAATTTAATGTTATATTAAACCCGATGATAATGATGCTGGTAAAGAGGATATGTATGATGGATGATGGCCAGTACGAGAAGAAAGAATAGCCAAGGATTGCCAATTCTACATACAATGCCAATCAACCAATGTAATAACTGGACTGTGTTAACTATAATAATAACCCACTGACTGAAGAGTGGAGTATATGGACTAATTATGAATGTTGCAATGTGTGATGGCAACTAACTGGGCGATTCGACTTGTAAAATGTTCTTGTGTTTAAGAAGAAGATGGTGATGTGATGACGATGAAGTCGTCATTTGGTTCTTCGTCTTTGGGGCTCAAAGAAATCATCATCGAGTTGCTGGCAACAAGATTTTGAGCACGAAACATTTCTCCGATGAGAGACCTTTGCACCGCTGACACTCCTGAGAAACTAACAACATTGAATAAGGTGCAAGTCTAAATGTTATCTTGGATTGGGTATCATCAGTGGTAATCGAGATGTGATTGATATAAATACGCTAACCTAATTCCACTTTTCACTTTTAACTTTCTACCCAAAAATTCACCCCGATTATATAATTCACAAAATCCAAAACGAATCTCACGTTGTCCGTCCCAGTTTAATCATAATCAGTCATTATCATTATCACTGATCAGGTAATAAAAGAACAGCACTACAACAGTATGGAATGTAAATATAATTGCATGCAGTTTAAAATTGGTTTATTGAATAGAAAGAATCAGAAATCAGAAATAATGCGTTTCCCATCCAAATCTATTGGGTTGGTCGGCATCCATCGCCACCACCGGTCTCACCCCACCTTATGTCGGCGACTGCTGGAAGAACAACGTGCAGGATTTGCTAGTGTAGCAGCTGTTAAAGGAGAGGCCTCGACAACTTCGTCATCATCAGATATCAATAAAATTGCTCCTAGTCCACTCCCAACTTATTACTTTCAGAAATCACTCCCACGACTGCCAATCCCCAAACTGGAGTTGACGTGTCAACGCTACTTGGAAGCTTTGAAACCCCTCATCACGCCGGAACAGTTGAGCAGGACAGAAAAATTGTTGTCAAACTTTCAAAATGGTGTTGGAAACAGTGAGTGGGACATGCTTATTTATTTGCGTATTAGTATTCTTGCTATTAATTACATGATCGTCTTTATGGTAAAGTTGTATTTATTTTATTGTACTACAGAGCTGCATAGAGAGCTCATGCAGAAGGACAAGGTGCTTAAACAGACGAGCTACATATCTGGACCATGGTTCGAAATGTATCTCAAGGATCGGAATCCATTGCCAATCAATACTAATCCAGGATTGGTATTTGTTGAGGATGATGGTATCATGATTCGACTCCCAAAGTCTAAATGGCAATTGACGAGGACAACAAACCTGTTAATTTCGTCCTTGAGGTAGGTGGGTCAGTAAATTATAAAACTTGAAACGAGTTTTGAGAATTTGTTCGAAAATATGTAAGTACGAAGTAAATTCAATTTTTTAAAGGTTCATGAAAGCTTTGGACAAGGAAATTTTAGAGCCTGAAGTTTACCACATGAATCCAAAGAAGAGCGATACCCAGGCGTACCGTAGAGTTATGAAAATGATACCTACTGCCTTTGCAACGTACGGGTCCTATATTTACAAGGTTGATTATTAATATATTTCTATAATTCTGTAATACAAATTAAGGTTTTGATGAATTTATGCAAAGGCATTTCCCTTGGACATGTCACAATTTCCCAGCTTGTTTAGGTCCACAAGAATACCACAGGTTGGGATTGACAAAATTCAAAAAGCTGACAAAACTGTGAGACATATTGTAGTCATGCGAAAGGGGCATTTTTATTCAATGAACTGTTTAGATCCTGATGGTGAGTGATTACGTATTCGAAATTGCTCTTAATTTCTCAACTAAAGTTGTTAATCTTTTTATTTAGGCAACATCCTGCCGGCTCAGGAATTGATGGGGTCATTAGAATCCATTTTAGCTGATAATATTGACCAGTCACCACATCCTATTGGAATAATGACCACTGAAAATAGAGATAAGTGGGCCACCTTCAGGGATAAAATGATCAGCAAAAGTTCAAGGAATCAAAAATTTTTTAAAGAAGTTGATTCTGCTCTGTTTGTTCTTTCCTTGGATGACGATAATCTTGGAGAAGATCCTGTCACAGTGATTCGACAATACCTCCACTCAGGGACAGGGACAAACAGGTGCAACAAAAAATAATTAAAACTAAACGTTACTATATTTTAATATATATATATCAATTATACATTACTAAATTTATTTGTAGATGGTTCGATAAATCATTTAACTTGATTACGACCAAGGATGGATGGGCAGGATTAAATTTTGAGCATGCTTGGGGCGACGGAGTTGCTGTGATGCGGTTTTTTAATGATATTGATCGAGAAAGTAAAGCTCGTCAGTGGTCGACTGATTTACAACCAAAGAGTCCTATGCTAAAACCAGTAAGATTAGGTAATAGGATAACACAGGGTTTCATATAAAAAATATTCGGAATTGTTAAGTGGCATTATTTGTTTTATAGTTGTGGAAGTAGATGACGAGTGTAACGCATCTCTGACCCAGGCAAAACAACGTTTCGATTCGCATGTCGGATCCTTAGATATTCATCCATTTATTCTGGAAAAGTATGGGAAGAAGGCATGCAAGAAATGGGGAATAAGTCCAGATTCACTGATGCAACTAGGATTTCAAGTAATGTTAAAAGTTGAAATATTCTTGGTTGTTGGGAAGCAATTAAATTAATAAGTTTCTATATTCAGGTAGCTTATCAGCGAATGTCATCTAAAACTGCCACCACGTACGAATCCTGTAGTACTTCTGCCTTCAAACATGGGAGAACCGAAGCTATTCGTCCTGCCACATTGTTGACCAAGGAAGTCAGTGAAGCTATGAACAAGAGTGACTGGTCCAGCAAGAAATCTCATTTACGAGAATTGATCAAAAAGTGTTCAGAGAAGCATGGCCAGCTAACAAAGGATGCAGCTATGGGTGAGAAATACTTATACATATATTTATTTTAAATCTCGTCATTTGGTACTAACTTTCATATAAATCAGGACAAGGATTTGATAGACATCTTTTCGCAATGAAAAACCTCTGCATGTCCCGCAATGAGAAGCTGCACGATATCTACTCGGATGAAGCATATCAAATAATTAATCACAATATATTGTCGACTTCGACACTCTCTAGTCCAGCTGTAAGAATTGGGGGGTTTGGACCTGTTGTTGAAAATGGATTTGGCATTGCGTATGTGACAAATTATCGATGTCATCAATAAGTTTAGTCTAATTTTACATTGTTAATATTCCAGATATCAAATATGGGACACAGGGTTGGGGTGTGTAGTTGCAACTTACAAAAATCAACAAGACGGTTCCGCGTTCACAAAATCGTGCGAATCGACGTTCAATGATATTCATTCGCTTATGTTTTCGTAATCAGTTTAGTTGAACTGATTAGTGGTGCTCGGGTAAGAACATGCTAGATATTTTTTTTTGGTTGAAGTATTTCTATGTATGATAAGATATATTAAACGACGCAATTGAAAATAAATCGCATTTCGTAGTTTATTCCTATTTTCCGTTTCATCGCGTCCTCCAATTTCCTGGAATCATTGGTCCAACCAAGCTTTGTTGTAGATTGGTGATCCTACTTAAGAACTCGTACTTAATGCATACAATATACACACAATACGGATTACTGATCTACACAGTTGGTTGAAAATCAATCTACAAATCAACAATGAGATTCCTTCCAGAATTTGAATGTATCATAAACCATAAAACATTATCTTTAATTTAATTTTTTGTTATTATTGCTTAAACAGCATATAAGCAATATCTGCCTTTGGCATTTTTACCAAATTAGACAAATTAACACCATTCTTTATGCATATACATACATGAACTGACCCTGCAACATATGTATAATAATATATGAAAGCTCACTTAATAAGTGAGTAAATACTTAATTACATAACTCAACATCTCATCTTTTTCTCACACAAAGACTTCACAGACAAAACAGACTAATCGTAGCCCACTAATACAAATAAATAACGAAAGAATTTAACACGCTGTATATATCGTATGTATATAAGCATGCACCACTGTTTGAATAATTGCACACACTGCATACGAATGTAAATATGTATCTGAATCAAACAATGCAATCAGGGTAGAGATCACATGCACAAAAGTTTTCTTAAATTCATTCATTCGCCACTTGCTAATTGACGATCTTGAGTGCATAGCACGTTAAGCTACACGTTTTGCTATGAATGCTTCACTGCTTTCATAACAGCGTTATATGTGCATATGCATGTAGCAGATCTCTGAAAATTGTGTGTAACGTATGTAACATAACTGGTTTTTGTTTTTCAAAAAGCAAGTTACTATCGAGTTGTTCCTTCCTTCCTTGTGAATTTTTCTTACCGTCATCTCTTTGATTTTGCATTACAGACACTTATTCTACGTATGAAAATGGTGTAAAGATCTGCACCAAAAAAAAGAATTGCAGTGGATGCAAAAGATTAGTTGGTTGTGTGGCATCTCTTTCGCGTCGGTGGTTGCACTCTTTACTCAACTTTCCACAATTAAGGTGCCACAACCCCACATATCATGGGTTGTAACAGCATAGCTTTCTTATTTATATTCTTTTGAATGTGTATAAATTAAAATTTTGAATATTTCCTGAAAAGGGTAAAAAAAAGTTTAATCGTAAAATAATTGTGAAAAAGTGCGAGTGTTTCAAAATGCCGTCATATCTTTCCATCTTTCTCTACATCTTGGAATATTTGTACGAGAGATTTTTACGTCTTTTAACCGGGGATTTAATAATTGATGAGGAAACGGACCCTTCCACCGTGGTGGGAAAAGTGGCTTTAGTCACGGGAGCGAATTCTGGTCTAGGTAAGTGAAATAATAATTCGAGACGAATTGTAATAGCAAATTGATGTACAAATTTCGATAATTTCTTCAGGAAAGGAAGTCGCCATCGCCCTGGCAGCTCGAGGCTACAAGGTTATCTTGGCCTGTAGAAATCTTACCCTGGGGAAGAGCGTTGTCCAAGAGATTCAGCAGAGGACAAGAGCCTTATCAAGCAACTTGGTACGTAAAGTGATCCATCGGTTCATAGAAATGTATGATCATTTGTTCATCAATCTTTCTAGATCCTGAAAGAACTCGACCTTGCCAATCTATCTTCCGTACGAACTTTTGCCTCCCAAGTGTCCACACAATACCCGAAGCTGACCCTTCTCGTCAACAATGCTGGCGTCTATTTCGACTCTGACGAGCGACAAGTGACCAAGGATGGGTTCGAGGTGCACATGGGGGTCAACCACTTGGGTCACTTCCTCCTCACCAATCTCCTCCTGGACAACCTCAAGGCCGCCGCACCCTCTCGCATCGTCACAGTCACCTCGACCAACCAACTCATCGCGGACTTGCAACTGGACGACCTCATGTTGGAACGAGTGGAAAACTTTGGTTTTCAAAACACGATTCCCTACAACAATTCCAAATTGGCTAATTCCCTCTTCACAAAGGAGTTGGGGAAGAGGTTGGTGGGTTCGGGAGTGACGACGTACTCCGTCTGTCCTGGCCTCGTCGCGACCGACGTGTTTAGAAATTTTACACCGTTCCGAAAATTTTATACCAACCTCAACATTTTGTTGGTGGGGTTGACGGCGAAGCAGGTGACTAAATGAAATGCAATTATTCCTTATTGTTCGAGTTTGAACCTTTATTTAATTTGTCATGCAGGGAGCTGAGACCATCCTTTACTGTGCTCTGGACAAAAACTTGTCCAAAGAGACAGGACAAATCTACCGATTTGGGAAACATTTCAAATCTGCCATGAAAAAGATGGACGGACAAGTGGGGAAAAGTCTGTGGGACATTAGTCTACAACTTGTTGGGCTTAATAAAAAGTAAATGTCGAGTAATAAATGACAAAAGGGAGGAGGCGTGATGAAAGTTGTTGCCCCGTGCGTGCCAACCCAATACGGACATTTCTGCTTATTAAAAAGTATATAATACTCAAATAGCTATGAATTTATTATTTTTATGTAATAAAAATTTTAGAGACCAACTTTTTTTAAAGCTTTCATCTCGTTCCACTTTATTCTGCGGGTTACTAACTATTACACCATTGTATTTCATTGGAAATTTGTACATAAGCACAATTAATTATGTATCTTAATTTCAGAATTGTAGTCACCATTTGATAACAATTTCAAGTCTTATTGCTTCAATTCCATCATTTTCTTATACAGTACAAAATAATAGTACCAGAATTCCTGAGGTACGGCAATGCAATGTGTAATGTAATTTTAATTTGTAATTTACGTAATACGGAGAAGGTGTGGATCAATTACATAAATTTTATGATGAAAACACAGGGAACTACGTAACTAACTACATACATAAATATTAAACTGCGTATAGGATTTCAAAAGTGGTATGTATTCCTTCTTTCCTTTTAAACATGATTATGACACAATTCCATATTAACCATCATACTATTTACACGCAACAAAATTGAGGAGTGTTTAAATTTAACTACCAAGTACCGTCGAATATATAAAATATTAAATTTTGTCGCAATACAGTTTCAAATTCACAGAAGGAAATTAAGGTACAAATTTTACTGGTGGTTGTGCTTGCATTGTTTTTTTGTAATATTCGTTAATAATTTAATGGTAGCACAGGTTCACGGTTTGAATACTAGAAGGATGTTGTTGGCACATTTATCATCATCGACATTATCATAATATTATATCGTGTTGTAGAATACATAATACTTTCACTAAAATATTATAAAATTATATATACCGACAACAGTAAATTGCATGAACAATTTTGGTATTAAAATTTATAGCCCCAACATTACAAACATCACCTCTGCTGCATATAAATGGCTGGATATTATATTATTATGTAGTGTTCTTTTAAGAATCTACTGGCAAAATTTTAGCTAATTGACGTGCCTGTTCCATCATGTAGTTTCAAAACACTCATTATTAGGAAATGTGCAATTTGGTTTCATGGAAAAATACTACATTTTATGCACCATTTTAAATCTTGCGTTCGAAAATTGTACAAAATTGTGTACAAAGACCAATTACGACGAGGCGAGGAGATTGCAGCCTATATTATATGAAAACGTGAGATTATTGACAAACAATTTAATTGTTTTCAGTTTTTGTCTCCGAAGGTCCGCTATTACTGCTACTGCTAAGACTACTACAACTCTTCATGTTGCTACTTTCTGTTCCTACATCGTCACCATCTATTGTGTGCTTCCCATTTAGAAAATCTTCCTCTGAAATCCACGTGTTGGGCAGTGGAGTCACTTCAAGATCAATATACTTCGTCATGAAAATTGCTAAATATCCTCTCGTCTTGGATTTAACTTCTTCGGGAGTGGTGAAAAGTCGTTTATTCACTTCGGCCAGTTTTCCTTCCATGGAGGCTCTAACCAAGAAAGACTTTCCACACTCGGTGTGAATTGTGCAAATAATAGAACTAGCCTGTAGGTTTTGAGAACCGCGTTTACGCTTTCCAGATACTTGATTGCTTAGCCGTTGTGCCTAAACAAATTCAAACCAAATTTGGTATTCGTGTCAGAAATTGACAAACTCCACATCACACTGCAAAGTTAATTATGCATGTGTCAGTTGTAGCTTACCGAGTACTCGACAGATTTTATGACAAAATTGTCCTTGATTAGCGGATGTGTCGAAGCCAAGGTCAAGTAGCATAGGCCATTAGAATGCAAATGAATCTGGTAGTGGCCCCCGATGGCTTTATCTTCGAGAAAGTATCGCTTAAACGCGTCACGAACGTAACATCCCGACGCGATGAAGTCTTCCTCAATGCCCAGCACAGGAGTTGCAGACACCATTTTCATTCAGTTAGAAACAAGAAGGTCCAACTGTATGGATTTTGCACTAATTGTTGTGGTAGTACGGTTTCTGAGAATGGTGGAAATAAAAATAAATAAACAACATATAGTCAATTATAAAAATTTAAATTTACAAAACATCATCATCATGCATTCACACCTCGAAATATTGCATGTTCTTTATCCCCAGCGGCATGCACTCTCTCAAAGTGAGTGAAATCTAATTTTGAGGTTTATTTTTTCTACAACCACCACCTAGCCTACTGCCATCTTAGTTCTTTCCCCTTTTTCACATCTTGTTTTCTCCTGGCCTCTCCTCACTTGTAAACACCAATCAGGTAGAGAAAACACAAGACGAGACACGGCTTTGATTTTTTTAAACCAACGCACTCAAGAGAAAAGAGAGAGAGAGTAGTAATACACGGCGTCCTGAGAGTGATGAGACTCGTAATCTCGAAATCGCAATCCCAAACCCAACGTTTATTCTAGCTACAAATCTCTCAATCTAAATACTTGCTACAACCTGCTCACAAACAAAATGGCTAAAGAAAGCAAAATCCACTTAGCCATGTATTCACTCACGGATCGACCTTTTCTTTTATACTAAATTCAAGGATAGTTGACTCACTCGCTCAATCACTCACCTAATTAACCAACAACAGATGAGGACGAGGATCGATAAGAAGAAAACGGACAGGTTGGGTGGGAGGTATCTTTTTCTTTATGCCGTTGAACTCGAATTACTGCTGGATTTTCCACGAAGTTTTTCCTGTATAGCTACCGATTTTTGGTAACTTGCTATGCGTTTTTGCTCTTTCTATAAAAAAGAAGCATTTATTATTTAATGCAACCACATTTCGCCCCACGTGTATTTTGAGAGTGAAAGAGAGCAACACCTTACCTCTTTCTTCAAACACCGCAACATTGCAAAATGTGCGTCATTACAAGAACCAATAAACCGCTTGAATTTGTTCTAGAAGAAAGAAGACATACTTAAGAATTAGACACACTAAAAATTAGGTTCAAAGTTCATATAAAAATCGTCATATTAATACCTCTTCATAACAGTTCTGCAGTGCTTGAACAAGATCCTTGCAATCGGATGTATCAATGTGAGAAGCGAGGTCAGGATGCATTCAAAATTAGTCCGAATATGAAATTGCCGTAGAAAAAATTTGCCTAGTTTTGTTTATACTTTCCAACTTAGATTAGATACGTGAAGCGTAGAGATTTTGACTTTTGTTGAGCAAGGAAGAGTCACAGTTCTGTTGTGGGATTGAAAACTATTATGTGCTGTTGGGTGGTGGAGGAGGAGGTGGATTGATTTGCAAATTATTTTGAGGACCAGGATTTGCTTTTCATGTGAAGAATCCTTCACGTTGCTGAACTGTAGGTAATTCTACTGGACTTGGGGGAGAAGGGTCACGATATCTAAGAATTTGGACAATAACGTAAGCATTATTAGAAATATATTTTACTCGTCAACTCATCTCACACTCGACTATCTAACATTTACCTATTCGCGATTGAATTTCGATTTGACGTATTTGGCGACGATAATGCGTTTATCGCCACAACTCGACTCTTCTCCGTCACCTCACGAGCTAAATACTGCTGAAGATGGAGAAGATGAAGATCTTCTCGGTCTGCGGAGGCAGAAGAACGTCCACTCGACGAAGATAATGACGATGCACTGGGTTGATGTTGATGGTGGACGGAAGCTTTGAAATAGTCGACCTGTAAAGAAAAGAATATCATAAACTTTAATGGTCAGACTCACCAATTTATACTAAACATTTTTGTCAAGTTTATTAAATTATTTTATATTCGAATTGACACTATGAATTTAATGTTTCACTATTATTTTATCTCACCCTCACCTTTGACCCTCCAATTACAACTCCCTTCTCGTACGGGATAGGGCAGTGTTCACCGATTCCAAAAGCTGGTGGAACAGGGGCACCGAACAAGCGTTCAGATGCTGAAACGTTATTTGTGCTGGAATTGCCCCTCCAAGATGGTCTGTAATTAAAAAAACAAACCATGAGTCAACCTGGCTTAAAATCTAAGAAAATACTTTTCCAGTTATTAAAATTTATACTCGTGTAAAATATAAAAAAATATGAACTATCGAGTCGAGGCAATACCTAAAATGTTGAACAAATTCGCAAATTCTACAATTTGGTTATTCGAATGCTTAGAGTTTCCTTCTCGTTGAACTCTTTAAGTGTAAAACTGAATGAAACCGACTATTCAAATTTTAGAAATTATTTTTCGAAACAATTACAAGACTCGAGAAACTCGTGGTGAGTGAGAGCTAATGCACAAGAATCGGACTAATGCCGGTCCCACCACCAGTCCAGAATTTAGTCTCACTTTCCCTTCGTTTCATTCCAACTTTATCCAAATTGTATGACTTATCAATTGTCACCTTATCGGAAGAAATATTAACTTACTGTGTCGGAGGCAGCACCCCAGCCAAACTCCAGTCGCACAAGGATGTCGCACTGTTACTTGAGGGTCTCCGTTTAATCAGGTTTCCTGACCCTTGACCTTTCTTGACCGAAATAAGTCTTCCCCTTGCCGGAGATGACGGGACACTTGATGCTCCTTGACCCACAGATGAATTACCCCCGCTGGTCAGATGGTGATGATGCCCGTTGACCTGCACGTGGTTCAACACCTTCTTCGGATTCGGATTCGGAGGGAGAACAAGGGGTAGATTTCCACCGTTGGATTTAGAAAGTAGGCGACAAATTCGCTCCGCTTTTAACAGCCGTTTCTTCTCCTCTTCCGGTTCGAGATGTTCACTCTCCTCGGGAATGTATCGCTCCGGAATTTGGATCTTATCCGGAGTTCCAAGAATTCGATCGATGAGGGACTCGTCAAAGTCAAGATCTGCTCCCGAAGCCTGGGATGCTTTCACCACGGGGCGAGGATGAGAATGATGACACATTAGGTCGAAGGGCTCCATGCTCCTCCATATCACATACTGAATCTATCTCCTAAGGTCTGCATATGTGCGTGGGACGTTTATACCTGGCAAGAAGGAAAAACATGAAGAAATTACCAAATTGATGTCTAATTTTGTGTCATGAAATGAAACAATCATGCAAAACTTATGCCAATTTGGTCATGCAATCATTAAATATTAAATGGTCTCGATCTTCTTCTTCTTCTTTAAAAGGTTTTACTTATTTGAGTTGATTTCAATATTGTTCTTCGATCCACTCATTAAAATGGTAGCAACAACATTAGCTACATATGTATCTACCATCTAATGTGCTCTGCATATATACCAATACACGCCACTGATCTGTGTCATGTTGAAGTGGAATGCCCCAGTTTATTTTGTTAATTCGCCTTTGTTTCATGACTCAGAGAGAGGAGACCGTCTGTCTTTTTTTGTTTCTTTGTTCCTTTCCTACAAAAGTGCCAGCCGCAGCAGCAATTACAACAATTGCCATTGTTTGTCCTTCTCGCAGTAAAAAAGGGGGAGCAATCCGCATGTTTATTTAGATGTCGTGTTTGGAGAAAGGCGGAAGTCTTTGGTTGGTGGAGGGTGCTCGATCTTTTTGTGTGTAAAGAAGGGATACGTACGTACACATGGCGTGTGCCGTCGTGAAATGTGTGGTACGACCTTATCTTGCAAGTTATAGTTAACTTGGCAATGCGTGACATGACGGTGATGATGATACCCATTTTTAGGATGCCAATACTTACGATACGCACTGCTTCTGCTGCTACTATTTTACATTTTCCCTTTGCTTGCACAATACAACTAGTAAGTGATAATGCATGAGCGAGTGTTTGCAGATTATTAGGCTTTATTATTTTAACTAGCGTATAGCCCGGCCAAGGCCGGGTTCTAGAGTTCCAGTGGGGGGTGTGCCCAAAGCGAAAAATCCGTCATGCTATACTTTAAATAATTCCCAGTGGAGGCTTCGTCGTACTACATACATACATCAGAGTGAGGGTTTGCCCCAGTCATACTGCATTTTAATTAACCTGGTCACAGTACAATTTGATTTCCCCCTGTGGGAGTAGTTGAATAGCTAATTACTTAAATTCCCGTCGTGTGGGAGTAACTGCATAGCTAACTATTTATATTCCCGCGCTTCACGCTCCCGTTCAGTTCCATAAACCCCAACTTCTATAATTAACGTCAAACTATTGACGGATTCGGATTCAGCGTCAAAAATACATTCGAATTGATATGCGACATCACGGATAAGCCATATTTGGCTGCCACGGTCACGGGAAGGTCACGGGGGCCTCGGAGGTCAAAACCATTAATGGCTTTGGATTCAGCGTCAAAAATACATTCGAATTGATATGCGACATCACGGATAAGCCATATTTGGCTGCCACGGTCACGGGAAGGTCACGGGGGCCTCGGAGGTCAAAACCATTAATGGCTTTGGATTCAGCGTCAAAAATACATTCGAATTGATATGCGACATCACGGATAAGCCATATTTGGCTGCCACGGTCACGGGAAGGTCACGGGGGCCTCGGAGGTCAAAACCATTAATGGCTTTGGATTCAGCGTCAAAAATACATTCGAATTGATATGCGACATCACGGATAAGCCATATTTGGCTGCCACGGTCACGGGAAGGTCACGGGGGCCTCGGAGGTCAAAACCATTAATGGCTTTGGATTCAGCGTCAAAAATACATTCGAATTGATATGCGACATCACGAATAAGCCATATTTGGCTGCCACGGTCACGGGAAGGTCACGGGGGCCTCGCAGGTCAAAACCATTGACGGCGTTGAATTCAGCGTCAAAAATACATTCGAATTGATATGCGACTCGCTGTGGGTGGAGTTTCTCAAACTAAAATAATTAATTAATAGTGTTTATCAAGATTACTTATCATGATAACCACTATTGATGAGTGATGTATGTATGCATACTGCTCACTTACTCAATTTACTTGCACACTGCAAATATACAAAGACATTTAATTTGAGATTGATGGCAAGCGTACGTGAAAGTCACGTGCAGGCGAAGTGAGACTCATGCAGAAAATTCATGCATGCGGTTGCTCCGCGTCCTTCTTTGTCTTCTCTACGGGGCAACTTGCATCGCATCACTCCTCGGTCAGTCAGACAGGCAGCGACTTAACACTAACGCTTTATGGAAGTAGATACATGGATTGAAATCCATTTCGCTGAGAGCTTGTCACGAGTGTGGAATTATTTTGTTTTGTTGTCGACTGACCAGCAATTTGGCAATATTTTTGTTGCAAAATTAAAGCAATTGGGAGAAGAATAGAAATCACCAATTCGATCATGTTAGTTGTAATACAGATCGCCTTCTGTACTCGCAAAAATTGCTCGAATTACTCGTGAATGAGCAGTACATATACATTCAAATATATAAATGCATGGCTTGGTCTACCGCATACCAACTTCGCAGGGGACAACTCTGTCAAGTGTAAGTACATACTTTAGTTTTAGTAGTTGGAGAAAATGCGAGCGAAATTGACATGTTTCTTCACTCTGTTAAATATGCTGGGATAATTTATGTCACTAATTTGCAGAATTGTATAGCGAATCTTGTGTCACCTAGCTCTCCCTGAATTCTGCAAGAACAGCACATTTTCTCCACGCCACCACTTGAACTAAATTACTCAGGACAATTCTATATACGAAAAGACAAAACATTACGTTGCTCTACTTTTGCTCTGAATATGTAAATAGAAGCTTTAACAACTACTTGTTGTGTCCTTGTGTCAACTTGTCCAGCGTTAAATTATATTAACATTGTATTCAACCCAAAATGTAGGTCACTTGACGAAGTTTGCTCATGCAAAATTAAAATCTGAAACTGGCTTAAATCCACTTAAAACCTTCCTTCATAATTTATGCCTTGAATCCTTAATTAGTATCAATCCAAACAAACCTCTCTCTCTCCGTCGTAATATGGACGGTAATGTGATGCCGTTAGTCGTTGCGCGATGTTTCCCTGAAACCACTTAAAAATTGACACGTTGTTCGTTCAGCAACCCGTCCTAGATAACTCTCCCCAAAGCTGGAGAACGTGACCAGTAACTATTCATCTCTAATTATTAAGAATTACCAATTTAGAGAAAAACAGTGTCGGCATAGCGCCATTTGAAATGCATAAATAAAAAACAAAATGCACCATCGCGACTCTGTTCCTTGAGCAAGGCTAAACTTTAAATCAATACCATTTTTGCAGCAAGACAAGGCCTCTTTTCTTCTTGAGGGTGACATGCATTTACGTTACAGATATTCAATTCGGTTTCTTTGTAGTGGAACACTTTTCCAAATCCACTTCCGCTATATTGATTGCCTGACAAGCCTTGGACGAACTGACTAAACCAACTTTTTCGTAGAAAAAAATAGCAGCGTAAACTTGTCCAAAAACTAAAGCGACTAAAGTTTAAACTAATCCTAAGTTTACATGGATAAGAAATGGTGTAAGTGATGATTACAAATGAAGCAAACGCCATTATTATGCACCAAAAAAATCAGGAAGCGTTGCGTACTATGCTTTAAACATTCATCTTCGTATTTCTTAACACTCATTCCGATGAGTCAATGACATCGATTTCCGTGACATTTAAACCCAATAATTAGCTATTTATGATTCCATTTCCTCGTCTTTGGTTGAGTGGCTTAAGTTTTAGTCACCAATCCGTGACAAAAAATTTGGTATGCATCCAATATCTGTCACATTCCATCCCAACTTTTTGATTCAGTTCCAGATTTTTTATGAAAGTTGTAAAGAAAATGGTGTTCTGGAATTTGTAGGGAGAATGATTGAAGACTTAGTTAGCAATACAGCCTGAGCCTTCATAACTTTCTTTCAAAGTCCTGCCCAATGAACGTCAAATTTGGAGCATAATTTGACAGCGGATACCATCTCATGCTCCATTGGACTAATATCAAGTGCACTATCAGACGAATACGGCGTACTTATCAGGTCTATGCTACATAGCTTTTGACGTCAATTATTCTGAGTTTGGGTAAAGTTGACAGATGAGTAAATATGAAATGATGCAAACTTGTGGACTGTGGACCCACTTCGCGAAAATCATAAATTGAAAGTTTGTAATTATAAGTTTGGAGGTAAGTAATTGGATTATCGTTCGATATTTACGAACCAGGTCAGACTATTTCTATAATCTCTGATCACCCTACTTACACACATAACCAAGTGGTTTATGCACGAGTGTTATTTAAGCACCTCAACTTTATGTGCATTCATTTATGCAAATCAAATTTTATTAGCAGACTATATGGATTTTAGACACTCATAATAACAGGCAAACTAATCAATCTGCAGGACTCATGTAATAAAAAAAATCATTAAATCTTAAAATACAAGCCATCATATATTCTAAATTGCGCATGTACATTCATTAAACTGCACACAAAATTGCAGCTGACAGCAGCTCCTCTTATTTTTTCGAAATAGCATTGTCCCCATAAAAATCCAACCGATTTACGCGTGGCACTATAAAACACCATTATCAACACGTTTAACCAACCCACCAAGAAACCGTAAAAATCCTTAAAAACCTTGCAGCTTTTCATACGAAAAACGCAAAAAATACATAAAAACTACCGAAGAGAGGATTCCAGTTTATTTAAAATTGGTCTAGAATTGTAAACAGTAATTTGTCCTCGCCCAATATAAATTGTGCGTCTATCTGTCTGTTATTTCCACGGCTGAAATGCCAACTCAAACTGAGAGAGGAGCAAGATGTAGTAGTTTCATCTCATCGTAAATGACTTTTGACAAGGCACACGGATTCGAGCAATCCCATTTTACAATGACATTAATTGAGTGTCATTCTGTCTGCATTTGCTATCCATCCATCCACCACGATATTATTTACTTACTTTTCCCTTTTGTTGCACTAAAACCCTTTAAAAACACAATCTCTGTTTTTTGTAGGAAACCACAACATTTATTCTGACACTTCTTTTTTTTGGGAAGCACAAATTATTTACATGGAATCCATGATGGCGAAGAAGCATAAATTTTGAGCCGGAGAGTTTCAGACACATTTATCCCCAAACTAACTCAATAATTGATACGTACGCTGTAAATCTATTATTCACCACTTATTTCTCAACTTGCTCTCTTCCCAATTAATTAGAGGCTAATTAATCAAGTGGGTCTCAATTACATGGAATAGTCATTTGCATTGTGTGCAGGGAAATGCGATGTGTTCATGTTTATACTATGCATGAATTTACCTTTTGGAATAATACCGTTTTTGTCATATTATTTACTTACTTTTCAATTATTTCTACATATGCAATTCCTCCTACACGTAAAAAAAGTAAAGGCAGAAATTCTTACACTTTTTTGAGTCAACAATGAAAATCCCAACTCCAAGTTCCGTCAAGTTTTCTTCTGTGTAAACAAGATTTGCACAACCAGCTTCTCAGAACTTGTACATAAAAAGTTATTTTATTGCAACACGAAATCCCTTTAATACTTCTTTCTTTGCAGTACAATAATTCCGACTTTTGAGCACTTTAGAATGTTTCATCAAGCAAAGTAAACCACAAAACTGAGTTATCAGATCAGCACCATCATCACCACCACAGAGTCAGTCAAACAGACAAAGTATTTCAAGTCTTTAGTCGATTTGCAGCAACCTTCTCTTCCCTCCAACTATTTTAAACTGTGGTATTCAAAACTTACAAACTTGATTTTTCCTCTTCTACTTCTATTTTTTATTTATTCTTTGCTTAGCGATTTTGGCACATCGTCACCCTTGCAGTTCACCACGCCACGAGGGAGATATCACTTTTAGCGTTTCATCGCCTTCTCCTTTCTCATTGTTTTGTCGCGTTCTTTCTGTAATGTCACTTCCTTCCTCGCAGTCTTACTTGGTTTTTAGTCGTAAAGTGATCTCTACCTCACTCGTGGGCATCACACGTCCTGCTCTTAATGCCACACACGCACAATTAAGGATGGCAATTTTAGTGGGAACTTATTAAATAGATGACGTATGTAGTTCAAGAAGTGTCAAATTTAAGATATAGTTTCTCGCCTAATAATACGTTGACGACGGCATATGCATCTTTCTCTCTGCTCACCCTTCTCGTTACTGACTTTGGTTTACCTGTCTGTCCATAAGTATTTTACCTGTTTCTCACTATCTACCTATCCATCTACCTTCTTTCCTTATATCACCAAACCACCATCCAACCACCATCCACGTCTATTTGTTTGTGAGCAGGAATACAAGCAAGATGTTGGGAGAAGATGCTGTTTCGTGGGGTTTAAAGAATTTGCCGGAGGTGGTTGGTTGGTTGGTTCCTTTCCTATTATATATTATTTCTCTCTGCCACTTCTGCTCTGGCTGGCATTGCATTATTATTCTCTATTCTACAGACGGCAGAGAATTTCCTACCACAAGTGAGAGAGAGAGAGAGAGAATTCGACATTCGACCGACCGGGGTTCTCCGAAAGTCTTTCTAAACCAAAATTTACCTCGTAAACCCGTAACTAAAGCTGAGAAGAGTGAACTAAAACCTCTCTGGGATTGTCTCCGGCTCTTTAATTTCTTCCACTCCACGCCGTGGTTTCATGTGTTAAGCTCTTTTTTGGTTTGCTTTATGGTGTGTTGTCCTTTTGTTTCCATGTCGGATGGAGGAATAATCTCGGCTTGCTTTTAGTGGGCATTTCCAAGTGTACATAGCGTTTTCTTCCTCCTTTTCGTAGATGCAGCATGGAGATGAAATCACGTTGTGAGATTTGTAAGGAATGCGTGGTGATGGCCGAATTGGTGGTGAGATGGATGGATGGATGGATCCATTCATACGGAACAAGTGAACATTGCAATAAAGGAAAATGGAATGTGCAACACGATTTGCAAACAAAAATTCTATTAAGAAATGAGCTTTTATCAGAAATTGAGAAATTCACGGCATCCTGTTTTGATAAGGATTCCAATCTAAGCCTTCTTCATCAGGATGAGGGAAAAGAGAGACATCGTTAATAAGCAGCCACCAAAAGGTACATATGTACATATGAAATTGCACGTCTTAATCCCGACCTGACAATAATATTGTATGAACATCAATTATGATCAAGTTTTTGATGTTCGATCAGTTGCAGTTTGTATCTCGTGGTGTTTTGTAAATCAAAATCGGGTTTACACTTTAAAAATTGCATTTATGTAAAAACTTGCAAGATGACATCACCACCACCACCACGACCACCACCATCCATCCATTCTGCATACCGACCCACCGAGGCAGGTCAGGCCATTAACACGGTCTTGGTCGTCGTCGTCATCATCATCATCATCGTGATTTTCTTGTTGTGTGTACCATACGTCCGTATTATTCAAGTTCTCTCTCCATCCATGGTGTGCTTCTCGTTGTTGTATTATTGCATGCATCGCATTATTCTGTGAGTGATAAAGTAACCACTTCGACATATAATACTCTCTCACGCGTTGACTCGTTCAAATGAAGGTACTTTAATTTTTGTTACTCTTCTGCATTCATGCATTTACTTAGAAAATCCGCGTGCACGACTAAACCTCAGAGTCCTGTGTGCATATAGCTCGCTCTCGGATGGGTGTACACACGGTAGCAAAGTAAAGATTCATCGTGGAAAAGAAACATGTAAAATATGAAATGAAACCAAGTCACGGATTTCATTGTAATGATTTTAAGTACGGAAAGTGTGCAATGCATGCAAAATCAGGACATAAAAATAAAAATTACTGTCGAAAGGAAAAAAAACCTTCCCGTTAATGGCGAGGAAAGAATGTGGAGGAGATTGCGAAAATCTTTTTTAAATCTTTTCCTTGCGGGGTCGAGGTTACATATTCATGTTAATTTATGTTTTACTTCTTCTTATTATTAGCTAAATACACTTCTTCACCGTGCTGTACACACGTATATTTATTTCTTAATTTCTTGCCGTGATTTATGCACTTTTTGACACGCCACTACGCCAGTGAGAAGAAGAAGGATCCTGAAAGTAGAAGAGAAGAACGGAGAGACAAAGAACTAACTGCGCCTGGTTTTGTTTCGCCAGCTTTTCTTCTTTGCAGGTGTTTTGTTTGTTTCAAATTCAGTTTAATTTGGGGCGGTTGTTGGTGAATTTGGGTGATTTATTGTTTTCAGTTTGTAATCTAGGCGTTTTCTTGGGTGGGTGGAATAATGAAAATGATATACTTCGGCAACACGGCTGATGATAAATTACTGGGGAAAACAGTAAAGTCCACGAACATAAAGTAATCACGATGACAATGGAATAAAACCAGGGTTTGTGTAAGCTTTTAAAAACGGATGATGTAGGCCAATCCACAGATAGAAGGATGGGGCTCAAACCCCCTTGGAAAACGGGTCATGACTTTCACCAGGACAAAATTGTATCTTTTTGTACATATAATTCTGGTACAAAGAGTTAAGTGGTTACATTTCTTGAATGGCACGATCATTTCTATCAAAAATTTCAAGAATAACGAGCAATCTTCACAAAGAAAACATTCCAATTTCGTTTGAAAAACAAAAAAATCTCAAATGTTATCTCCACGTGTCAAAGGGTAAATTTGTTGCAAATTATGATAGTCATCTTTCTAAAGGAATACAGGGAAAAGAAGAGAAAGTTTCTTTTCCGGTTTGAAAGATGGAGCCCGGAGCCCAGTTTTGCTTTCTCTTGGCGATGAAAGATCCGCATGTCTCATTTGCCCACAAACCGTGCAGATACACATTCGCCATCCATCCATTCATCCATCTTATCTCAATCTCAGGCACAATTCGTCGCGAGTAATCTTCAGACCAAGATTAATTCTCGCTAATGATCTTCTTTTACTGTCTGTGCAAGTGTCATTATGTGATTCCAAACACCACCACCCACCCTTTCTTAGGTCTCAACTAAGCCATTAAGAGGTCTCCTTTGTGATAGATAGCTGGTATTTATTGGGTGCGGATGGATACCCACATCAATTGACACACTTGCCCAATACCTAAATCTTTCCAGTTTATGATCCTGTCTTCGTCGTTGATTTGATTAAACTTGTTCGTTTTATATTGATGACAACATTGTCACAGAGAAATGTGTCTTTGATTCATTTTTCAAGTCTCTCTCCATTCCTTATTGCTCGTCATCGTTGAATTCCAAGTGGGCATAGCCAAACAACGAGATGTGCCATACACGAAATATCTGCACGTACACACATATGAACGTACAGTCTTCTCATTGCTTTTTCCACTTGGGACGTGCTTTGTTCCTCTTCAGCTTCTTACAGACCGAGTCGATGTATCGAAATAAAAAATACAATATTTCATCGGAATTTTCACTGTAGCTCTTTCTTGAAAGAGATTTGTGTGACTTTCTCCAAAGAATATGGAATTTTTATCTGAGGAGAAAGTTTTATCTAAAACTTTCTATTTGATGTTTCACAAGGATGGCAATCGTGCCTATTTTGAGACTAAATATTCACATAAAAATTTAGACTACGTAATGCACTAGGAGCGATAATTTTGCATAAAATATTGACGGATGACGCCAATAAATATCTTGTGGCAAAATTGGGTTCTTCATTGCACGTCCCTCACATCAATCCTGATCGACACCTTTCCCTCCAAGTTCACTAGAGCAAAGGAAACACTCGAGATTTTCTCTCCCGTGAAGGAAATTTGTATACAATGATCGTAAACAAAGACTTCATAAATCTCTTTTGTCTTCCACTCTGCTTTCACCATCGGATAAGTTTTGTTCTGCAAAATTAGATTATGAGTCAAAGCCTTTTTTTCTTAGAAATAAATGCGATATTTCATAAATTGACATTTTAGTGAAACTAGAGTCATATAAACAATAATCGTGATCGTGATCACTATCTACTAGATGGGCAAGGGTTATTTTTAATCCACCAGACTTTTAATTGAAATCACATAACTAAATATATTGAAATCGCATAACTTGAATTTCCAGTGCTTTAATTCAATTTAAAAACTGTAAAATTGAAATCTGCCAGACTTTTCTGAATCATACATTTTATTCAATTTGGAAGATTTGCCTTTAGAAATCTTAGAAAAACATGAGCTATTTCTTTGAATTTTTGTATAAACAAATTCTGTCAACAAGTAGGCGGCCTACCGGCCTTAGCAGGGCAGACCCTGAAGGCTCAATATCCCAACAGGAACGGTCACGGCTTCCTCTCTCTGATGTTGAAACCTTTCCAAATTATTGCAATTCCTAGACCGTAGGAAACAACGGTCCCCAGCACCCCTTCTCACTTTTAAAGGAACTAGTTTCCGGTTAATACTCCAGTTAACCTACATAGTTTGTTTAAAGTTGGAACGAGGTCATATGTCGGTGTAGAGCATTATTTTGGAATCTAACGAGAATCTCATATGCTTGAGGCTTACCATTATGTAGCTCACCAGTGGACTCGTTTTCTAAAAGTATTTTCATTTTTCATTGATTGATTCAACTACATATGTACATTATTTGTACTTGGGAATCCTGGAGCTTAGGCCCCATACTTTTGGTTAACAAATTTTGTTTCGAACATTCTTAGAAATCCAATATCCAAATAAAATCAAGTATTCATTACCAGGCTATCATAAATGTATGATTCTACCAAAGTGGTATTGATAAGTAATACGGTGTAACACATAACAGTTCGTTATTAAAGTTTTACCATGTCGGTAGGAAATTATCACAGACCGGTATGATTTTAATACCAAGCGGTAGCAACTTTATAATACCGAGAAATCAATACCAGCACAAGTATACCAGATTTCTGACAGTGAAGTGGTTGCAAAATTCCTTGGTGTCTCCGATTTCTACTACTGTGCACTCCTAAATTATGATTGTATGGTTTACCACTGATTAGAAGAGCAAGGGATACCTGAACAGTAACTATTTTGATAGATTTTTACATATAAATGAATTCATAAGTTATGAAATTCCGTGTCTGATGGATTCAGTTATAGAGGTTGTTTTAAGGCATATAAAGTACTGGAAATTCAAGTTATGGAATTTCAATATATTTAGTTATGTGATTTCAATTAAAAGTCTGGCCCATTAAATGAGACCCGATGGGCAATAAGGAAGAAAAGTGTAGGCGGAGGTAAATACTTAATGTCAATTATATAAGTTCAGGTTAAAGCAGGGTAGAAAACACCTGTATTTAGAGGTTTAGATCGTTTTTAGGACCGAAAAATACGAAACAGTGATAAATCATGACCACGCACGTCTCTGTCCTCTGTCAGATCCAATTTTGGAGAAAATCGCTTACTACACAGAATTAATTCACGTATATTTACCTACTGCAAGTTAGGGAACTGTATAAGTTGAATCTATATTTATTCCGTCATATTTCGGAAGTTGTTTGTTTACGCCATCAAATTCTGGACGTCAACCAGATGTCTGAGTGTAATATGTTTGGCTAATTTTATTTACTAGTTTCTATGCACGACTCGATTCCATGACATTATACATTGTACATATTTAGGAGGGTAACATCTGACTGTGCCAATCCCTGATTTTCATGTCCCTTGGATGTGTTATGTCCGGTGAACGTACATTCTAAAACCTACAGTGCAGACTCCATATAGCCCGAGTCAGGGACAGAGTCCCTGAATCGGTGATCCAGGGACCGTATTGACCGACATAATACACAAACTCCGTGTTTCGGATAGTTTAATGTGTGTTAGATTTTTTATTATTTGGCATCAAATCCCTTAACAACTTGAACTTCCAAACCTGTGTGTGCTATCCAGAAGTGGTTTTTATCCCCCATACCAAATTTCAGATGGAAATAGCAACTTTTAAACATGAACATAAAATAAAACATAAAAACATAAGACATAAAAACGGTATGGGTCAGCCTCAAGGGTCACCCTGGTTGCACTTTGCTCACTTTTTCCTTCAAATTCTTTTGTAGGAAGCCATTAAGTATCACCATGCCGGATTTCATGTTTTCAAAGCAATTTCTAAAAATCGGTATGAGTCACCCCACAGGGTCGTTCCAGATAAAAATTTTACTAATTTCATATCATATTCCTACATTAAGACCCATTAGCAACCTCTCTACCAAATTTCAGCTCGATATGATGATTTTGAAAAATCCGTATGGGTCACCCTATGGGGTCCCTCAAATTGAAAATGTTTCCAACTTGAAGTAATTTTTATCTATTGAGAACCATTAGCAACCTCTGTACCAAATTTCAGCCTTCTACGACAATTTTGAAATTTTGGTGCATAATACCCCACCCACTCCGATGACCCCCATCGGTCAACCACTGGACCGATTTCACCCATCTTCGAACTCGTTTCCTAACTTTGTCCAATGTGCATATGTTAAAAATTTCAAGTCAATCGGTTCAGCCGTTTTGGCTCTATCGTGCCGGGCAGACAGACAGACGGACGGACGGACATGACGGTTCCATAAGCCCTGACTCGGGCTAAAAAGTGGTTTTACTAGCTTTCACTGTTTTCACTCTTTCAAACCTTCATCAAGAATCCAATTTTTGCCGGATTTTGATCGTTTTTGCACTTTCTTAATTCTAGGTATGTAGTTCCTATATAAACTCATCTTTATTTTAAATTCTGATTGTTCTAAAGATGATATAACTTGTGACGAAACAACCAACTGTTAGAATCTAGAAAATGCAAAAATTATGAAAATCCTAGATTGTTTTTAATAAAACTTTATGCCCTGGAATTTGGGACGGGTGCGCCGGGTACAAATGGAGTATTCATCTAATAACACATATGTATGTATCCAAGGGCATCAAATAGTCGCAGATTGACACAGTACGAGGTGTTCGCCCTTAGCAGTGGATACAGTTCTCAGTAGTCGAGTTATAGCAAGTGTCATGTTTTACAATGAGTGTGTATATTCGCGTGGGAGTCGAGTTGGGTGCCTGCCAGTCGGAGAAAGTCTTAAAGTGTTTTCACTTTTGGTAGCATCTTGTGACGTGGGCGACGTATGTTTACAGAGCCGGTCAAACGGTGGATTTCTATGGAAAGCACTTTCCACGCCTGATCTCCCGTAGTTTTGCAATAGGTTTAACGAACTAAAAAAAAATTTTCGTCAATTGTCAAATACTTTCACTTTCACAAGTGTATGATTAACGCTTGAACAATGTTGTCCTTCCAACGGTCTAATATAATTGATAATTAATAGTTAATTAAATTAAATCAAGTTATTACATAAAAGGCAGTAAGAGATCTTCCAGGCCCAACAAATCCTTCCGCCGGCTATGGATTTATGTGTCTTGACTTCTAGTTCCTGTTTTTCCAATTCTCATCTTTTCTTTGCCAGGAGGAAGATCAAAATTCAGATATTGCATTTTTACCAAGAACTGTGTTATGACATTTCTCAAGCTTGACCCAAATGTACATACATATAAATTCCAATTGTGTATATAAAAAGTTGCAAGAACAAAAATCAAAGCATTCATTTGAACAGGATTCCGTACGAAATCAAACGTTCAAATAAATTAAATTTCGGGCGACTCCATTTCGTCAATTATGACAGACTTTCAAATAATTAAAGGGATGCCGTACATGGTAAATTTTGTTTGAGATGAAAATCAAAATTACTCTCATTCTTTGTGACTACCCATTTGGAAAATGGAATCACATACGTAATGCTTTCATCTTTTATCTTACAATCTCATACGGAGCAAATGCCAGAACATTGCGTAGAGAACCCTTTGCTCTTTTTTAAAAGACCAAAACCCATTGTTATCTGATATGCCTTCTTCCAGCGTAATTCATTCCACATACGACAATTTCAAATTTAGACCATGCGTCGTCATCGTCCATTACGGGATGTTACTACGTCTCAAGGGTTAGTAAACGCAAATTAGAACTGAAACCAAAACACTTTTCCAACCTCCAAATTTGTTTTCATTTGCTTTGCAAATTTTGCCACTTTTAACTCTTTCTCTGTAGGATGATCAAAAAACGTAAAAATCCTCACATTAACATCATCCCGGGTGAAACACAATAGTCACACCGTCATCATCTTCAAACAAATTTGAACAAGAGCTCGACATGACCTTTCTTTTATGTGTCTCTTTATGTTATTCTGCCTCAAGTATGTAAATGTAAGGACCAAGTGACATTTAATTACGTCATAAAACCAGCATCTCTCTGCCCCCATCCCCAGCCCTAACTTGCATCATTGTTTAAACACAGTTCAACAACTATGGCCGTCAACCATTATTTAATATTAATTGGTCCACTCACCTAATGTTCCACCCACTCAGAAGCACAGCGTAATGAATAATATCGCAAAGTTTGTCACATTACGGGGCAACTTTCCCCCAAGAAGAAGATCGAGGCCGACAATAAGTAGGTTCATAAGTGTCGTCTCATGTCTGTCATGCGGCGTAATACGGGTGGAGGGGATGAGTGTCACTTTCACTCACACTTAAACCCACACTCTCTCTCCGCCAGTACGGCTAATTCCATGTTAATGGGTGCATAAAGTTAAAACATGCGGAAAAATTAAGAAGGAAGGGACACCTTGTTGAGACGACGTGGTGGCCTTTATTTCCTTCTTCCACGTCATGAACTTAAATATCTAGTGTCAGGCTTACATTCTAGAAGAAGCTTCATTGTTGTTGTGTTTGTGTTACTTCTTCATGGTCGCGTGGTTGTCAAGATTTTAATTGAAATTAATCAAGGTTGAATTCACCCTTTGATGGACAGACTCTTGACAAGTTCTCATAAGTCTCCTTCACAAGTATTATTTTACTGGAAGTCCGTGTCAATAAGCAGCTGCGTGTGTGTATCCTTGTCCTAAGGACGTTGCTCCGCTAAGATTTCGTTGGTCAGTTAAAATAATGAGAATTATTTAATATATCAGCGTCCTACTTGTGTACGTATGTATGTGTTGGGTACACATGTATCGGAGTCCGGCAGCCTGGGGTGGAGGGTGAAAGTCATTATCAGCCTTATTTTTGAAAAGACGGAATGACGTCCGTGCCTATTTATTTCTCCACGACCAACTTTATTACATGCCTCTCGGCCCAGATAGTTGTGGTCTAATCCACTCCTCCTCTCGCCGTCCTTTGTCCTCGTGAAGGTTTATTATGCCTCCAGAAATTTTCAATGCATTCATTCTGGACGAAAAGCAGGGCATAGAGGGAACCCCATTAAATAAGAATCAGGCCTAAAACCACGTATAACGCTGGGAACAAGAATTGACGACTTTCTCCAAATTAATCTCGCTTTGACTCATGTCTTCTCTCCTCCATGGACGACGTATGTACGAACAGATTTATCCTCTCGACTTAGAACGACGACCTTTGATATTTGGTCGCCTGGTCGTCGTCGTGCTTTCTCTTTCGCCCTAAATTGGACAGAGTCTCAGGATGAACGCTAAATCCTGTTTTGAGACACACATATCGTGTGTGAAAAACATTATCTTACTCGCACATGGAACAAGTTTGATATCTTTTGGTTGCATTTTCTAAAAGTTTTTTTTACTTTTTTGATTCGGATTTAGGAAAAAGCTTTTCGGCCGTCAATGTTTTTTGACACAAATGGGATTGAGTTTGAAGAGGGTTTTTTGTTGTTGAAACGTTTTGTCGTCAATGTCTGACCACAGAATTTCAATAGATGTTCACTCCTACGATGTATTTGTGTGTTTGACGTATGTGTAAGTATGCATGTCTCGCTCTCGAGGAGCATGTAGCTTTGATCTCATTTGATCTTGAGGTTACATTTTTATTGGGAATTTCACTTTTTGGATGTTGCACATAAGTTTTAGTTTATTTTTTCGGGTTAAATGATAAGATTGATCTTTTGTAGGGTAAAATACATTCGTAGTCAAGGTCGCTTGCATAAAGGATGCAAGAATTATTATTGTATAACAAACCAGAAATAACTATATTTTTAAACAAAAGTGGATTAAAGTTGTGTAACGCCGTTGAAAAACATGAGATTTAGTTGAAGATAATCCAATTTATTTTATTTTAATCTTTAAAAATTTTCAGATATTTGCGTTTTTTGACTGCGTCTTCCTACATCGTCCTACGTCGCAGAAGGAAATGGTAGTTTTTCTCTAGCTCAAACTTTATTTTGTGGCGTATGGTTAAGAAGAAACCATACGTTGAGAAATGGTCAATCTGATAAATCGGATGTTATTACATCGGTCGAGCTGAAAGCCAGCTCAATATCCGGGATCGAATCCTTCACGCCACTGCTGACGTGCATGTACCCATGCATAGAATCCCAAAGTCTGGTAATTTCTCACCTTATGTACGATTGGGGCCGTATCTTTGGCCAAGATCAGTACTGAAAATTTAACAATAAATCAATTCTAATCTCATTTAGGAGGACCTTGAACCAATGTCAATATTAGTTTTGTTGTACATGCAGAGGTTCCCTAAAAGCACTTTCACTTTTAACGCTTTCTTTTCATTTTACCAAATGTGGAGATCATCAAGTCTTAGCGAATCTTAGCGTCATTCAAGTCGAGCAATAAAATCTTTTTAGCTCTGTTCATAAATATTTTTTTAATAAAAGATGCTTTTTCGTCAATTCACTGAAAAAATTATTTGACTTTAATTCCACCTGAAATTTTGACTTCTGAAAATTCTGAGCCATATGGTTAAGAATTGTCTAATAGTTTTTGATATATTTTATATACGTCCAAATACCACACCACCACTGGTCATGAGCATAATGACTGATCGTGATTCACAACCTGTCATGTCATCATGAATACGCGTCTCACCGCTAATATAAGTAATACTCCGAACAGGAAATAACATTCAACCATAAGTTTGATAAGACTGAACCTTTCGAAAGGGCAACATTTACCTGACAGGAAGATGCATAAGTCGCCTGGGCGTACATATTTGGGGGCTTTGAAGGGATAACAGTTTCCCTAATTTCTTGTCCGCGGCGCCTGGGAGGACTTTACACATGGAATGCTTATCAATTTCAATACCACTCAAACCACAAATGTGACAGCCAAGAATACTCGATCGCTGTATGGGAAACCACACCAAGCATTCTTCACGTCCCTTTCAATCTATTTCTGAAAATGACTGCCAAGATGGAAAGGCTGATGGGGGCACATGCTGCCTCGACAAGAATTCCACGAGGTGAATTCTGCTTAAAAACATCTTTTACAAAAATCTAAAATTTGATTTTAATGAGATCAACATGGTACGAAAATACATGAAAAGATTGTGTGTTCAAACCTGACAAGATTATATCTAATAATCGGAATACACGGAGGTTTAGTGGAAACCCGAAGAAAAGTTTTGACTTTATTATCAACGTTTCCGAGTGTGAGTCTAGACTCATTAATATGTAATCATCAAGATTATATATCCGGTTTAAAAATAAAATGTTTTTTCCCGAAATTTATAATTAATGAACGTTGCATTTAGAAAGAAAAGTCTTAGCAAATTGCACTTAGAAATGATCTAATCCAGTTTGTTTAACCAATTAAAATTCCTAAAAATTTGACACCACGTATATGAAATCTGTACGAGCGAAAAACAATAACAAAATCAAGGGCGACTCATAGGTTTGGCACATTATGCAATGCCAATAATGATGATGTGTAATTTTAGAATGTGCATTTATTTCTTCAACTTCAGTCAGTTGAAATTACGTCCAAGTTACAATTTTGTTACGGAGGTACTTCATGAGAGATTATAGCACAAATTATGAATAAACATGCAAAGCGAAGCATAGCAAATAATAGGTAAAGCAAATATGCAAACTGGTTTTACATTGAATTACTGATTCATAGAAAATGTAACTAATTACTGACTGCATGCTTCTTTACTTACTCAGAATACATCATTGAGAAACATGAGCTATTTAAGTAATTATTCCTCCTTCTTCTCATTGCATCAGCAACAATTCGTCTTCGTGATAATACATTTGGTCCAAAGCAGTCACATACCGTGGGCGTCATCGAGTATCGTTCTAATAATTTTTGGAACGAGGTTTCTTAAATTCGGTACAAACTAAATTTCAATATTTGATACCCGTTGATATTTTTTGTAACATATTTATCTATCAAATTACAGATATATTACGCGACATTCTCCTTGAAACGATGCCATGGGGCCTTCCAACATTCCGATACTATTAGCCGCGTTGTTGACGTTTTGCCTTCTCCAGGCCCAATTATCCCACGCCACCGCATTCAGCAACACCACGAATTATACCTCCGTAAATTCTGTGATATTCGTTCCCGAAAATCTGTCTCGTCGTACCGAATACAACGTAACTTACTCAATATCGAGTGAAGGATCGACGTCTCAGACAAAACAACATGATAACAACAATACTTTGGTCAAGATAACTGACAGCAGCGCCGAACAAAGCCACCATTACGTCGACAATACCGTACCTTCGTACACAATTAGAAATACCACCACGATCCAGCAAGAACACGAGTCAATAAGTAAACCTGGTGAAATAATGACTGCTAATCATCCGCATTCCTCCAACCAAGGGATTGGTAAATACCCGGGTGAAGAAGATGCTACCAAAAACACCCAAGACGAGGAGGAGGATAATGATGATGCCGTGACGATATCTAATTCGGCTTATTACCACGACCACAAAGAGGAAAGTGGAGAAGAAAATAACAACATGTTGATGATTGCCTCTACCAATGTGAGTAGTGGTGAAATTAAGGTCGGCAGTGGTGGTCCCCTCTACGCCGTCAAGTATTCCATCCCTGCCCAAATTTCTAATAATGGGTGTGAAGCTGGAAAAACATTCTCAATTCGGGCGCAGCGTTGTATTTCAACGATACAAAATACTGGGGGTAGTATAGGCTAATGACTTAATCGATTAATTCTTATATTTGTACGTAGGTAACTGATCTAAAATTATGACATTTTTTCCGAGAATTTCATCCTATATTGTATCATTATGTTCAAATCAATCTAAAAATCAACAAAGTAAAAATTTTAATGGAATCTCATCGCGTTGTCCAGTCTTGACATGCGAACAGGCTTCACGACATGGAAATTAATCTTATTAAACATGAAACAAATAAACTACTCAAAAACATGCAATTCTACATATTCATCATGTCAATATTTTTTCTGAAATTCACGTTAAATAAAATGCTCAGTCCAGAATTAAGAGGACTCAGTTGATTAAAGACTCGAGCCGTTCATGTTCAAAATTTCCTGGTAAGAAATCCTGGAAAAAATTTTTACTCGGCAATTTTTATTTTTATAAATTTATTTCAGGTACCCATTCTGATAACCAATCATCATGGTGCAGAGGATAAGTTTACGTTTAGTTCAACTCTTCGGATCTGGGGTCGCCATTTTAGTTCTTCTTCTTCAAATGGACCCTCCAACTGAGGCTGTGCCCTTGAAGGGGTCAGTATTATCTGGTGTCCCTTCACCTTCTCGAATGGAATCTGGCACCTCAACCAGTATCACCTCCACTGGAATGGAGGACAACCCAGATCAGGATGAGGGACATGTTTCATCATCCGAGTCAGAAATTGGTCAAATTCTTGAAACAAACTGCGAAGATGGCATGATCTTCTCCAAGTTGAGACAGACTTGTGTCTCTTCACTGACAAATAGTTCCTACAATATTGGATAAGTAATATTAAATAGGCTCACATCCATTTATAGTTCCTGATCCTTTGTGACTAATAATAACTATTGTCAATTCTGTTAAAATTTTCATGGTGGTCATTGTCACTTCAATTTACGGAATAATAAATAATACATAAATTCATGACCAATAAGTCTACACAATAACGAAGCCATCATAAATTGTTGTTAAATTCAGTTGAACAGATTAAAGCAATACGATCATGCACTATCTGATAAATATCATTCATGATATGATATGAATTAGTTCAATTATCCATTTCAACTAGAAATGCTTCGTCAACTATCATCATCATACTAGACACGACGAAGCAAAATGACTCGTCTCGTGTTGGACGCTCATCTAATCCAATTCCAAGAAGATCTCTCCCCGTTTTTCATGAGGATCTCTTAAAATCCATGAACCGATTCATCTGTCTTTCGACTTCCTTTCTATCTCCTCTTCTTCCTCTGTTTCCCTATAGTTGAAAACCCGTCAAGAAAATTAACAAACAACGACTCCTTCAAAGCAATAGAACATCAGTGCTAAAAGCCCACCAAGTTTTCTCATCCTGTGAACAAGGGCAATTTGTCAGTGTTCCATCTCTTTCATCATCGCTTGGCAAATTAGGTGACTGTCATCCATGTTTCGTTTGCTCTTCTTGTTAAGTTGGACCGAGTTAAGGACGAGACGACAAATGATGTCAGAGGAGGAGAAGAACTAACATTTTCCATATATTTACTCGACAGAAGACAGTGAAATAAACCATGTTCATTCATGAAACCCCAAGGACCAGCTAAAACCAAGCATTTGTATATCTTGTAGAGTTCAATATCCGCCAACTAACTTTCATCTTCCCAGAAATACGCACGCATGTAAAAACGAAACAAGACGAATTACACAACAATTTCATTTCAGTCGCGTTTACTAGTCGGAATTTTCGCCCTACATGAAATCGATCTGGTTCTGGGCGAAAACTTTTCATGAATTGGAAGTATGTAGTAAGGAAATTATAAAAAGCTTCCCAAAAACGGGTGGTGCATGTCTTGCCTGGAGCTAAAAATACGTAAAACTAAATCCACATCGAGCGAGAATAATAAAGTAAGATGAAGAAAACAACAATAACAACAAGCAGATTATAAATGGTCGTCTGGTCTGGTCTGGTGGTTTTGTACGTACGTAAATTTAGGCCGATCTGGTATATTGTATCCATCTGGACGCGACATGATATTCATGGACGGATAAAACTTTCCTACTCGGCAGTGCTTTACAACCCAATACACAACATGTTTATATGGACATTGCTCTTGTTCTTGTGTGCTCATCATGTATCGAAATCTGGGCAACATGGCACAGCACCATTCATTTCGTACAACCAAGCAGAAGGATAAGTTTAAAGAATGAAAGTCGACTTGGTCGGATGGTATTTTGCTTGATTTTACGTTATCCTATATCCTAGGATTATCTTCACTACTTGCCACGATTACATATCTGCTCCTCAAGTAAAGCTATTACTAGGACATATATACAGCAATTCAATAAATGAAGTTAAACCAAATCCAAGTTGTTTCGTTTCGAAAAGCTGTTTGAAACGTGGGCTTCTCCTTCTTCTTGGAATACCAGACTTGTGTGTACAAATATGCTCATTTGGTTAGTGGACTTGGCTGCATCTTCATCTTCTCCACATGCAAATATCTCATGGGGTTGATGATTACTTGAGCTGCAGCACTCGACTCTGACACCAAAAAGACAATTTACGAGTTTTTGGGCTAAACTCGAAAATGCCAGAGTGCAAATGGTGTACTGCCAATAATATTAGTGCAGCTTGTTAAAAGAGTTTTACTTTTCCTGGCTCCAGGATAGTTTACGTCGAGATTTCCGAGAAATGCTGGGTGGTTAGAGTCATAAAATGAATGGAGAGATGGATTTTTCTGGGGTTCATGCATACGTACGGTGTTGAAGCTGCTATGCACGTGACTGATTCATGGAGCACCAGTTAATAAAATAAATTGTGCTTATTAAATTTTGGCTTAATTCTAGAAGATTGAGAAGAATATATATTTATAGTTCTGAGGGCTCATTCTGAGCAAACATGTTTTTGAATTTCAAAATTGGAAAAGTTATGGCGTTTGAAAACCCGTGAGAAATATCAAAATATTCTGGAAAACGCAAAAATGCTCAATTCACAAATAATCCACTTGGTTCAGTCGAAATATGAGTGCAACGCCTGATACCATCGCATTGTTAACTTATCAAAATTAAATAATTGAATTATCGTCATCCTTCCTAAAATTGATAATCAAATTGATCCCCTCTGGTTTAAATATTATCTGCTTGGTGCGGGTCATCAGTGCTCATCTGAACATTTGCATTGCATTCTACAATTTGATAACCAAGTTCTGATTTCAGTGGGATTCATGACGATTAATGAATTGTATGAAGGTACAAACTTGCTCATTTAGCAAAATCAGTATTTGGTTTATTCTAGAAATATGACGAATCACGTCGGGCTAACGAGATGACGACTAACGAGCCATAATCTTCTGACATAATGTGTCGATGTGTCACCAAATTTTAAACCAACCCTAATAGATCTTGACCATGAACATGATACCGAACATGATAAGTACCAGTCTAGGATGTTGTTGGCTGAAAACATATATAATAATTTTCAGCTTTACACTAGATTAGCAGTGTAAATTTGTGTAAATTAACTCCGTCTCCTATTGCAAACGTGTAATTTTACAGATTTAGTCACCATTAACTTTGCACATGTCTATTTTTGCATAACACATATATCCATAAATTCTTCTGGCTGGTTGGTTTTGGTTTTAGCTTTATACGGCTTGTTCGGTGGTGTGGTAATTAAGCGCTATTCCGTCAAGTATGCATTTTTATATGTACATATGTACACACGTATGCATGGTTTTGGCAGTGACCTCATCCACCTATCCAATAACTGCAGCAGCAACAAGTATTATTGCAAGTAGTCGGTGTTCTGGAGGGGAAGACAGAGTTATCAGCACTTACATTACTAATACTTTTTTTACATATCTTATACCACACATTTTATTTCACGTAGCACCACATTTTCACAATTTTGAAGATAGAATACTCCTTCGTCGTCCCCTCAAGAAGATTATTGTTTTGGGAGCGTGCACACCATTATGACCGTCGTCACATAATGTCATTATATAACGTCTTTTAATGTACTACCTCAAAATGGTATATGCCCTCAGCGATCGACATTGCATTGCAGTACATGCTGAGGCGACAAGTAATAATACATATGTAAAACTTGAACCAACTCTTGAGTCTCACCTCGCCTCATCCGTTTTGTTATTGTTGTTTTGTTGCAGTCTACTCGCAGTTAATTTCTTCTGTGTTTGGAATGTGGTGCAAAAAAAACTTGATATTACATGAGCAGCAGCATTATTATGCATAATCCTTTAAAACCTCGGCCCAGCATATACAGATATCTGTAGATGTACGACAGCAAGGGGCACCCCCACACTCACACACCTTTTTTCCCACCCATCTATCTCCCTATTCACCACCGTACGAAGTTTACTTTCTGCTTGGTTACTGCTACCTTCCAAATCTTCAACTTGACTGATTTTAACTATACGCCTGGATTTGTTTTCTGTAACCTTATTGCTTTGATACATCATTTGCCTAGAGTCCAGTGGTTGGTTTGGTCGGTGGTATGTCGTTGTTATTATGCATCGCTCGTAGTGGTACTACATGACATTTTGGTTAGTGCGGTGTGGGGATGTTGGGCTTGGTTCATTTGTAAAATGCTTTGAATCTGGTTTTCCGTACTGCCTGATGCTAAATTTCGATACGTATTAATGTACAGGATCGCCATCATCATCGCGTTGGTTCATCATGAGTGGGTGTTCTGTTCATTCCTTGTCTTCAGTCCTGTTCTAGACGCGCATCGAGAACTTGTTTGGCATAGTTTCGAAACAAAAAGTTCATTTAATTTTTGATTTCCGAATCCGGACACGTTTTTGAAGTAAAACTTTTCTCCCCGTTTACCAAACACACGAGAGAAACACGATGGCGTTGGATAATAAGCAACTTCTTCTCATCATCCTGGCAATCTTCATCCCACCGCTGGCCGTCTTCCTGAAAAAGGAGACGTGCGACATGGACGTCATTATAAACCTCATTCTCACATTGTTCTTCTTCCTCCCCGGAATTATTCATGCGGTTTGGGTCATTCTCAAGTAGAAGAGAAAGGTGAGTGAAACGCGGGGGGACTTTCATGCTCAATGTAAATATGCATCAGGAGAAAATATGCCTTTCTAATGTGCAATATTGCAATTTTTAGATCAAAAACAAACCAAAACACCAAAACCATAACTCAGACCAAAATTTAAATTGCCTTTTACACTACTCCTCAATCGGACAAGATTCCTGCGCAAATATTTATCACAATAAACAACAACGGACTATTTTGACCAGACCAGAATCTCACCTATGCGTCGTGGTCATGACTCTGGGCTTCATAAACAGCAAAATCACATCGCATGTATCACACACCACCAACTCTTCTTGATTTTGGGACTGGTTTTCATCTCCTCAACTCCTCATCATCAACACATTATGCGAAATGAAAAGTATAAATTATGAGAAAAATACTAATCCAGGTCCAACTCCAAGTTATGTAGGTTCAGTTTCAAGTCGAGGATTTATTATACAAGTGCCTTAAAAATTGAGTGGTCCAGTTTCCGAATCTGTATTCCATTTTTTTCCTCTCTTTCACCAAGTTGCTAGCATTTTAGGACTTGTAAAATACTAGGCAGGCATAAAGCCCCCACTTTTTTTCTGAATTACAAATATTTATAGCTAAAGTCTACAGTTTTCTATGAGCTATCTTAATTTTTAATAAAATTTATCAGACAATCACAAAATAATACTGCCATTTACATAAATACATTTTCAACAGAAATTATTGCAATTTAAATTACAAAGTAGTTTTTCAATTGTATTTAAGATTAATAATTAATTAACTTTCTTTAAATGCCATAAGTCTCAATTGTATGTTACTTAAAAGTTACGTCAATGTCACTATTAAAGTTTAATACTGTTATATAATAATTAACTCGTGGTATGTGCTGTGTTCGTAATAGGAGAAATTTTAGCGATTGTCTCATCTTTTTTTTCTCCCATTGCAATTTATTAGTCGGGCCGGATTTCATGCAAAATTTTATCACATGTTGCTGATATAATTTTTAATTATTTTGAGAAGTATGATTACATTGGCCTATTTAATCGTCATCATCCTACACACGTTTAGTTGCTGCCTGGTTATCTTGCAATTTAGATTAAATTATCATAAATACCACAATATCCACATCAAACGAATGTTTTGCTCATTCATTATGGACTAATTATCTTATGAATATTTTAAAGAAAGGCCTTCAACCTGTACGATACGGTTGTACCGTCAGTTTGTGCATGCCTTTGGATATCGTGTTTTTACTATTAGATAGTTGCATCGCATCAGTATGAATTACAGTTTAAGAATTTTCGTAGGACATTAGTTTTTGTATTCGATTATCGTTCATTGTCCGAACGAATCAGAAACTGTCACGCAAAATAACATCCAAAATAACATCTATTCAAGGATCTGAGGAGCATCAGAGAGTAGTGTAAATCTGATCGTATTTACTATCCTTGCTCAGCTTAATTACATCATCATCATCAATAACAATTAAAACGCTACATCTTCCGCTTTATCATTCCCATCATAAATAAATTCTATATTTAATGTTTGCATAACGAGTTGCACATTCCTTCCCAACAAAATTCCAAACATTGCCCAAATAAATAATAAACCGCTGCATCAGACTTTTCATTAATAACTTATTACGTATTACAAGTTATTGTCCCTCCAACAATCAGTGCTTCATCCGTGGTGATAGATAAGCGGAACCTTTCAGCAGCGGTTGCATGCATGGCGTGTGTATTTACATAATCGAGGCATGCTACAAATAAATTTATGCAAAAAAGATGCATGACGATTCTTCTATTAGTGAATGAACAAGGAAACCAACCACTCCGACCGAATGCTGATTAAATGAATATCATTCAAAACCGCCCTGAATTTAGATATTTCACTACGCCATGATTTTATGCATTCCCGCAGCATATTAGGAAATTAGGTTTTTGGAGTGAAGTACGTACTTGTACACGCGGAGAAAATCTTTCATATCCTTTGCGCCTCAACCGTATCGCGCACAGTAGTCGGATTAAATGGCAACTTGTGAATGTGTACTTTTTGGGTGTGTGTCTTTTATGTGTGATACTCCTCCAGTTTTGTAAACCGGATGTCAAAAGTATTTATAAAGTCGCTACACACTTTAGAGCTCCCTTTTCAATTTTGGATGAGCATGAGTGCGTAAGTTTTTGGAGATGCATGCATTTGAGTTGTTGCTGTTGTATGCTACTTTTTTTTATTATACAAAGTTTGTTTGAACATACGAGTAAGGATTCTTTATTAAGGAAGGAATCCTATATAAATAGCGCCCAAATAATTAGTAACATTATTTAACACCTGTTATTCCATACTCAACAACATACTTTTTTATTCACTTTTTTAAATTCACGTTTACATAATAACACCAAGACATCAATATTATTTATGTTTCCTAAGTAGTATTTTTTCCTCTGTGTACTTTTATCCACACTTTTCTTTGATTGTTTGGTCTGGTTATTTTTTTTACTGGGTACAAATGCAAATTTCATTTTTGAACTGTTCTTTTCGATTACACTGTTAAAGTATATATATGTATTTATGTTAGTGTAACAAGTATGCACACAATTTGTCAGCCTAGATATGTAGTTGCAAGTTATGTGTTACTAACTAAAATTATTCACAAAAAAGTTAAAAGTTTTTCTTTTGCACTGAACTGAACAATGAAATCATTACCTAACGAACAATTACACTTACTGGGAAAACTCACTTCATCTCGTTTCACTTTTATCTTCCATTTCCAGCTATACGGCAGTTTTTATGGCAAAAACAAGCTAAAATAAATGCATCGCGTCACAATTCCAACACATTTTTAATGCAAACCTTTACAAACAAATGCAAACATATATCTGCAACACTGGTTTTAGTTCGTACTACAATATATTAATATTTTGACTAAAAATAAGGATAAAAACTATATAACAAAAAAAACAATAACAACTGTACAAAATCCTTTGGTAAAAATGGCATGAATATAAGCAAATTGTGTATAAACTTGAAAAATGTACCAAAATATTAAAATTCTGAATGGTGTCAAAAATTAAAAACATTTCTTTTCTACGCGTGTTTCACATTTTGTGGAAGCAAGCTATAAATGTATACATGAACCCTTTCTTACCAAGAAAAGCCTTCACCAATAAAACATCAAAATCTATTTAGTTAACTAACTACTTTCGAAATCAGGTGCACGTGTTGTTTCTTTTGGACTGGACTGAATTAAAAATCACGGTCGGTGTGGGTTACGTGTAACTAGCTCCATTGATTGATCCATCGTTTCGTTAATTAATTAATTGTTACAATGATAAAAACTAATCAAGGTACTGAATCATACTGACTGGAAAGACGGGTGTAAATTATATCATCAACCGAACAATAACACATAAAAAATTAAAATTGTGATGTTTTGTGTAAAATTTAATAATTGTTTAAAGCCAAAAGTTTTTTTTTCCTGAAATTAATTACATAATGGTTAAATATATAATGATACGGCTCAGCCGTGTTTGTTTGTGCAGACATAGTTACTAATTTTGTCACTGTTTGGAATGTATATGGAATATTATTAGAAATTTGATTGTACATTGATTCCTGTTAAATACTTGACAACTTAAAATTAAAGCCCCTTCCATCACATGTTCTTGTTCATGTATCTTACTTCAATACGTCTTTGTTGTAACCCAATCTGGACCAGACCACTTTTTTCGCTCGAAAATGGAAGGAAATGCATTTATAAAATTGAACTAAACAGTCGAAACTAAAAGTAAACCTGAAATGCCATCGTCATACATAAATCTTCGCCTCGCCTACTTACGGAAATTAATAATAATGATAATGTTCTGTCGAGAGATTAAATCACATTTTTGTACGGACGGTATACGTTATGTTCACCTTGTAAAATACAAACAAAAAATACTACTAAAGAATACGATAGGATTGCATAGTGAAAGCTGCATGGTTTTTTGATTTCTTCATACACGGGGAACAGTGAGACATCCAGAGTTTCATAGTAAGAGAGATTACATCGGGAGACGATGTTCCATTCTAAAACGGCAAACTTCGCAAGTACAATCGCTTTTGCTCAGGCTGTTCTTTCTCCCTTTTCTCCGACTGGCAGGGCTAGGACTTGCTCTTGGCAGGAGAGGCTCATCTGCGGCGGAGAAAGAAGAATTTTGACAATTCAGGTAGCGTGGTTGTTGCTGCTGAACTTGAAGTCGGTCTTTAACTTGTTGTTTCTCATCGTAGTCGGATTCTTCTCTCGTGTTGATAAATTCGGGAGGGGGGCCTCGTTTGAAAATGGGCATGTCTCCTAGAAGGCAAACAAATAATATTGGTGTTACATTAATCCAGATGTGTCGTCATCACCTTAAAATTATGAAGCAAGCCGTACTACTACTACAAATAGTATGACTATTCTCATTTTACCCAGCCAACTTGTAATACCATGCATGCACCCTTCCCAAGAGTTATGAAAGAGGAGAAAGTAAAAAGAAAGTCACAGGATGGTTGACTTACCACAAAACTGGAGGGATCAGGGAGGACGCATAACAAATCACACAAATATAAAACAAAGAGAAATCAGATCCTTCTTAACATCATGAGTCTGTAGTAACAATCAGATCACTAGTTTCTTGAGAGAAAGTTATCGTCTTGAGCAACAACATTTATAAAAAGTAGTTTGTAAAGACACTGGAATGGACGGAGTAGTAAACAGTTGCACATGGACGAAACATTACTAGTAAGACACTTAAGCACATTACAGGGATATTTAGTAGAGTGAAAGTACATATAGTTTTTCTCAGAACACGTGTTGGTTGGGTTGCATTTTATAACATAATAGTTGTAGTAGTTCATTTCATTTCATGGTTTTCTTTGCAAGACACTTTTAGTCATTGACTTGTTGGTATAAGGAAGGAATACGGTGGACATGATTATGCATGTATTTATAAAATGCTTGGTCAAAAAGCGGACGAGATAGATGAGAGAGCATTATTTATGTATGTATCGTGGCATTTAGTTAACATTCAGTTATTTCTCCCCCTCATTCTTCTTCTGATCCCTTCTAGCCACAAGATAAATATGACGACACACATTAGGAAACTGGTCGCCATAACCAAGCTGCCAATTCGTCCAACCACTCCCACCACGACGACACTCAGTATAAGAACTTCCTCTACTTCAGTGTTGTTATTGATATTTCTCTTGTTGAGGACGAAAGGGGCCTTGTTTGGTCATACATCAGTCGAAACGTCCATTGGGGACTGGATCCTTACTTTTTTGACACTGCTAGATCTGGAAAGAGTTGGAGAGGATCCGGCAAAACCTGGATTTGAAAATCCTGTCTCCGAACCTCCCCTACTGCTAGAGGTCTTTTTCAAGCTCGACCTCAGTGGACCAGCCCTACTCAACCCCGTTCCAGACACGAGGGTTGACACGGTTGAGACTGACGAGTAGTCCGACACCGTGGACCCATTCCCCGCCCCATTTACCGTCGACTCGGGGGCGACGTTGTAATGGAGTTGGCACTCCCATTCCATGAGGGTGACGGTAAATCCTTCCCAAATGGCTTCGGAGGTGTTTTGCGAGAGGAACTTCGGCGTCGCGAGGACGATGGGGACTTTTTCTGACCTCTTCTACTCCCCCGTTGTACGTAGATATTATTATTTGAGGGGGTGGAATTGTACTTAAACTTAAGGGTCAAAGGGTGGACATAAGGTGGAAGACCGGAAGTCCGGCTGACAGATATACTACCATTTGATCCGGGATGGCGGCGTCCCCTATTTTCCGGGTCTTCTTCTCCTCCTCCTCCTCCTCGGGAATAGGTTAAGGCCGGGTTTGTAATGACGTTCTTCATCCTAATCGCTTCGGAGGTTGTGTCTACAACGTCATCCGGCTCTCGGCGTGCCGATACGTACTCCCCGATGGTGAGAAGCATCAGAATTGTGGAGAAAACGGCTACCACGATCTGCGAGGAGAGAAAAATAACTCGTCATGAGAATTGAGACACAGCAATCATCATCATCATCACCACAATCATTGGATGATATTCCACGGTGGGTGTCTAACAGATACACACAAATACACAGACCCCAACGGCAAGATATGAAACCCTTATAAGTGGATCTCTCTATAAATTCCTCTCTGGGGATAAATTCCTCTCCGGAGAAAGTGTCCACTAACGAGTAACGAGGAAAGGCAAAGTTGAGTCGAGTAGTCGAAAAAAGCAGAGTGATGAAATTTCCTACACCGCAACACTCCCATCTGCGTCGTCCTTCCCGACTAATTTAACTTTTACAGTGGGGCAAACTTGGAGTCGGAAATCTATCCTGTACATATTTTCACTGCATTCGCTCTTGCAATACTCCAACTTTGATTTATGGAAAGAAGGCGGAATAAATGAGGCATAGCAGCAGCAGTGTTACATTTCTGCGCTGACTTTCTCTCTGGAGTGGAATTCTACATGAGACGGATAAGATTAACAAATTGCACTAGTCCGAGGTTCTCGGCGAGGAAAGGGAACTAGGGTACTTATTCTCGTCTCCTGTCCTCCCACCCACACTAACAAAGTTTCCTCTAATACAAATGACCCCCACGAAATTGAATCAGTTACATCTACGCGTGTACTACGAAATGACACTCATAAAACATAACGGAGAAACGGGAAATCTCTTTCTCCGTCGTCGTCTCAGTGAACCTCATTATAACAATTGTATTACTTTCCTTCCTTCCTTCCGCCCATGTCACCTTTTGAACTTTCTCTTCTTCTTCTTCTAGTTAGTGAAATAATAAATATTGCAGAACTGGCTTAATTTGAAATTTGAATCAATTATGTACTTTTCCATCCCAATTACCTATTATGCTTGACATATTGCGACACATTGTTGCAAAAGTCAGCCCACGGATCAACAACAAGTTCAACAAGCGTACGTATGTGTATCTGATTTCATTTCCCCACGTCTTCCTTCCCCTCTTGCTTTCACTCGTGATCTCATTTGTTGCTTTACTTGCGCTATCCAACTACGAATAATGCTTTTTCCTCATGAAACTAAAGGAGAGATGATCTCTAAAAACCCTGGCTATAAAATTACACACGCTCTCTCTTTCGTTCGCAATTTAAATTCCAGTCCTTCCAACCGAGCCGAATGATAAATTGGAATTAATTAAGTTTAATTGCAACCCACGCCTTCCTTCACACTCATCATGCTCCTGGTCCACTTCCACACTAATTTCATCTTTCCTTTGTGTCACGACCACAAAACTTTATTGTGAAAGTAAACCTTGGGAGGGAAAGTAGTGCCGGATATGTTTCACGACTCTAAATCTAAGTGCTGGGAGGCATTGCAATAATCTCTGATAGATAAATGCACGCAGGAGAGGAGTGATCATTATTATTCCTCGTCCGAGTATAAATTGTGGTCCTAATTTCGCATGTGATATCCTTTCCCGTGTCATATTGTCTTTGCTCACAGGTTGCTGGATGAAACTAATTTGCAGCAAGTTTCAAGGTGGGTGATGGTGCGGTGTCGTTTTTCTTTGATGTGCAATATTATTATGCAGGTGAACCAAATTGCAGTTCTTGTTCTATTTATTCATGGCGTGGTGTCCTTTCCAGAGAGAGAAAGAGAAAATGTGATTTTGTCGGCGGCGGTGAGTCGATAAATAGGATACGAATGATGCACTCGCCAGAATCAGCCACCATCCTCCTGATTCCTTTCAATCCACGGGAACGTCAGAATTCTATTTATCCAACTTTCTTCAGCCTTTGAAAATTTCTAACTAGGAATTTCCATCAAGTTGGATAAGAAGAATACGACAAATTTGTACCTATGATGTATGTACCTTCATTGTAATCTTCTTGCCCTTTACTTTAACTTTATCTCGCCCAATTTCTCACAAATAATATATTTGTTATTCTTTTTAAGGAAAAGTTATCATCAAATATCCAACCCGTTTGATTTTGATTACTCTTTCTTTCTTCACTTTCTTTTAAGAATTAATTTGTATTCATCTCATCCAAAGAAAACTACACGAGCAGACATAACTAATCCCAATTTCAATTTCCGACGTCAACCCTGACTAACGTCATCGGGATGGAAATTCAACAACAAAATAGGATAATGTGTGATGAAAAACAGGATGATTACCCTTAGCCACCTACGGCTTAACTACTTTGGGGTTGATTTTCTTTTCTTCCTCTCAAACGCAAATAATCTTTACTTTCTTCACTTTCCGACGTTTCTCTGTAATTCGACTCGACCAGCCAGACAAGATAATCCACCACAATTCCCCCGAGTATCAATCACACCACCATCATCATCTCAACAAGAAGAAGATTTGTTTGTAATTTTCTTCCCACTTTTAGATTAGACGCCATTACAGGACTCGGAGGAAATAACAACTTATTTCTCAAATACAGTATTGATGATGTCTAGCAAATAAATAAAAATGATTCAATTACATACTCACCTCCATGTAAAAGGAGAAGCCGACCGTGATAATGTACCCATGTTCGAGGACGTCTCCCTGAGTGGCAAACAACCCCGTTGCGCTCCATGTCGTGAGGACTGCAATAAGGAAAGAAACAGGGATCAAATGTCAGTTTTCGTCACGAAAACAAAATTAGATTGGAGCTCAGAAATCGCAAATCTGGATAAATCTTATCTTGAGTCAAAATCACAATTTTTCCCAAGTATTATTTTCCTTACCGGCCACCAAGGAGAGGATAAGCTTTGTGATGAGAATGTTGATCTTATATCTTCGCAGAGACGAGTGTGGACTGCACATGAGAGTCATGTAGAAAATGGAGAATAGGCCGTAAGCTCCAAGAGCAGTCACACCCACGGCCGCACACACCCCAGCTGCGTAAACCTGGACTGTAATGGGCCAGGTAAAAGTTGGGTACATGAGAACAAAAATTGTACTTGGTATAAATGGTAACAAAAATAATTGTGTTCACTTACATCCCGGTTTGAACATAACGATACGATTTCCACACATCTTCCTCCCATAGTCGATATCTTTGCAAATCGTCCATGGTCCGAAATGTCCGGTTTCTTGGACTGCAAATGGAACCGATTAATAAATAATAAACTGACACCCAAATGACACCCTCATTTTGTCCAAACTTACCGACACGATTCCTAAATTGTCCCCAATACGGAACAGCCACGGCCACTGTAGCAATGACGAAACAAGCCGCGGCCAGAATTATCAGGCCCACGGACCCACATCGCATCATCTCGCGCCCCCACAACAACGGTCCGTAGAAAACTTTAATTACTTTTAATTAGTTCGTTTTAAATATAAAAAAACACTTTTCCCTCGTGGGTTGCTTAAAGCTTGGAAAATTCTACTTAAAAATTTGTTTAAAGCTGACATCAACTATCACAGACGATTTCCTTAACTAATTATCAATTATTAACTAAATTAAATTCATCTAACTACAAACTAAACACACCAGCAGCTGCCGGACGTTTCGTTAAGAGCACTTTTTTACATTTAATTTCCGTAAATTGTCATTAAACCAAAAACCACCAATCAACAATTAACCACCTTCACCACCTCCACCAATTTTTAAGGTAAAACTCAACCTCATCTTGCACCATGAACAGTTAAAGTAATAATAAACTTAATGATGGTAACACTTAATAACAATTCCTCACTGGCATTGTCATCACAAATTACGAGCAGTTTAAGTGATTCACATTATCATTTACACACAAATGAGTTTCCTGTACAAAAATTGTGTATATAATTAAATTGTGGATGGAATGTGTCAAATATTTGTTATTTAATAATACTTATTTTTTCTCCCTTTTGTTTTTGAAAACTAAATTAACTAGCACCATAAAATATAATTGAATATTTGTAAATATTTTTATGTTTATATTCTTTTCTACCTGTGTTTTTGCACGTTAAAAATAATAAACTCGTCCTTCGTCACCTTTACGCAGCAACTAGTCTGCAAGTCTCAGCCGTGCATAAGCAAAGCTATAGTTTGCCAATTGGGTTGAAGATTTCCCGTGTAATTGGAGTGCAAACCACGTGACAGGACTATTCATAGAGATTACTTTCTAAAATGCATAATTAATCGAGTAGTTAATTCCGCAATTATTATTCTATGCAAAAGTTTTGACAAATGCGTCGTTCAAGTTACAAGTTTTTTTATAATGGAATGCATATATGCAACGGTAAAACTTTTAATTTAAGAGGACCTGATTTTGTCCCAAAAATGCAAAAAAATGACTCTCCACTGCTCCAAATTTACAAAATATGTCTTCCGTTTTACCTTTACCTACTAAATTTCTACCTTTCTCAGGTTTTATTACGAAATCCGTTCACGCTACGTAAACCATTGTTTGGTTACTTCCACCACAAAACATACCATATTATACATATGTATTCAGGTGGTTTGGTTTGCATTTGGTTGGTTTTGGTAGTTAAGTACATAAGGTGATGATGATGATGATGATATTGGCAACATTTTATACTGCAACGACAACCCAACCACTTGAATAGACAGGTAAAGTAGAAAAAAATTGGATATAAAAAAGGGTAACAACAACAACTTATAGCTGCTTAAGTATAACTGCCCATGCACCTCTGCCAACTGTCATCTCATCCTCATCCTGTCTATTCTCTGCTACCTTCTTATAGTCGTTGCAATAAATGGCATGCAAAATAATCCAGTATTCTCTGGTATACGAACGAAGTGGTCTGGTCCCTCCACTTTTTTTATTGCACGCACTCTTTCCTAGGACAGGAAACAGCAACGCCATGAGATCTGACATGAGAATGAAATGAGGAGGCCCATGCAACACTTTCCCATTGTGCAATGTTGCATACTTGGTCGTGTTATGTAATGGATTACGATTTCTGTGTGTGCATGGGTTGCAAAGTTACGCATGAAAATAATGATAGTAATGCGAGGGGGATGAACTCTGTGTTTAAATTTGAATCGAATGCGTAAATAATTTGGGGGAGGATTGCACGAGTTGCATTTGTTTTTGGTGTGTGTATTTTTTCCATTTTTATTTATGAGATTGTACATAAATCGGTATGAATGAATGAGGTGGTTCCATTTTATGCGAATTTTTTATGCGTTGAGACAAATATTGGGAGAATGAGGGCGGATATGGATGGATGGTCGAAGTGATGTGTGTGGTGTATTGATTGTTCTTATTCATGTAGAGAGATAAGGCCTTATCGGGGATTAGGACGTTGAACTAATTGTCGGTGCTGAGTAAAATAAAAAAGTGGGACGGGCAAGTTTTTATAAATTTGATGCATTTTGGTAAAATAAATTCGAAAAAATGTGTATAACGCGAAGAGGAAAAGACAAAAAATATTTGGAATTTTAAATCAGATTTAGTAATCTTTTTGAAATTAGGTACACGACACTGGTTAGATATGCACCTTATTTAAATTCTGTTCATTTCTCTCTCTCTTTGTCTCTCAAGGAACGATTCGTTTTAAGGTTGCAGTAAAACGAAGCATATTTCGCCCTGTAAGATAACGTCACATTGTGTAGCAGGGACTACACTTTCTTCCTTTGTATCTCCCCCACACTCAAATTGGAATAAGTAGCTGCTACATTTAGGATTTTAGAACCCACGTTGGTTGAGCAACGTCTTTTACATTTTATTTTTGCGTCCCGAGGTAATTTCTCTGGATAATCTTGTGGTTTAAGTGGATTACGTTCTTCTTCCTCCCTCGTCCGTCTGCCCTTCAATCACGGATGTTGTAGGACATGGTGTCGTCTTAGAGATTTGAAAGGAAGTTCGGATCTCATTCTCACGGGACGGCTGAATTTGCATCCATCCATTCCCCATGTACACCACCAGCACTACTTTTTATTATTTACCACAGATTCTACTCCTACTTACGCTTAACTTGGTTGGCAGTAGTGGACGTTACATTGCCCCACAAACGGAACTCTTTTCGAAAATTGGTTGGCAAAGCGTAAGTGGATTTCATTGTAGAATGTCGTTCAAGTAAATGAACCAAAGTCATGTCGTTGTTGTCTCCTCGAACAAAGGTGTACTTTTATGTACACTGAACTACTACATACGTCTGTTGAACATGCATGTCACTCCTCGGCTACGTTAGGAATAGTTTGCGTAACAGAGTGTAAGTGTCGCGCCATGTCGTTCGACCAAAAGTTTATGACCTGTGACCTTTCCCATGTTAGATAATGTCATGCGGCCAACCCATCCAAAACAACGTTAAGCTACACAACCACCACCACCACCAACGCAATTCCTGTCAAGCTACCAGACTCTCCGCAGTCTAGTTTAGAAAACCCGTTATAATTTTTCATTTAAAACAAACAACAATCTTACCCCCAGTTCGCCTCTTAAAGCATTATTATCTTCCTCTTCTCTCCCTTTATGATCCATCCATCGTCGTAGTTGGCTGAATCGTGGTGAAGAGCGAGTGGTCTGGTAAATGATTGATTAGTCGGATGTTGGACGTAATAATGAGAAAAAATAATGTTGCATTATTTCCTCGTCAAGTGAATTGGGTGGAGAGTGCATGGTTAAATGAAGTAGCATAATGTGTATGTGTGTGTGTGGAGGTGAATTAATTTCTTGGTGGAGGTTTACTCGAAATTGATTCCGTGACTGGAATCCAAATTCATGGAAAGATTCTGTGTAAGTAAGAATAGGAATATGGAACGGGGAGCAAAGAGCAAATTTCCGGTGATGTTCAGAAGTATGTATCGTCGTCCTTAAATATATTTGTGATCAGTTATGCGTCCTAAAATTCACTATCCAGCCTGGCATTCATGCATTACCCGATTTATTTAAGTAAGTGGTTTGACTGAGCTGTAGTCTCGAATGCAATTTACCGAGTTGAGCTATTGCCTTCTGTGAATGTCAACCCCGATAAATTTGGACCACATCGCTACTTTAAAGATGGGACTAAAATGGCTGAGAATGTCTCAGGAAAAGATTACGGGATGATGATGACTGCCTACGTACATAAAATGGGAAGATGTCCTTATGGTCACTTAGCAGAAATCGCTTCATATTGTGGGAAATATTGTGTCGTATCGGGTCCGTCATGTGGGCGAGGATGGGATACAACTGCTGTGTGTAGGTTATTGTTTGCTACTTGAAACTCGTCGAGTACTACCAGATTTTACGGTTCGTATTCCAACATCCACGGCTGAAAGTGTTTATCTTATGCATTTGTTTACTTATTGAATACGACGAGTGTAGTTGGCACATTTGTGGGCGAATTTGGTATTTTGATGGGGGTGGTTCTCGCAAAATGACGATATTACTGTATAGATTCTTGCCCTCAAAATAGCAACCGTACATTGTATCCTACATAACCCAGACGCACACATTTTACCGTGGACCTAAATCTGTCATTTCACAATGACCACGAAATTGTATACCTTTTGCTGATGTGGGTCCGTTGTTTGAGTTAAATCATCCGAGCATGAAAGTGTACGATGTAACAACAGGCCTGCTGCCGAGTAGTACATGGAGAACCTTGTTGTACAAATGTCACTCTGGTTGGTGGTGCACTGGTTATGACATGAGTTGTATGTACTAAAATTTGTTGTGGCGTAATAATAATCTCACTCACTGTGACAATTTCTCCAACAGACTGAAGTGTCCGACAAGATCTGCCCACTCCATTTTTGATGATGTAATGGCACTTATGTATATGTATATGACGCAAATATTGCCATGTACTTCCAGCCAGTGAAAGTGGCAAACTTTCCCCAAATAATGCAGCCGTCCAAGTGACAGAAACAGATGAAGTTGTATTCCCGTATTTTTACAAGGATGCCAATTATGCATATGTATTTATGGCTCCGTCACGCCGAGATGACTTTATGCTCCAAGGACGGAATGATAAAAAAAATTGCATTTTTTTCTCTCCAACAACAAGGACAATAATGTTTCGAGAAGGAACGACACGTATCATGAATTTGCATTTAATTTAGAGAAACATTGTCAAACACTCAGTCACACTCAACTACATAGCATTTTAAGCAGTTTAAATAATTAATTTATCTGATAAGTACAGTTTCTGGGAAAATTACAAGGATGAAGGGAAGAAAAGGTGAAAGGTTAAGCAGTTGTTATCTTAATAAATATTCAATTCTTCTTTCGTCGGAATGTAGGAGATTTTGGCTACACGCTAAATTTGTATCTATTTCCCTACCAGGCTACAATTGTTAATTTGTTATCTCTGAAATAATTAACAGGAAGATGTTTCATAAATAGTCCCCGATTGCCCCTCCAACTTGTTCATGCACTTGACTTTGACTGATCTAATTATACAATTAGTTTAACTCTTATCTAAATACATACATCTATCTACGTGTAATTGATTGATCAACTAAAAGTTTTATCCTCTAGAAGTGTAAAACTAGAAGAAGAACATGATGATACGTAATATCTAGCTACTCGTTGGGCAAACAAGTTTAACACTAAGGACTCAGAAAGTCACACTATAGAAAGTTTACAATCTACGTAACTTTAAATAAGTAGCACGTAATTTAATTAACTAATTAATTCGTAGCTACATGGTAAATTTACACATTTTCCATCCTACCCACTACTCTTAACACCCTTCCGCTTTGATGGAGTCGTACATATAGAATACACATACAATAATATAATTAATGTAATGTAATGTAATGAAATACATCATCACCGCACAGGAAGAAAAGTCACAGTCAATTTTGTTTCAAGTTTCACATTTCGCTTACCTAACAAACAATTTACGTTACATTAAATAGTTGATTAGCACCACTTTAAATTTCCATTTTTGATTTTATAATTTATATAGTTTCCAATCTGTTCGAAAAATATGATGATAAAGCTAAGTACGTACGCAGTAGTCGTTAAGTAACAGCACCCCTGGATAAATATACATACATATGTAAGTATTCATATTTTTGGTAAAGTAAAGTAGGAGACTTTCCGTGTGTGGTAGAATCGTCGTAATAATATTCTAGTTGTTGCATGTAAATTTGTTAGTCAATAGATTTTTTTAGGAGCAAGTGTTGTATAATAGTTCTGTTTTTTGGATCTGGTAAAAGTACTCGTATTGTCAGTGGATTGGATTTTGATTTTATTTTTGCATCGTTGGTGGAAAGAGAGAGGAGGCGAGAATGGGGGTGAAAGTTGTGTTTGCAAAGGGCTGGATCTTCGCTCCACTTTCACCACCGTCCTCGCTCCGGTTGACAACAATCACCAACTATATTCTCGATTTCTGGCTATTCAAATTTAAGCAATAAAGAAATTTAGGAAGTTTAAGAAATTTTAATAAAATTTTAAGAACTTTTTTGATTAAAAAAATATAAGAATAAATAATATCACTTTCTCCACCCTATGACATCCCTGATTGTTTAGTCTGAACAGTTTCTATCATCACACTTACTTTCTTTTGCAGGTTTTGCAAAATCCGTGATATTTCTCGGCATAAAATCCATCATATTTTTCGATGTTTTTCACCTTAAAATTTATCGTAACTGTTTGTAAACTGAAATATTGTTCGTTTTAGGTATGTGGTGATGCTGATGATTCATGTGAATCGTGTCGTGCCGTGAGTGTTTATTTTTGCAAGTTTAGATTTCCTAACGAGACGGAAAAATCAATAGAAATAAATAAATTTCCGATAATTGCATACTTATGTCGTCTGAGAAGTGTGTCACATGTCGGAAAAGAACGGGAACGCTTAGGTCTATCAAGTATGTTGAGTAATCATATTTTTTTATCCTAGGCATAAAAGCGCAGGCTGCATCAATAATTAATTACCAGTGACACTTTATGCGTCTATACTAACAATGTTTTGCTGCTGCTGCTGTTGCTCAATTTCTAAGAAGTAAACGAGTAAATAATTTTATGCTAGACGAAGACACGAGAAACGTAATGACCAATTTTTGTGTTATATACATTTTGGTACAAAATTAACGTTTTTTTTGCAAATACTGAGTGCGGTTGCAGATGGTGATTATACACAAATCTCTTACAACTATGTGACTTACGTATATTAACACTTGTTCAAATTATACAAAAAGTTTTAACAGGTTATGATTGCATTTAACTAATTAATTAACTGTGTAGAACAAGGACAACGTATATACACTAATTATAGTAATTGATATATATGTATTTATAACGTGCAGTACGTGAGTGCTGGGTTAACCTAGATTTGGTTTTAAAAAGAAGTAGGCAAGTAAATTAGTCCACTTGTGCCCAACTAATTAACTAATAAGAAATTCATGTCCTTTTCCAGATGAGACTTGTTCCCCTTCCCTTCTTTAAATTCGTTCCTTTTTCAACGTTTGAGTAGTTGTGGGTATAAGAAAGTATATAAAAACATGTGAAAATAAGTAAGTATGGATGGCAAACTATTAAAAATAAGTACTACATATTTAGTATCCTTTCTCTATGAAAAATAATCCAAATTGAGCCAATTTTTTGAATACATGTTTTTGTACACGAATAATAAACCTCTCTATTGTCATAACTCTGGAGTAAAACCATACAATATATATTTTTTCCTACAAAGATGCTTACACAATTTAAGGTAAAATTCTATTTTTTCTTGAAACTGAACCTTTAACATAGAAATGATTCTTATTTTTCTTGTGGTAAAACCGTTGTTTGATGAATGATGATGACGGCAACGGCTTCTCGTCGTGGTGGGTTTTAATCCTCTTCATCCTCCCGACTTATCCCCACTTTTGGAAGATGCCCATCCGCTGGCACTGACAGTTCGTCCCCCACAAGTTGCAACGGCACGCCCCTCCCGAACAGCAATCGTCCTTGCGGTGATCACAACGCCCACCACGTCGGATGCAAGAACGTCTATAAAGATAGATCACAGAAGAGCGTCTAAACAGATAATTAGAAGTGTAAAATGACCCTTTGGGCTCTTTTGTCAAAAGCGAGAAAGCATTCAATCAAGCGAAATGGAGAAGAAGCGAATACTGCGAGCACAATGACGGCGATGATGACGAAAAGTACGATGAGCGAGATGAGGCAAGAAATAGATAAATAAGCAAACAAAGGCCGCGGCAGTGGGACACTTCACCTCGAGGAACAATAATAACGGGCAAGTACAACTACCCAGTCAGTCGCCCCGTATGCTCTCTTTGTATCCAGTAGTGAGCAGTTCTTCTTCTTTAGGCAGAGACACTTGAAGATCTAAAGTGGCTTGAAGAACGAGGCGGAGACAAGTCAATATTGGCCTTTGGTCCACCTCGCAATCTATTCTACCCCTCAAACCACCCGAACCCAATTCTGCAATTGTGGAGAAGTTTGAAAGAAGAAACTTTCACCACAAATCTAGAAACTTATTCCAATCTGGCAACAATTCCCGAACTTTATGCTCTCTCGGTTCCTTCTCCACTTCATAATATTGCTCATACCCAAACACAAATTTACTCTCTGGATAAAGATCAGCGAACTTGAAACGAACAAGTTTGAATAAACTATTGCACAATGTACCAACTCTCTTATGCAAGATAAGGTTTTGTCTTTGTCTGGCTTATGACGTAGTTATTATAATGTGTAACATAAAATTACAAAGCATAATAATGGGAATGGGAACAATGATGATGGTAATCTCGCATGGTCTGAAGTTGACAGGCCAATACCAACCGACATGAAATGAATAGGACAACAAAGAGATCAATTCGTCTCACTTCTTTGTCGTCACGAATTGAATGTACTACTTTCACTGGGGACAAATTTCCATAAAAATGATGAACCACGACTGACAGACGAATTACAAAGACCATATTCCGCTTATTCTGCTTTTTCTTTATCCTCTCTTGAGCCAATTTCCATCCTCAAAAAATTCATTCCCAGATGCTTCTGACCTTTACAATGGGGCAATTTCATAGGACCAATGGTGGATGGACAGCTTAACTTAAATAACTTGACGGGATGGTTGTGCGTAATAAAAAGGACGATATTATTTATTTATTTGGATTAAGTTTCCCAATTTTTACACAATACAGTTCCATCAAGCAGACATAAATTGGATTTATGATGAACAAAATTCCACTTTTTCTGGTCTACTAGACTAAAGTAAACTTTCCCTGTCATTACGTACTGCGTATTTCCATCCATTCTTCAAAAGGTCAATCTCACTCCATTACTTATTGACAAGTCTGTGGGATACGTGATACGATATCCATTGCACCCAATACATCATCATCAAGCCTTATTTTATGGAAAATGTGACCTTTTAGCGAGTCTCAAATATTCAACAAGTCCTCCAACTCTCCAATTATCATCATTATTTACTCACCACTCTCGAATCTGGGCGGATAAGTATTTCTTGTCCTGACGAAATAATTCCTCTCTCCACTCAGCTCAGCTTAGTTAATCACACTCCACGGATGGATGGATGATAACTCATTCATCATTTTATGATCCGACGAGAGCTAATAATTAATTGAGGCATCATTGCCTGATCGCGAGGGTGAAGTGCACATGCTTTGCTTTTCCCTATGTATCTCGTACCTTTCTCTGCCCGTCGTTGTTTTCACTTTTATTACGGCAGCACCCACCAGTCCAATCCAATCTTAATTTATGGATTAATTCTCTTTTATGTTCAAGACCATGCAGTCATTAACAAGGCATAAAATGAGGAGAAACTGGGTAATTCGTTTCCGTCACAGGCTCTACGGATCACGGTTATTCGAAGGCCAACTATACAAAAGAAGTGGAAGTTGGAAGAGTGGATAGTTCCATTATTTTCAATGCGTATCCATTCTCTTGTACTTCATAAAATTGTACATTGATAAAACCATAAAATGAACGGATTGGACTAATTTGGTAAGGACGGAAATCGTTAAAATATGATCATCCTCAGTTCTTGCATGTATCAACGAAATGAAAATTAGGAGATAAAGTATTTGAAACTTGATGAAAAGCTAATGATCAGCGCTGTATAATATATGCACAAGTGTGCATACATAAATTGGGTAGATTCTCATGGGGAACCATTCGTGTACTTACATTCGCACTTCAATTCGTGTCTGCGATAAATTTTACAAAGTGCGAGTGATTAAAGGGATTTAGTAGAAAATAAAGTAGGATTGGTGAAGGTGTGCTCGAAAACAAAGACAGATCGCCTCTGTCTGTTGCTAATCACGTAAATGTCAAGTGGTTGATCAGAGAGACGGGAAAAAGCAGACAATTGCATGGAAACTGGTGCTACTTACTTTCACCCACCTCATCGTTTAACCTTTATTTAGAAGTAACTAAATCTACGCTGTACTTGGCAAAGGTGGCTGAAGTGGTCGTCTCTCGTGCCCTTATTACTCCCATGCAGATGGACCGTGTCTCATCTAATCACACAGAAACACGTTTCTCGGGGAAAGCGGGGCAATGTTTACTTTGGAAATTTCTTATTCCCTTTCAAAATATACGCCACTCTAAAAAATTGGCGATTCGATATTCTACACAGTTTTGGTGGATCACAAATATCGCACTACTTTCACCTGACTTGGCTAATTTTTTGTGAATCCCAAAAAATTACCTCAAAATATGGCAGACGAATAAATCAGAAAACATGTAAGAATGTCCCCTTACTTACTTACAACTTGTGCACTAGCATTTATAAAAAGTGCACAAAAACACAAACCCAGTATATTTCTTTTTCGTATTAACTGCAATACCCAACTTTCTCCATGTTAAACCCACTTTGGACTTAATTTATCGCCTTCGGAATAATAACGGCCAATTTCTTCTTCTTCCTCCAAGACAACCACCCCATGTTGACAATGCACCATTTTTCCCCGTCTTGTTTCTGTTTGTACATATTCCATTTCACTATGAAACGAAGAAACTGTGCAAACCATGAGCAATTCATTTCCTCAGCGCATCACTCCTGTCGACGGGCTAGGGACGCGGAGGGAGCTATACGAGGAAAAACCCCAGAACAAAGAATTTCAGAGATATCAGTAGCAGGATGGGAAAAGAGGACAGATCACTCACTGTTCCGTGATGCCTACGACGCCAATACGCCACACCACCACGCCGCCGCCGCCCACGCGATTATTCGCTCACCCATACGAAACAAATACATGGCTCGCATAATAAATAAATATATATGTGACTACGACCAACCTGGATATGGCCAGGATTTCGTGTGGGTGGTTGCTTGGTCCTGCTCTCTCTCCCTTCGTTTCCATAAAAATTAATGAAACTTTTGCCATTTCGAGTATGGATTTGTTTGTGCAAAAAGTAAGAAGGGTGCACAAACGGGAACGTATATAATTAATTGACTTTGTTGGTTCTTTGTTTCGCCTGATTCTAATGGCTTCACTCTTGGTCACGTATAATATTTCGACATACATATTTATGTACTTCTTGAGAATCGCTTCACTGCTTTGCGACGTAATACTTAAGTAATAATTTTGTGACGACGAAGAATGTAGTACACACATGCATAAAATATGGGAATAAAAATGTACCAACGTAGTGCTTTTGTCGCTATTGGAGGCCAGGTAAAAAATAAATATATTTCATAACGGGCCAGAAATTGGTTTTATTATTATTCTTTACATTCGATCAAGCTGGATTGGTTGGTGCATGTGACTAAAAATTAAATTTGGATGACATACAACATAATATTAACTCAATAACGGTGTATTTTTCCTCTGCTCGATATTCCGTTTCATCTTCAATTCAGAGTTGATTTTGTTTTATTCATTTCATTTTCTACGTGATGAAATCAATTTGAAATTCAGGAGACACATCAAAGGATCCTCCAGCACAGGGTTTTCACTTCATTTCTTATTGTGACGTTCACAAATGTGTGGAGGAAGGTATGCAGGAATAAAATGTGATGGAAATGAAAATGAAAATGGAAGTTGGTGACGTTTCCTGCCCCAGCTATTTTCCTATGGTTCCGTATTGTATGGAATTTTTTGCTAATCAAAATTATTTTGGAAATGTAAAATTTCTGACATTTGTTCTGCACATGGCCGAATATGCGATGGAAGGAATCCTTAAAAAATAAGATTTGGAAAATTCCACACGGACCACGCCGACTTATTAAATCGGGTTTGTTTTGCTCATCTCGTCATGCCAAGAGTTTTATGATGACGCTGGAGTAAACAAGAGTAGGTTGTATGTGACGATAAATGATGAATGAGTTGGACCCATTTTTTACCCGTCCAATAACACCACCACCACCGAAGCTGCTTTTCAGCTCAGCTTATTATAGCTTAGCTGGAGCTCCCTTGAGACGACAATTCCTTCACTTTCACTCATTCCGCTCTTTTTTATATTCGGCTTCAATACAAATTTTGAATGTGAAGGAGAGGATCATCTCGACTTAAATTTGGGACGAGATCAACGAGACGCCTCGAATAATAGCACTGTCCGAATTTTGCTGCCCACTTATCTCTCTCGACCCTGCTCTCTCGTGGTAAAAGTATTGTGTGATAAGTATGATAGGATTTGGATAAGCTGAAAAACCAGGATGAAATATGATGACAGGAATATGATGAAATATGAACAAGTCGTATCAAAATTGTGAATATTTCCTTTACAAAACCTTCTAAAATTTGAGAGAAGAAATTTTGGCACATGTTATACCCACAATTCCCCAGTCAATAGTAGAAAATTCCTACGAAGCGAGAGTAACGCGAAAAAAATTGTGGTGGGTTTCATTACATTTCTCTTTCCCTGTCTTAAAACGAAACCAACTTTCTCCAACTTCAAACGAGACACGAAATAAGAGACGAGTTAGAAAACTCGACCGAAAAGTAGGCATGAAATCCAAACTGACAAGTGTCGACAGTTCCTGGTCAGTTTTTCTGAGAGAAAATGCCCTTTTGCTAGGATTTTGTCGGATTTAATTCCCATTTCAC